AAAGTTTTAAATGTCGAATTTTGTCGGGGAATTGGTAACAAAAGACGGAATAAAATGTAGCACTGACAGCTACAAAAAAAGAAAAAAAAATCGTTTTTTTAGAGATTTCCAATAAAGAAATTAATCAGCAAGATCAGCAAAGCAAAATTTAAATTTTGTCAAATTTTGAAAAACAAAACATTCTTAAAATTGGGGTGATCTTTGAATGAGCGCCGTTTTTTGCAGGATTGACACAAATTGGGAACAAGCTGATGGATGAGAGAAAGAAAGGAATGGACGGGCAATGAGAGAGAAAGAAAAGAAGTGGAATGGGAAAGGATTGGAAGGGAAATGGGGAGGAGAGAGGCAAATAATCAATAATCGGCACACTCAACTCCTCACAAATCCTTTACCCGGCTAGGAACTGTTTTTTGAAACATTGAAACACCGAGCTTTAGCCGGCTTGAGTCTAGTTTGAGAAGGCTTACAAATCCCGCTCACTGTAGTCCAATAACGGAATTTTATGCACGAATGCATTGTGAATTTAATCAAAATGTGCTTTTCTGACTTATTTTACCGAGTTTGCATTTGGATTTTATCTGAGATAAGATAGATAAGATATCAAAATATCTTATCTATTGGGTTGGTGAATTGAAAACTGCGGGACTTTGAACTCAAATTTATTCAACATAAAACCATGAACTCATTTCAAATAATTTCCATTATTATTGACGACTTTTGCCCATTTTACAGGCAATTTGCGGGGTTCCTCTTTCGTAGTAGGATTTTGGTTTTGAATCGAAAAACTTTTCGAGCCAATTTTTGAATGCTTCTTCCGAATCGAAGTGTTCTCCCGCAAGCTCATTACTCATGGTCCGGAATAAATAGTAATCAGAAGGGGCAAGGTCCGGACTGTATGGGGGATGTGCCAAAAGTTCTCAACCAAGGCTGTTTATTTTAGAGCGAGTCAGTTTTGCAACATGAGGGCGCGCGTTGTCGTGGAGGAGAACGATGTGCGGGAAATTTTTGATCGCCTTGTAATTCCGGTATTTGACCTTCAAGAATGTGCGAATTGGGCTCTATGACTAGGACAGGCTAGGCAAGGCGTTCAGGCCTGGCTTCTGGCCTGGCTTCTGGCCTGGCTTCTGGCCTGGCTTCTGGCCTGGCTTCTGGCCTGGCTTCTGGCCTGGCTTCTGGCAGGCCCAGATACTTTTGTGGGTAATAAAGCTGAGCCGGGACCTGGCTTTTAGTCTACTCCTGGTTTTGCCTAGTTTAATGCTGAAAATCGGATAGTAGATTTTCCCAAGAAGTGCTTTCATTCAAAATTTTCTCATAAATTTTTAAAAATAAACTGCAATAAGTTGAAAAAGTTCTGAATAGATGGAAGAAAGTGAAATCGTTGCAAATGGCTAAGCCGCTAAGCTAAGCTAAGCCGACTTTTACGGGAAGGCTTTCTGCAAAACTTTATTTGAAACAAATTTAGATGATTTTAAAAATTGAATTGAGTTTTTGTAAAGAATTTTTCAATTTCTAAGAATCCGATTTCAAATCAAATCTTTTTCTTGCAAGGGGATTAGTAGGGGTGAGAGGGGAATGAGACACTAATCTCGAGGGCAAATTGACGTTGACGTTGTTGGCAATGATTGTGAGAGAGTGATTTGCTTTAAATGAGAGCTTTCTATACTATAAACACTTTTAAATCGATGTGTTCCTTTCAAATAAAGCTTTTTCTAAAGCGTGTCATCTTTTGTGAACTACCGGTAAGCACGCTTTAGAAAATTTGCCTAAAAAATTTGCCTTTGCCTTTAACTTGAATTATTCTTTACTTGAAAGGAACACAATCGATTTATAAGTGTTCTTTTGTGAACTACCGTAAGCTTACACCTATTTAGAACACTTATAAATCGTGTTAGAGTCGTCAAATCTATCCTGAAACTAAAAAATACCAAAAAATAGAAGAAAAATAGAGTTTCTAAACGATTTCTCGAAGAAAAACACAAAAACATCAGAAAATGACAAAAAAACATGCATGTCGCGAATGTTTTTTCTTTTCGATGATTCAACTGAAAGCTGTGTGCTGTTCTGTGTGCTAAAAATAGAGCAATCAGAGCAAAACAGTCATTAGAAAACAAGTCATTAGAAATCTAGTTTCAGACAAAATTTTGAAATGTTCTAGAGAAGTTCCCCTCTTCGAATTCCATCGAAGTATTGGAGTTGCAAAAAGAGGCGATGAATAATGGATGATCGGCCGAGATCTATCAGCTTTTTTTTGCTTAAAAATTGAAGACTTTTGAAGAGAGTTTCTTTAAAATCCAAGAAATGGATAGAGTGAAAGAGATTCAAAAATAAAATCTTCGCTTTGAAAAATTCAAATTAGCGCTTTGGAAGGGTAAAATTAGGGCAAATCGGGGAGAAACAGCCATGAGACAAATTTTCGAAATCTTCAATGTTTGAGGAAAAGGGAAACGAGATGAAAATCAGAAAAGAAGAAGACAGATTGACACAACGATTCGTAGATCCCATCAAATGATACCCCTCTCTTTCTCCTCTCTTTCGCACCCAAACCACAATTGACACATGACAATTGGTGTGTGAGACAGAAATGTATAAGAATTGATGCAAGAGATTCCTATTCATTGGACCACATTTGAAATTGAGTGGACATTGATTTCGAAAGAGTTATTGCGAAACAAAGCTTCACTTTCAAAGTTTTTAACCGGTAAAGCTGGATAAAAGTTCTCTGGACCAAAAAGGGAAAGAAAGCTCTCAAACAGCCGAATTTCAGCCGAATTTCGAAACCAATGCAAAGGTTAAAAGAAAAAAGAAAAACTTTTCTCAAGTGAAATTCTTTTGAAAGAGTTACCAAATCTGAGTTGGCGTCAAAAAAAGCGTTCAAATGTCTTGCAGCTATTTGTCTCATTTGAGGGAGTTGATCGATGCGAACAGTTGTTCCACTTAAAGAATCTAGCTTTTTTCTCAAACACTTTCTCCGCTTTAGCTCACCTTTTTGTCACTTATTTAGAGATAAATAAATAACAAAAAGTTAAAGTGACTCAAAAGTGATTTGAAAGCAAAAAAAGAGTTTTCAAGAAAGGTACGTGATTTCAATTGGGAATTGTATTTTTCGATTTCAACTCACTCAAAAGTAGAGCTTTTGTTTTGATTCAAGATTGGATGAGCCAGTGTCATCTAGAAGATAGAAACTCTGTAAAAATAGGGGTATATAAGCAAAGCTTTGCATCAGCTTGTGTTAGACATCAAACATAAATCAGAAAAAATAGATATGATATTACAATCCAATTCTTGTCAATTGACCAAGAAGTAAAATAAATTTATCTATAAAGGAGCCTTAAAGGAGCTTTCAAGGAACCAAATAGGAAATATAAAGGAGAATAAAAGGAGCCATAAAGGAACTTTAAAGGAGCCTTAAAGGAGCTTTCAAGGAACTAAATAGGAACTATAAAGGAGCTTTAAAGGAGCTTTAAAGGAACTCTGAAGGAGCTTTAAAGGAACTAAATAGGAACTATAAAGGAGTTTTAAAGGAGCTTTAAAGGAACTAGATAGATTCCTTTATTGATTCGGATTGATGCTGCAGGATTGGGAACTCTAAATCGAACAGTAAATCGTAGAATAAATCAAACATAAAGTAAAAAGTCCTAGGATTTTTCAGTACCCAGCTACCATACTCCTTCAAAGCCACAAAAACAATGACACCATTAAGGCTAATGAAAATTGAATCAATAACCACTAGGAGAGTAAATATAGAGTAAACGGCATGCGAATGGAAAAGGGTTTATGAAGCGCGATAGAGGTCGAGAGGAGGTTAAAGGAATGGAAAGAAGGAAGAAAGGAAGAAAGAGGGAAAGAATGGAAAGAAGGAAGGGTCCAGTCAAGGGGTACAAAGAGGGAAATGGGTACAGAGCGGAATGGAGGACAAAACAACGCCCTCTTTCTATATGAATGCAAAAGAGCACCAAGATTACAATGAGGGGAGGTCACCCCAGTCTCTTATGCGGTTTTCTCTGTATGGCAGCCCGCCAATGCCCATTCTAACCCACTCAATCTCTACACCTTTTTGTGAGAGTAAAGGCCGCGACGAGTTTATGATTCATGTCTACTAGGCACTAATTCTATGATAATTCTAGTGCTGTGCTTGTTTATTAGGTTAGTGCCAAATCGAAAGCATAGATAAACTGAGTTTGCTACTTTTTGAACTTTCTACATAATTCGTGTTCTGTTCTGGATTATAGTTGGTCAATAAGCAAATCTCTTCATCTTGCTACTCAGAACATTACAGGATGACCGCGAATGATAGCGACTCACTTCTGAAGGTCTAGCTCAGCGAGAACTCAATGAATCCGTATGAAATCTTTGGAGGTGTTTTTTTTGAGTATGTCTCCTATAGCAAAACCCTGACTTTCTGACTGATTGGTGCTTCGAGAATCTTTATATGATTTTACAAAGTTGAGAGGCGCGGTAGACTTCGCGAAAAACCCAATTTAAGGTTTTTGAGAGCCATTTTTGAAGTTATTTAATGAATATGATCATGATTAAGACGAAAAAAGATTGAACAGATCAAGCAGAAGATCAAACATCTCATAGAAATTCAATTTTCTTTCAAATTTCTATCGAACCCTCAGAAGTGAGTCGCTATAATTCGCGATCATTCTGTACAATTTGGTCATCTTCAAATCACTGATAGATTTCTTTGTTTTTGCATTTCTGTGTTTATATATCCAAGCTTTATTCAAGATTTACCCATATCAAATCATAAAATTCTAAGGCAGTCGATTTTGGAAGAATTCAATTAAACGACGAGATGAGATCATCGAGAGGCACAGTGTGAGCAAGAAAGAGACAAAACACGACAGACAAGTACAGAAATGTACAAAAATGAAGAGGAAAAACACCAAAAATCGATGAAAATACAAGAAATTCAAGGGAAATTCAAGGGGCAACACATTGCTCGAGTTGGAAGAGGCGGCATAGTGTAGATGAGAAGAAACGAACTCGATAAATCACAAATCCCTCCATCGACCGTTCACCCACACTCGATGAGGCTCCAAACCGGGGCAATCAAACTAAAAAGTCATTATACAGGATGGTAAAAATCTAAACCAAAAAAAAAACCCATGCCAACCTTAAAGTCGATGTTCTTTGGTGGCTCTTCGGGTCGATCGAGGCGTTGAATGGTGACCGTGCCTGATACGACTACTCCAAATTGTGGCTCGCTACTCTAAACAGACGCTGATTTATCTTTTCGCACTTCTGGCTTAGCTTCTTACCTTTTGCTTCTTTCTTGTAGCTTTTTCTGACTAAAACATGAATGTAAAAGATTAGAGTTGGTGGAGTAAGCTTAATTTCCAAAAGCTTTTACCTTTTGACCATCTTCTAAAGTAGAGTCGGGAGAAGTTTTCTTGTTTTGTTTCTGCTTTTTGACCAGTTCATCAGAAGATTTGCTTGCCTAAAATATCAATTGATTCGAAATTTTTAACGATTGAAGTTAATAGTACTATAGTGAAACAAGAAAAAACTCTAACCTCATTCGAATCGTATCTGAGCAGATCAAGCGAGTCGGCCCGGTGCCTATTGTGATTTTTCCCCGAAACCAACAAGTCAAACTGCTCGCGAATTACAGCCACTGACTAAAATAAAACAAATACCGTAAAAACTCTAATAGAACGGCCAGCCGTTCTATTAGAGGGCCGCGGGCCCCTATAGAAGCGTCGCGTAGGCTACGTTTACTCTCAAACAAACCCTTATAACTTGAAACCAATACGTTGTTTCTGCGCGCTTGGGTAACAAATTAATGTAGAGAAGATGGGTGATTTTTTGAGATGTAACATATATTTTTAGCATTAACCAGCGCTTAGAAAAAAATGATTGAAAATCGACTCTTTTTTGCCACTTTCCAATCATTTTTTTCTAAGCGCTGGTTAATATTAAAAATATAAGTTACATCTCAAAAAATCATGCACCCTCTCTACTTTAATTTGATACCCAAGCGCGCAGAAACAAACGTACTGGTGTCGTGATCTGAGCGTTTGTTTGAGAGTAAACCTAGCGACACTCCTAGAGGAGGCCTCTCTATTAGGATTTTAACGGTAAGCTATTAAACGCAACAAATCCTTACTTGATCATCGGCTTGATTTCTTATCTCAACTTCGGTCTCTTCAACAGTGACAGTCTCGGTGACGGTCGTACCTCTTTCAAAGCGAAACTAATAATAAAATTTGGGTAAGTCAAAGATAGAATGTGGTTACATTGTAGCCAGAAGGAGGCGGATTGTCAACGCTGTACTCGGCAACTTCAGCTGGGACCAGGCTTCGAAGAATCTAAAAAACAAGATTCAGAATGTTTTAAAAATCATTAATCTAATTGTAAGCACTAGGCTTACAAAATAAACATTGTTTTTAAGTAAGTGTCAAGCCAAAACGGGGGTGGGACAAATGCAACCTTTTTTTGCGCACCTTTTTTTTGCTGGAAAAGGCCTTAGGAAAGGTCGTAGAGCTTCGAAAATATTTCCAATAAGGGAATCGTATGCGTAGATTCCGAATTTCGACAAGTCAGACCTCGCTGACACGTCAAATTTGGGCTAAAAGGCAAAAACTGCGGAAAAGCGTTAAGTTGCGTGAAATATGATATTTGAAAAACGATCGTCACTTCCGCGCGTCTGTAACTCCCTTGTCTTTATCGTATTTCTGCGGAAAAGCGTTAAGTTGCGTAGTTTTTGCCTTTTAGCCCAAATTTGACGTGTCAGCGAGGTGTGATTTGTCGAAATTCGGAATCTACGCATACGATTCCCTTATATGGAAATATTTTCGAAGTCTACGACCTTGCCTAAGGCCTTTTTCCAGCAAAAAAAAGGTGCGCAAATCTCCAGGTGCGCAAAAAAAAGGTCGCATTTGTCCCACCCCCGCCAAAACCAATTAAATCAAAGAAATTAAAATTTACCTCTTCCACGGTGTCGATGACGTATTGGATTTGCTTTGGATGCTCGACGAGAGAAGAAAAGAAATGAAGAATCAAAGAATCAGAGGCAAAATCGCCAATAAACATTAATTTTTAAATGCAAATTCGATTTTCAGAGGGGGCAATCGTGATCAGGCTTGTAAGCGGAAAAAAAGCGGAAAATTTAACCTTTAGCTTTTCAAAGGACAACCCAACGAATGGGGCAGTTACGCACTGCGACGGGAAAAGCGGAAAAACGTAGCTGCCCCATTTGTTGACTTTTTGTTTGAAAATTAAAAGATATTCAATTTTCCGCTTTTTTCCGCCTGTAAGCGTGATCTTTGTCGGTCTCGTTCCCAATTTGTCGGCTTTCTTCCCTTGTACATTACGATACAGTACAGTTATCAGAACCAGCTTTGTTTTTAGTGCTGAATAGGTTATTTAGTAGTCTGTTTCGAACTGGATAGTGTTCCTCTCTTTTCTGAAATGTGAGAATTTGATTGGTACTTGTTTGTTGCACTTCTTGACCAAATTTGCATTTAAATTAATGAAACTCAAGCGTCACAGTATCCTTAAGTTACACAATTTCCATATTATCTCTGATTTACATTCTGGATAAGACTGCTTTTCTGCCTTTCTTGACTCGTCAATTTTGCAACTTTGTTTGAAAACGCCACTTTTCTGGATCCTCAAGCGGATCCAGAAAAGTGGATCCGCTTGAGGATCCAGACTTCTGGACTTTCTAAATCTCTTTCTCTTTCTTTTTCTATCGTAATCTTGTCTTTCTTTTTTTATCCAATCTATCTACTTTTTCTGATTCTGTGAGGGTTTACAAAGGATATCGAAAAATGCAAGAAAGTAAATAGATTCGATAAAAATTTGAGGCTAAAACCCTTTTCCGTTCTGGTTCTGCCCCATTTTAAGCTTTTTTTTGTCTGAAAAATAATGTATTGCCAATAAATATCGACTTCAAGAACATATTTCAACTGAATTTAGTCTTTTCTCAAAAAATTCCCCACCAAAACCGCAAATATTGACCGATTTGTTATCAGATGAAACATTGAAAAAGGGTACGAAAAGCAGAATTGTCAAAGGAGTCACAAAATGAATGAAATGGAAAGAAAAGAAATAAAAGAATACCCTTTGTCCCTGAAATGAATTGGCGGTGATCACGAGAGTTCAACAAAAGAGTTCAGCAACAAAATTTCTTATTTGCATCATGGGATCAGTCCTTAAATTTGGACTCAAATGTTCGATTGCAAGAATGGAAACGAGCAAGAACACTGTAGAAAGTGCTGAGACCACAATGATACTGTGCACGTCATAGTTAATAGATACTGTAGCTGAATAATGTTGGACGTAGACATGCATTCAGTCCCGTCAGCTCATTCGACTGGGCTTGGTCTGGACTGGAGGGATCCTAAACGATGATAGTTAATAGATACCGTAGCTGAATAATGTTGCAAGTAGACATGAATTCGTCCAGCTCACTAGACTGGATTGAACCTGAACGATCTAACAATTCTGAAGCTCTTGTAGAACAGTAAAACAACCACGATTCTCGTTTAGTGAACATTTTTGAAATTGAGTTTTTTATGAACACGTTGATTTCAACAACTGTTATCCGTTAAAAATTGTTTTGAAACTTGTCTGCTGACTAGTGATTAATCAACGATTTTCCTTGACAGACCAGCCTGAAGTTTTATTATCAAAAGAAAAATGGCGCCAGAGTGCATTCAAAGGGAAATCCGAGACCAATAATCATTTTGAATTGATGAAATTAGCATTGAGCTTGTGAAATAAACACTGAAAGAACATTCACGCCATCCAGATCATAACACGCAAGGATTGAATCAATCAAATGACGATCGACACTCCTTCTCAGGGTAGGCCAGATTGTTGGGTGCATCGGCTTCCGGTAAACCTTCTACGACAATGTGCTATTCCGGTCTAAACTTCTTCACTAGGCCAATGTCCTCAAAAATAGGGGCGAGTTTTGATGGCTCGATTGGAAGAGGATGTAGTGGGTGATGCAGATTTCTCCTCATCCTCATTTTCTCCACCACTAGTAGTCGCTCTGTAACCTCAAACTTGTGTAATTAAACCTTGTGTTTGTAAACTAAAAGCTTTCAGTCCTGAAATTAGTTGTCGTTGTGGTTCAGATACAAAACAGGCTTGCAATTGTTGACCGGTTAGTGAACTTGTTTTCAAGGTGTGCTTTGTGTGCTCAAAAATCGGGAACCCAAACTTTCTGGTGCACTAATCTTTCATTGATTAGCTTCGGCAAAATATTTGTGCAAGAGAACTTGAAAATCGAGTCCACCAGAGAAGATGTGTTTAGAATTTTGGGCACAAAGTATACTCGAAGATCTAGTGTCAATCCAAAACTTGCACACTTCACAATGCCCTAATTTTCCTTCTTTAACACTCAACAAATCACGTCAAGAAGAAGCACACCAGCTACAAAAGCCAAAAAACAATCGTTGGTCTTGAACTTTTTCTCTTTTCTCCCCAAAATGGCTCCTTTCTGTCTGTGATTCTTCTGCTTTTCGTTCCTTTTTTACCCTAAATGCCTTTTTTTAGATAAGAAATCCATATTTAAACACTGAATTCCTTTCCATTCTACAGAATTCAATCTTCTACTTATTCTCAGTCTTCAATCAACTACTCAACAATGCCAAAGTGTGGTGGGTTTAGACATTGCCAAAGTGTTTAGATGTCTGCTTTTAAAATTGGTGAATTTAGAAAGTGTTCGAGTTGATACCGTTCATAAAATTTGACAAACACCTACAAAAACCTTTTTAGCACACTAACTGAGAATAGTTCCTTCTTTAAAAGAAGCCTTGCTGCACCAGGAAGCGTGTGTTTCCAATTTTGAGCACAAAACTACTATAAAGAGTACCACAAAGGGTTTAAAATGCCGTATTATTACTACAATAATTAATGAAATTAAGCAAATTCCTTCTAAAAACTTCCCAAAACCCAAAACCATTCGTCCAATTTCAGAGTGCGATCAAGGAAAGCCATGCACGTGCAAATGCATCGATTGCAAATGTGACAATTGCTCGTGCGCCGATTGCAAATGTTGCAAGAGTGAGTTGGAATGGGAAAATTCTGGAAGATTTGGCTTGGATTCTGGTGTAGAATTGGGTAGAGACGGGTTTAAGACTTGAAATTTTCAAATAACATTAGGAAATCTGGTTCAGAAGATCGAAAGCTCAAATAGCTCAAATTGGTCAAAAATAGCTTTAATTTTAGATGATAATTCGATATTTCTTTATTTTAAGGAAGCTAGTCATAGCTTTAATGCTAAACTCTTAAAAAAGAGTAATTTTCAGAGTAACCATTCTTCAAACAACTGATTGCCCGAATTCCATCGATCCAATCAATTCTGTTAACCTTTAAATAAAGTCTTTTTGAAAACAAAATCATTTTCCGCACAAATATTTCTGTTTTACAAATGAAAAGGGAAAATTTACAGCATTTGATCGATTGTTTTATTTACATTTTGTGATTTGGAGTGAAACCAGTGTTTCTTGTGTCATTCTTTGCCCTATTCTCCTTCTTGACAGCCGGAAGCTTCTGAAAATGAGGAAATAAGGAGATTTTGGAATAAGAAATGGGAATTGAATAAAAATAAGAGAGATTGGTGGAGTTTTCATGACTTGGTTTATTGTGAACGTAATGAATAGTCGATTTGATGAAGTTAAGGACTAGAGAAACAATTCAATTCTTGACTTAATCTTTGTCAATCATTTGCACAACTCACTCTTTCCTTGATATCCGCATTCTTTCCAACCACATTTCTCACAATTTGGATTGTTCTTTGGCAAGTGCACGGCCTTCTTCTGGCCCGGCCAGCCCACCCAAAAAAGAAATGGGAATTGAACAGAAATAAGAGCGATTGGTAGAGTTTTCATGACTTGCTTTATCGTGAACGTAATGAAGAAGCCTACAGTCTGACAAAATATAAAAATGCAAGACTGAATACCTTTTGCTTATTGAATAATGTAAAAAATGTTGAATTTTTGACTAAATACCTTTCCTTAATCAAAAGATTCAACAAAAAATGTTCCTAGACTAAAAGCCCAAGCCAAAACCATTGGAATTTTGGACTGGTTTGACAGTGATTCCAATTTCCAAGGCCACACTCGTGGCTTGAACCTGAATTCAACCATTGCATGTCTCTTTTTTAAATTTCAATGCCTTTTATAAATGCTGCAAAAACGGGATCTAAAATTTCTCATTTCAAACGCACTTTTGCAGCATTTGCAATTGTAATTCTTGAAACGTTTCAAACTGGTGTGAATTTGAGAGTTTTGTCTTCTAAAGTTGCTTCCATCTTCCAAATGGTCCATCACATTGAGATTTGTGGCGTTGGGCGGCCATTCATTTGCTGTAATCAAGCTCGGGAAGTTGACCTTGCACCAGGTCCTGTACCTGTCCAACTGTGTGTGTCTTGTGCACCATCTTGTATAAAAATCCAAGATTGTCCACCGAACATTGTATTTGTTCAAGAAAGAATGCCTTTCTTCAGAATCTCGCTTAAATAATAATCCGCGTTAATTTTGACACCCTTTTCAACAAAAAAATAGCTTGGTTCGAGTATCGGCAGTCTCCAGCAAAAGCCATGACAGACTTTGGAAGAGATGAACAATTCTACCGATGCTATTAAGATGCCTAGCAAGTACACGATAGTTTTCTGGGTTATGGGTCACCTCAATCGTGAATAATTTCCATCCGTAAAAAGGGTGCTCAAATGTTCTCCACAAACGGCTCTTGCTAGGTGCGCTTTGCACCGGTTGACTCTCTTTTTTTTATTAATACAGTCAAACCTCGTTAGTAGAAAACTCTTTAATAAATAGGTTTTTGAAAACTCCCGGCAAACATCTTAATAAAATGCATAGAGTAAAAGCTCGTTAGCAGTAAGTAGTAAGCCCGTTAGCCGGTTAGTAAGTAGTAAACTTCTTAGTAAATAACCCTCATTAGTAGATAACTTTTCTAGCACCCCTTTGACAAAAAACAACATTCAATTTAACCGGCATAGTAAAAAGTTAAATAAAATAAGATTTTCTGTATCCATAATGTCACAATCCTTTATCAAATAAATTATTTCTTTCAAAAGCAAAAAAAAAGACAAATACCCATAATAAATACTTCACAGATTGGAGTAACAATTCGAAAAAACAATAAGAAGACACATGGCGAAAAGAAAATTTACCCATAAACACTCCCGAAATTAGGCAACGATAAATGATAAGAAAAACCCTGTTTGTGCAAGTTAAGCAGAATAAAATATCTTCAATAAGCAGTTGACTAGGTTTAAGGCACTCGGTTGAATCGATTTGAAGAAGTTGAATCGATTTGAAGAAGTTCAAGTTCTTGGGTGAAATCCGCCTCGATAAGGTCGGTTTGGTGGATGACCGCGATCGAAGGGTTGCCCTCTGCCGTAACCTGGAACAACAATAGTTCGTGTTTTTTTCCAGTTAATGTAATGTTTATGATTGTTAGCTTGTCGTTAAAAAACGATGAATGATGGTCAGGGGTTTGTAAAGCAAATCCCTTTTACGAAACGAATTCCTACAAAGTTCCCATGACTATTTTCAAGCTCTTTTTTTATCTGTTGCATTACATTACATCTACTTTATACAAAAACGTCCGTCCGTCCGTCTGTCACGCCTACGCGACAATACAAATTACGTTAAAGTAAAATTACAACGAAGTTAGCTAGAAAGCTGAAAATTTGTACTCGGGGGTTTTCGGGGGCGAGGAATTCGAATCCGCAATCAGATTTGTGATATATGCCCTCAGTACCTCTAGGTAGAATATCTGTGCGGCCAAGTGGCGGACGCCCCTATATTGGGTGTATAAAGTTTTGGTCAACGACCGAGTCGGAGGTCAGGTTAGAACTTGGTTTTCCCATACAAAATTTCCATCAAAGGAAATAACTGTAACTGTGCCCTGTAACTGTGCCCTGTAACTGTGCCTTGTAACTGTGCCTTATAACTGTGCCCTGTAACTGTGCCCTGTAACTGTGCCTTGTAACTGTGCCTTGATGCCTGCGACCTAAGCGCCCCTGAGCGGACCCTCTTCTCAATCACTTGTCTTAAATAGTGTTGCACTTCTAAATTAACCAGAAACGTTTTCTAAATCAGTTTTTCGCGAGGAATTAGAATTTCTTACTTTTAAAATCGTATCTTTTATCTAAAATTACCAAAAATGCAGAAAATACAAGTACGGGAACTTTTGGCGCACCCTATAGACATGGGCTTTTTGTGCCGGATTTCCACAATATTCCCTGTATTTTCCTTCTACCCTAGACTCACCTCCTTGTTTCATCCTCTCCAAATCCTTTGGATCATGCGAGAATCGGCATCTATCTCCATAAGTGCATCCTTTCGGCGTGTTTATGTATTGACAAGCGATTCGTGAATTTGGCCATCCCCTTCCTCTTCCACCAAATCCTCCTCTCATCGGTGGACCACCATGGTGTGGATAGGATGGATAATCTTGAGAAGCCTAAAAGGGATGTTGAAGTGAAGTTGAAGTAAACAAGTACGACTAAAAGTCTCTATTTGCAACAAGTCTTGAAACATGAAGCAGTCTTGAATTTTGTTTTTCTTTTACCTGTGGGAATGGTGCCGCTGTGACAGGGACTGGAGCTCCGGTTTGATCGACTTGTTGATATTGATGCTAAAAAAGTTATATTTCTATCTTCAACTTCATTTTACCTGTGCGGAAGGAAGAGAAATGATCCCGGCACTCTTCAGTCCAGACAATAAATTCTAAATCCAATTTTGATTTAACATTCAAAAGCTTTAAATTACCTTTAGATTAGAAGGCAACTCCAGAGATTTTTGTGGGTCCGGTTCGGATGGAATCATTGGAGTTGACGGAATCGCATGAGTTGAGGAGGTTGGTTCAATATCCGGTACTTCGTCATCAAACGAAAAGAGTGGAATTGAGACGGGAGTGTGATCGGGATCTGGCTTCTCTTTTGGCTCGTCTCGGTCGATTGTGCCAAGTCTGAATATTTGATAGATACACATTATTGGGTATTCCAAAGCCATGAAAAAGACAGACTTGACTCTGACCCTCAAATTTAGCTTTAGAATCTTTTTTTTAGTTCTTTTCAACTTTAAAACTCACTTTCCATCGAAGATCACCGATAGGGTACGACTTTGGCGATCTTGTTCCACAAAGAATTCCTGTGATTGGAAGAGATTCTTTTCTTTTGTGGTAAGCCCATGATCCTCGACAAGGACGAGTCTCCACTGAAAAAAGAATAATAAATACATTTATTCACACGAATAATGTGGTACAAGCAATGCACAAGCACAACCCCTATCCCTCAATCCCTAGACCCTAAATGGAGGGAAGAAAAAACCCATATATATGGGGGAAAAGAACTAATAATCTTGCCGGCGGGGTTGAACCCTTGACCTCCCGACTAAGATACAGGGCTCTTAGCCAGTTGACGATGACAGTCAAGATTGTGGGACTTTTATACGCACCCCGCCCCTTTTGCTACCAAGAATTTAATATTCTTGGTATCATTTGATGCGCTAAGTCTTTCTCTATCGTTTGGTAGAAAAACTATTTAAAATGGACAGTCTAACACCAAGATATTTGAGTTTAAAATTGCATTGCCAATGGCAAAAGGGGCGAGGCGCGTATAAAAGGTTCCACAATCTTGACCGCCATGGTCAACTGTCTAAGAGCCCTGTATCTTACACAGTGTTACATTGTTTTTGTTACACAGCGTAGCAAATGGTATTTCTCCACATTTAGATGGACGTCCATATCAGAACTGTGGGACATTTGATTGCCATTGCCCTTTGCCATTGGCAATCTAATTTTCAGCTCAAATATTTTGGTGTTGGGTTGTCCAATTTCAATAGTTTTTGTACCAAACGATAGAGAAAGACTTGTCGCATCTAATGATATCAAGAATATTTAAATTGGACAACCCAACACCAAGATATTGGAGTTTAAAGTTTGATTGTCAATGGCAAAGGGGGCCGGGCGCTATCAGGGATAGTTCAAGCTGCTTTTATGGGTCTACCTCTTTCTCTATCGATTGGTACAAAAACTATCTAAATTGGACAGCCCAACACCAAGATATTGGAGTTTAAAGTTTGATTGCCAATGGCAAAAGGAGCGGGGCGCGTATCAAATGGTCGATAACCGGCGGTCAATGGATAGGTTTTTCTACAGTTATACAATAACTCGTTTAAAACTTGCAAATTCAACGATACCTTTCTTTCCGGCTTTCCTTTGATCAATTCTCTTCTCGGATCGAGTGGATGAAGTGAATCATTTTCTCCCGAAATATCTGATGGACTTGGTATCTGGAATTTCAGAAATTTGAAATATTATACCATCTTAACAGTTAAACCGTTATTTCAAACCTTTTCTCTATCCTCTTCCTCTTCTTCCGTTTTGTGCTCTTGTTTGTAGATCTTCTCCAATTCCAAATCTCGTTTAATGATCTCTTCTGGAGTCAAATGGCTGACATTATCTAAAAGTTTGTTTATCTAAGTATCCAAGTTAACTAAAAAGTTAGTTACTGTACATTCATTATTCAATTTTCACGTACATCTCTCATTTTCATCAACTTCGAATTCCCGAATGTGAACGAGATCCTTTCCGACATCGTCCGCAAAGCTGATTCGCTTTTTCGCCGATACCTTAAATATTAACATTATCTAAATAACCATTCTCATTCTAAATAACCTTTAAATTTATTCTAATGATATTTCCGTTTTACTTACCCATCCTTGAAATGGAGTAGCACTCGCAGAAGTGCTCGGATCGTTTGATTTAATATTCGACTTTTCGGTGGGAGTGGCAGCACCGCTGATTTGAATTTCCGGTTCTTTTCTTTCCGTAGTCACATCAGAAAAGAGACCACCCTGAAATATCATATAAGCAATAACAAAGAAGCTCATTTTTGTAAGTGTTTGATCTGTTTCTAAAGCGTGATCAAGCTTCTCTCACTCACCAAATTGATATCAACACTCGGCAATCCTTGTGGTCTTTCAAGGGGACTCAATGGTTCATCGGTTGAATCGCTTCTTGATTTCTTTGCCAGTTCTCCATCCTTTTCGTCTTTTGTAGTAGGTCTCTTTGGCTGAAATCTCTTTGGCTTTACTTATGAAATGTTATTATGATTTTCTAAATGAGCTAAACTGAATAGCTTGGTCACGCCGTATTTTGGGTTACTGTAGTTTTTTGTCACGCCGTATTTTGGGTTCTGTGGGTAAAAGTCGAATTTTTAGAGAAAAACTTCAATTATTGTTAGCAGTTTTAGTAAACTGATTACCTTCTGCTACCAATAAAGCCATTCATTTACTGAAAAGTGTACAAAATGAGTTTCGAATCGAAAAAATAGAATGAAATGAGAGTTTTTGGAATGAGAACAAAAACAGATTCTTTGAAGAGATCTACTGTAAAGTTGACTAAGATTTCACCGTATACCAACGTACCTTTTTCTTCACTGGTTCAGCTTTAGCCGGACCAAAGGCATCCATAAACGAGTTGGATAAAGTTGGCAGAATGGGGCTCTTCACAACCACTTTCTTCTCCACTGCTGGCTTCTCCGGTGTTTTCGGTTTTTCTTCTTTCTTGGTCTCTACCGGTTTTGGCTAAATTTAGATATCTTTTTATCATTGTTAATTGGATTAGATACCTTCTCTTTAGCCACAACTTTTTCCTTTTCTTTCGAATCGCGTTGTACGGTGATTTTCTTCAGTTTTCGTTCATCATGAAGTGGACGATAGTCCGGTTTTGGAGCCTCAACTGGGGCTGGTGGTGGGAGATCGTCTTCTGGATTTCCTTCCAAACCTAAAAACATTGTTACACAACGTAGCAAATGGTATTTTTCCACATTTAGATGAATGTCTATATCAGAATTGTGGGACATTTGATTGCCATTGCCCTTTGCCATTGGCAATCTAATTTTGAGCTCAAATTTCTTGGTGTTGGGTTGTCCAAATTCAATAGTTTTTGTACCAAACGATAGAGAAAGAATGGACGCATTTAATGATACCAAGAATATTTAAATTGAACAGCCCAACCCCAAGATACTTAAGTTCAAAGTTAGATTGCCAATGGCAAAGGGGACTGGGCGCCATCAGGGATAGTTCAAGCTGCTTTTATGGGTCTACCTGCCTCTAAAAGCTAGTCTGGTCAACGAGTAATCTGACTTTGAACCTGGGAAAGCTTCTATGGAATGATCACGATCTCCAAAGTTCAGAACTCTCACCTGTTGTCCGTCCTTTACTTTGATAGACTCTCGCTTTCGATCGTTTCTCTTTTTTCTTCGCCTCTCGTTCAAGAGTCTTTGGTGATTTGATCTCAACTGCTTTCGGAAACTCCGGCAATTCCTAAAAAGTTGCATTCTCTAATTTGAATTGTGAACGATTTCTCGATTTAACAATGATAATTCTTCTGAAAGAATCTTCCCCGATGCACTGACCTCTCCCATTTCTGGTGATCCTTCATCTGGAATTTCTTCTTCTTTCTTCAATTCCTTCGTTTCTTCTTTTTTCTTTGGTCCCTCTTTTTGATATTTTTGTACATCTTCCTTATACCGAGCGACCAAATCGGCGGCGATATCACGAATCACTGAAATTTGTTTCATGTATATGTTGTAGCCGATTATGAATGAAATTTTTTGGTAAATCTTTCTAGTAGAGCAACCCTTTAATGTATGACGAGAATATTATATCATCCTGTAGCGAATTAAATTCTGCGTCGATTGGTGCCAAATTTGTGAGTTTAGGTTAAAAATTACCGGCGCTACAACGTTTCATTCAAAATCGGCGGGACCCCCGTAGCCGATTATGAATGAGTGGGTCTAGGAGCGTCCAACCATCAAGTATTTGGTATCATTCAACGCAGAATCATTAATAATTATGTTAAATTTTTTAAATTAGAAAGATTGGATAAAAAGAAAAAAAATTATGGGGCCTCAAAGTTTCCTCTTGAACAAACAGTTTTTTTGCTCTAATTTTTTTCCTTTTATCAAATCTTTCTAATTTAAAAAATTTAACATAATTATTAATGATTCTGCGTTGAATGATACCAAATACTTAATGGTTGGACGCGTCCGGACCCGCTCATTCATAATCGGCTACGACATATACATACAACTAGCAAATTTTGGATTTCACACGACTTTAGGTGAACCGAATTCTTCATTTTATCCATGACACTACAAAGAAAAAAGAATTTTGTTAGGAGAAGAGTGTTTTAAATTCAAAATATAGAAAACATTTACCTTTTAATGATAAATATTCAAATCTTTTTCAGTAAACCTACTCTGATTTCCCCCTTTCTTCTTCAGTGAGACCAAAAATCGTGGGGTGTCAACGTTTGTGTCCATCAGCAACTCAACCGGCACGTCAGCCTACAATAAAATTCTTTAACTCTGTTTCGCATTCAAAAACAAACCTTTATCAACTCTTTCAGCAACGACAACGTCTTCTTGTCATCCCCTTTTGCCTTTTTCAACCATCCATTCATCATTTTCCAGCCAGATTCTGTTGATAGCCGCTTGATCGCCGATTCTTTCGCCGCTTTCATTGTCCTAAACTTTTTCAATACCAATTTACTAGTACTGTTAGTTTAAACATATGCTAGCTCAGATTATACCACAAAAGTACCACAAACTAACGGAAGCTATAAAAGGCTCCTTTCTAGTGGAGGGCAAGTACATTGGTGGCTTCGTGAATAACGCGTTAGGCTTCCGTTCCCAGGACCAGGGTTCGGTGCCTGAACCATCCTTTTGTTTTTGTTTTTCTTTTGAAGCAATTTGCAGCTGATATCTTAGAAGCTTTGTCGGATTGATTTCGATTATACAAAAATTTATTTTTCAGGATATTGAAGTTAAACTACAACTTTGCACACTCACTTTTTCAGCTGCGCCGCCTGTGCATCCATTGGTGGTCTTGGCTTGAATTTCGGTGGAGCATAAGGAGCTTGATGTGTTGAACTTGACGCGTATCCATGTTCCTAAAAGTACAATACTTTTTGTAGTTAGCTAGATATTTTGATTTGCTCCAGTTAAGCCAATTTTAAACTCACTCTAGAATCGTTTCCGTTTTGTCGACCGGCCTCAACCCGTGCTCGACTTGGCTCCAGCTAAAAGTTTAACATTTTAGAGCTTTAAAATTAGATTTAGATTTCGAAAATGGAGACAAATGTAGATTTTTAAGTATTTAAAACATTCACCGTTGGGTCGTACTAATCACAAATATTTTTGGTGTCAACTCAAGTTTTTAAGGATTTTCGTTATTCATTTTGCAGAAAGTTCTTGATAACTTTATATTAGTTTTCAAGACAAGATTCAGGGCTATCGAATGACTATAATAGTTTATTTTATCATTGAATTTTCTCAGTTCACGACTACTCGACTGTACACGAATGTGCTACCTGCGATGGTGGTTGTTGTCCATCAGGATAATGAGCGAATGGAGCCTTCACTGTTGGTTCTAAATTTAACAATTACAATGAACCAGTGAACCAATGAACATTTTACCAGTTTGTTTAAATGAAAACTCACTTTTATCCATCAGCTGTGGAACACCAGGTCTTGGTCTTGGCGGTGGTTGTCGAATGACTTTGATTGGTGACGATTGTGCTTTTGCTGGTGAGTCCAATGTGGGCATTCCCTCAGTATCATGGGGCTAAACATTACGATTACTAAAATCTACTCAAAATAACGTTGACTCTTGAAAAGAAGTGTGGTTCAGGGAATTGTTTTCCTTTGCAAACCTTGAGCTCCGGTTTGTAGGCGCTCATTGGCGGCTCAGCAGGCGTTCCATCCGGATTGATATAACGAATGTTCGGCGGATTGAAGGAAAGACTTCGAGCCGTTTGAGCACTGAACAAATCAGATTTAGACTTAATTTGTAGGCGCTTTATAGTTAGTTAGCTTTTAGTTTATAGTTAACTTTTATAGTTAGCTCTCCCTGGAGTAAGGGAGATCAAGCGCAATGGTTAGCACAATTGCCGGGTAAGCCGCGGGTTTGAGTCCCAGCGGCGCACAAGTTTTTGATCTCCCCAACTAGTTTCAACAATGATTTAAATTTTTAAATCTAATATAAATGGCATTCTATTTAAATAACTGAATAAGTCTCGATCAGCTCTATATTTTAGTCAAAAGCTTTTCAAACTCACCCATTATTGTAGTGAGCGGGAGTGGTGGCAACGGGGAAAAGCGTTTGAGATGGGGCTGAAGATGAAGCAGCTTGAGATTGCTGACGTTGTTGATAGAGCTGAAAGATCACTATGTTATGCTGAAGTTCCTTTTTTGAATACAGTTTATAATTCAAAACAAACTTGTTGCTGTTGACTCATACTCGCTGGAAGCATTTGTGGCTGCGCTTGTTGCTGTGGTTGAACAACTCGAATCACTCGCCCAGACTGATTCTAAAAAAAAGACATTTATTAACAAATATATTCTCCATAAGCTATTTCTTGTTTTTTAACAATTTATAACACTAAATTTACGATTGACTTCAACCTTCAACTCACATAAGGATCTTGTGGATACTCAACCATTTGCACTTGTTGATAGGAGTTTGTTTGCTGAAATTGAATCGATTTTATAACTAAATAAACCTTAAAGGTTTCAATTTCCTCTGGAAATCTACTTTTTCTTGCCAATCTCTTCACTTCTTTATTACTAATAGACCTAGTTCTGATCGTAGGGTCGAAGTTCTGAAAACCCGGATATTTCCTTCTTTCTTTCTTTCTTTCTTTCTTTCTTCTTCCCCCTAGTCTTTCCTTTCTTCTTTTGGCAGGTTAGGGTACCAGATAGCTCAGTGTTTAGAGCAATTGTCAAGCAAAAGATCGGAAAGCAAAAGGTCGAGAGTTCAATCCTTCTCTCTACTTTTTCTTGTCAATTTCTTCACTTCTTTATTCGAGATACATATTAGGTTGGTCGCAATTTTTCTGTTTTAAACTCACTGGATTGTACATCAATCGTTGAACGATTTGCCGTTGAGCGGCTTGTTGTCTCACCACTCGAATCAATCGACCATCTGGGGTTCGCAAGAATTCGTGAGCCGCGTTGCTTTGGTGAACAACTTGCGCATTTTCCGGTAAACGGCGGTATTGAATCTGAAATGAAATCATGTTAATCTTTTTACTGTATGACGAAGTTGAGGAAGAGTTACAAGATTATTACAAGCTCATTACAAAGTTTATTGACAAGGAAATGTCACAAGGCTGAGGCGGCCAAATGATATGAGCCATATAACATACGACGCAGAATTTTACGCTGATTCCGATGCTGCTATCCACTTTGTAAAATGGTTTGGAAACGAATCTTGCAAACAAGTTTGAGGTCAACTTAAAGGTCAAATCAGTTTCTATATAAGACTTTCACCGCCTCGAAAGGTGAGCTTGTGGTGTAGTGGATAAGAGTCTTGTTTCCGAAACAAGCTATCAAATTTTGCTCGGGTTTTATTCCTTCCTTTTATTTTGATGTTTAACCAATCGAATTTGCTCTATTTTAACTTTACAATAAATATCTTTTAATTGATAACATTTTAGGATCTCTTAGGATCATTTTAGGATCATTTTAGGATCTAGTATCTTTTAATAGGTTTCGTTTCATTTCATTTCAATGAATTCACGTTATAGATTGCTGCCATGTGTGCTAATTTTTAGTTATTTCGTTTGTTATTGATTAAACGATGTTATAATACTTATCGTAACGTTAAAATATAGCGAATTCGAGCGATTAAGCATCAAAATCAAACGAAAACAAAAGGACGGGATCGAACCAGCAAAAGTTGGTAGCTTGTCTCGGAAACAACACTCTTATCCACTACACCACAAGCTTACATTTTTAAGCGTTGAAAGAAGCCTTAGATAGAAACTGATTTGACTTCTAAGTTGACCTCAAACTTGTTTGCAAGATTCGTTTCCGAATCATTTTACAAAAATGGATAGCAGCATCGGAATCAGCACAACATTCTGCGTCGTATGTTATATGGCTCATATCATTTGTCTACCTCAGCCTTGTGACCTTTCCTTATAAAATATTTCCTTACTCAACCTCAACCAATCTTGACTTACTTGCTGTGTTTCTGGAAACTGTTGTTGCAGTGGTTGTTGCAATGTCTGCTGCATCGGTGGCTGTTGTTGAACAGGATAGCCGATTGCTGGTTGTTGAACCTGATACTGCTCTTGGTATGCAACTTGTTGCATCGGATTCGCTTCTACTTGTTGCGCGGGTTGAGCCATCGAAGTACTCGGATACTCGTTTTGCGGCGGCGCTTCATACATCATCTGATTCATCTGTGTGTTGTTCATTTGTCCTTGGTATCCTTGTTCAATCATCGGATTGTATCCCTGTTGCATATTTTGTTGATAATGGCTTTGATTATTGTCAATTTGATACATTGATTGATCGCCGAGCATCGGATTATTGTATATTTGTTGGGAGGAGTTGTTTTGAGCGTAATTTGGATAATATTCTTGAGTAGAAGTATCAGGTAAAGGTTGGTATGGATCATTTTGCATCGTTTGTTGAACCATTTGTTGATTTGGGGTAAAATCTTGACTTGAGTTCGGTTCTTGTAGCTGCTCGGGGTTGTTTTGAGGAGATCCGAAGGGCATCGATTGATCCATTGGCAGTCGTGGAGTCTCCAGGAAATCGTTTTGTGGTAGAACTAAATAAATGAGCTTTAAATCACGTGTTTTGGAGATTTTTTTACTATTTTTACAATTAACATTACAATCTTTTCTGAACCAAACTCAAAAATATTAGGTTGGTCGCAATTTTGGGAGTTTTGGAGGTAATGTTGACCCGTCGTTTTCTACAATCTTATCGTTTCTACAATTCAAAGAACGTTTTTTAAAAAGTGCTAAAACTTGCCGTAGTGCTGTTGTTTTTTTGATGAAAGTAAGTCTTTGCAATTTTTTTCCAAACGTCTTTTAAAAATAATACCGCCAACAACAAAATTTCTATTTAAAATATTAAAAAGCTTGATTGTTTCTTTACAAAATGGCTCTTGGGAAATTCTTGAAAGCTTTTGTTTTTGTGGATTTTCAAAGGCACAAACGCAAGCAACCAAAAGTCGCCATTTGTCGTAGCCGAGCCAAAGTCGCAATTTGGACACTTTCTTCAATACAAACCTATTTTGGTGCTAAAGTAAAAAAGATAGAGCTTATTTGATTACATAATTTTGTAAAATTTAAAAACGATCCGTTCAGCGATTTTCTTTAAAAAAGCAATTGAAAATTTGACATAAAAATGCCTTTTTTTTCGAGTTGAGATGAGCTTTGAGCTTTCTTTCAAAAGCTATTTTGTAGAGAAATGATAGACTTTTTTAATAGTTTAATAGGTTTAAATTTGGTAAAGGATTCTTTTCTCTAGAAACAAAAAATTGTAAAGACCAAATAGATTAACGACTTGGCTTTGCCAATTCACTGATTTTTGCCAAGACTCACTGATTGCTCCTTGATCCGGAATATGGGCATGTTGATTGGCTTGATGGTTTAGCTGATTTAACAAGTTCTAAATAAAAACCTTAATATTCTCTTTTCTTGCAATCCTCAGATCACCTCAGTTTGAATTCCCGGATTGAAATTGTCACATTCAGCCAGGAGTTTCTCCATTTCTCGTGTATTCGCCACGACCTCGGCCTGAAATTTCATCAATTCTCTTTTTCCCGAACGAAAGAACTTGGGTATTTAGCTAGAAATTACTGAAGAACTGATTGCTCCTTGATCCAGAATATGGGCATGTTGATTGGCTTGGGTATTTAGGGAAAAAACTTGGGTTATGAGGGAAAGAACATGGGTATTTAGTTAGAAATTCAGTTTTGAATTCTGATTTATTAATATTTAATAAATATCAAGCGGTACCAAGCGCTTTCTCACCTTTGTCAGCACTCTGTTCTGTTGCTCGAGTTGTTGTTGTTGTCGGTGATGTTCTTCGACGACATTTTTTCGAACCTAAAAGCAAGATGATAAGTTTATCTTGCAAAATCGAATCTATTTTAAATTTAATTGGTTTAAAGCTCTAATTTTTACTAATAACTACTAATTTTTACAGAATCAAATCCAATTTACAATGAAATTATCTTACCAAAAGAATGTTAAGCTAATTTTTGGGGGTAATTTGGAGGCATTGTGTTCTGAAATTGATCTTTTTCATTGATCTGGATGTCACAGAGTCATTCAAGCTCAGTTCTCTTCAATCTAACACATTTTCAAAGCCAGCCTGAGCCTGAGCCTGAGCCTGAGCCTAAGCCTAAGCCTGAGCCTGAGCCTGAGCCTAAGCCTAAGCCTGAGCCTGAGCCTGAGCCAAAAGCCAGCTTCTCTCGAGCCATTGTTCATCTCATCAAAACGAATCTTTTAAAACGTGAATTTCAAGAGGATCATTTAGTAAATTCTCAGATTTTCTGCTAGATGCTAATGCCAGATTTCTCTATTTAGATTTAGATCTTTTCCCAATTAACCTGTGCAAGTGGTAGATCATCTTCATCATCATCGAAATCTCCATCATCTTCAGCTTCTTCTTGCAAAAAGTAATCGCCCATGATCTTTCGTATTCTCTAATTTCTCTTCTTTTTCTTTGCCCCTTTCTTTTTGTTCTTTTTCAAAGACTCCACCGTCAAGGAATAACGTAACTGAAAAGAAATTAATTGATTATTCGAAGAAATCTTGAGAGAAAAGTTTTAGGAAATGATTTTAGGCGTTTCTGATGATTTCTGGAGTTAATTCTAAGGTCACTTTAGAATTTTAGATTATAAAAACCTACAAAGTTATAGAAAAGTTTAAAAATAACAACAAATAACAATGGGAAATCAAAAATTTTAAACATTTTCTAAGGGGAATTATTGAAAATCTTTCAAAACTCTTGAATAAGTTGAAAATAGAAAAAAGAGATTAGAAACAGGTCTAAAAAGCACAATAAACGCAACAAAAAATCAATAATCGAATTAAATCAAATAAAAGAAGATTGTAAAAGAAAATTCTTAAGTTTTCCCCAAAAAAAAACTTGATTTTCCTTGAGCAACTTTGTCAAAACTTTACGGGAAACTTTAGTATGAAAAAAGCTATGGAAAAGTTAAGTAAAAAGTACGAAATCTTTACCTAGGCATTACCGCCAGTTTCCTACATTTATAAGCTTAAATTTCTATATAAATCTAGTATCTAGAGGTTTAAAAACCGAAAAAACAAGGCCACATAGCCATTTTGTAAAAAATTTCTTTACTTTTTACACATCTAGAACTAGTTTTTAGCCTGGCCACATAGCCAAAAATTGATCTGAAAACTTTGCCCAACTTATCAACTTATCAACTTATCAACTTATCAATTTAAGTTTCGCAAAAACATTTGCAAGCCTTTACTTAACACTAAACACTACCATTTTTTAATAAAATGGCTTGTATACAGTGTTTTTGCGATGAGATGAAATGTCTCTCTGTAAGTATTCGGAAAAGGAGGCGAATGGGGTGGTGGAAAGCTCACGAAAAGGCAAAAAGAAGAGAGAATCGATTTTTTTTCCAATCTCTCTTTCCACGATATTTCTGAAAAACCCAGTTTTCCTTCTTCTCTAAATCTCTTCAGTGCAATTATCTATTAATTCCCGCACAAGAATTGTCCCATTCCCCCCTTTCTGCACTCTTTTCCACCTCTGCCAGTCCAATTATGTTTCCCCGTTTCCCTGGTGTCTCCAAGAATTGCCTAAAACCTCTCCATCACCCACTTCGAGAGCATCTCTGTCTTCGAGAGCATCTCTCTACCCTTTCTCTTTTATCTCAAATCCAATTCTCTCTAAATATTCTTTTTCTCAATGTTTCTTCCCTTCTCAATGTCTCTTCCCTTTATATAAAACGGAAGAAACGTCTGTCCGTTTGTTTTGGCAAAGTTCTGATACTTCTCTAATAGTTCTGATACTTCTCTGCCTAAGTTTCCACTTTATATAAAACAGAAGAGACGCGCTGTCCGTTTGTGCGCAGCCATTGGCAAAAAGGGGCGCGGCTTAGATTGCGTGGAACTCTAAACCCAAGAGTTGGAGTTTGGAGCGTTTTCCGCTTCCGTTTCTCTAATAGTGCACCCTAAGCTTGCCTAGATTACTTGAAATCTCGAAAACTGTTTATCAGAACCTGTGGGATCGGAAAATGTAACTGACGAAGATATCTTATGAGGAATTTGAGTCTTGAGCTTCTGTGAAAAATTGACAACCGAAAAATAGTCATCAACTCAGATCCTAGCATCTGTAAGCCAGGCCAGGTCAGAGTCCAAGTCTAGATACTTAAACTACTATCAGTACTCCAAAAGTTTAGATCTTGTACTCTATCTCCTCTTCTCTGTATCCCCAGTCAACCCATTTATTTCTTCTTTTCTCTTTCTGCTGTCTTGCGATCTTTCTCTGTAGTTCTCTGTAATCTGAAATCTGACATTCCCTATCTTTTCTCTTTCACAAACTCTCTCTAAAGACTCCCTAGCTTTGATCGATTTTCTCTGGACTCTCGATTCCGCTCATCTCCATCGAATTCTCATTTTGTTCACCAATCTCTAATAACCATTTTTCCAACTTTTCATCGCAATCTTTCAAACCTCCATCAAATTCCCATCCTTTTCCATCAATCTTTTCCCTTCACCTCTTAAACTTTCTCTGCTTCTTTCCCTCCTTCTTTCCCTCCTTCTTTCCCTCCTTCTTTCCCCCAAGCGATCAAAAGCAAAGTCGGTCACTCGTATTGGAGAAACGAGCACAAATGAGAAAAATTCCGACTCCAAACTCCGAATTTCAAAAATCCCGCAAACTGGAAATGTTCAAGCAATGATTTTCGAGATTTATACTTGTATTTATAACAGATTTTTCACACTTATGTCCAATTCTGATAAGTGATCCAATCGTACTTGTATTTCTTCATGAAATTCGTCCAGAAACGGTAGCTGTCACCAAACCAATCTGAAGAATTATTCGAAAGAGTTGAAATCTCAAATGATTACCATTTTTCATCTCCGGCTTTGGCTTCAGACTTAAATATTCGTGATTTTCAAGTGTAAATGGATTCCAAGGCATCGCAGTGTTTGAAGGGTTTCTGTAAAGCACTTTAGTTATGTAAGCTTATGTTTAGCTTATGTTTAGCTTATGTTCAATTACCCAGTTTTGAGGAATTGTACAAAAGCGTCTTGAATGTATTTCTCGACAATCAAATCATCCTGAGTGTAGTTGAAATCAGCCATCATTCCGAAGGTGTACGGGAATTCACTGGTATGAGTTGAGCCTGAATATATGGAAATTTATCTATATTCTTGTTTAAAGCATTTCCCGAATTTATTCCTACCGTAATCTAACTGTTTTTTGAAGATACAAAGTGACATTTCAAACTCTTGAGCTAAAGCTGATCAGCTTTAGCTCAAGAGCTCAAGAGATCCACTTAAATTAAAAGAAAACATTGGGATTACGGTAGCTTTTCTCGAGAGCTCCTTTCAGAAAGCAATACAATAGATGCAATACAATAGATGAGTGATCTAACAATGTGTAAGTGATTTGAATTGTGCTTACCTTGAGCTGGGTTATTGATCGGCCACGTATTCGGATTGTCGTAGTCCATTAAAAAAGCGTACACCGGTGAACCGGCTTGTAATTTGGCGACCGCTTCTCGCAAAACGGGCACATTCATCAACCAATCGGAGTAAGTCTGACAATTTGAACTCTCAAGTTTATTTACTAAAGTTGAGTTACGAGAGCTATTAGATTTAAAGTAAACAAGTAAACAAGTAAACAAGTAAACAAGTAAACAAACAAACAAGTAAACAAGTAAACAAATAAACAAGTAAACAAGTAAACAAGTAAACAGTAAACAGTAAAGAAACAATGTTACAAGTTTACTATCAAGTCAAACTAAAACTAACCATTCGACTTTAGACCCACCTCCACATATCTCTCCACCCAAAATCGTGCATCGAATGGATTATGACCTCTTTGATAATATGTCAAAATGTCTTGAGTGGCTTGCTCAGCTTCCGTGGAAGAATAGCCCTAAAATGCAAATTTCGTTATTGATATAACAAGCAACCTGTGAAGTGATGAACCTTTTCACATATTTGACGAATTCTGTTTGATTGTATGTTGACCATCTGAATGGGCCCACCCCGAAAGCCATGATGTAGACTTGGATAGCTGAATATCTTTTTAAAGACTTGAATAGCTGAATGTCTAAAATAGCTGAATAGCTGAATGTCTTTATCTTATTCTTTTAGTTGAATGATTTAGGTGAATATCTAAATCCGCTGATCATTGCTCACTCACTGAAAGATCTCCCTTCCACTTGATTCAACCCGAAAATTGTTGGATATTTTGGCACAGTCTTCAGTGCATCTTCTGGCTAAATGAATGAAAGATATATGCATTTTCAGGGAAATCTTAAAGATTTGAATCTTTTGCAAGCTTTTAATACAAAGGTTTCACCTGTTTTGGTAAGAAATCCCCATCGATGATTGGGGCAAAACCCAAAAAGTTGAGGTCATCGGGACCGCATCCCTATAAAAATTTTGATTTTCGATAACTGGTAGCTTTTTTCTAAGGGAATCTTTTAGGGAAATATTAGGGGAATAAGCCTTTTAGGCAATAAGCCTACTGTTACTGAATGTTTCTTCTCAAAGAACGTTGTTTAAAAAGTGCTAAAACTTGCCGTAGTCCTGTTGTTTTCTTGATGAAAGTAAGTCTTTACAATTTTTTCCAAATGTCTTTTAAAAATAATACTGCCACCAACAAAATTTCTATTTAAACTATTAAAAAGCTTGATTGTTTCTCTACAAAATGGCTTTTGGGAAATTCTTGGAAGTATTTGTTTTTTTGGGTTTTCAAAGGCACAAACACGAGCACCCAAAAATGCTCCGATGCGATGCCGAAGTCGCAATTTGGACACTTTCTTTAATACAAACCTATTTTGATGCTAAAGTAAAAAAGATAGAGCTTATTTGATTACATAATTCTGTAAAATTTAAAAACGATCCGTTCAGCGATTTTCTTTAAAACAGCAATTGAAAATTATACATAAAATTGACTTTTTTTCGAGTTGAGATGAGCTTTGAGCTTTCTTTCAAAAGCTATTTTGTAAAGAAATAGGAAAAAAATAGACCTTTCTGAATAGTTTAAAATGAAACAAATTTGTTAAAGACTCCTGTGGAAACAAAAGTTTGTTAAAAATTATAAAAACTTACAACCTATTAGGTTGTTCGGATATAAACAAGCGTTACTAAACTTATTGTTGTGAGGGAAGCTTTTAAAAGATGTCTTTCTGTATTTAAAAGTACGTTATCTTGTGTATATTTGGAATCTTTTTAAACGGATAATTTCTTATTTTTAAGATCTTTTTTTCTTGCTTTAGATGATCGACCTCAAATATAACAAGTTCGCCTACTTTACGACTTCAAACTGGACAAAACAGTAGCGGAATCCCATCGAAATTTGGGCAAAGCATTTGGGAAAGATGTATTGTTCGAAAGCCGATGCCGAGCCTGGTTCCAACGCTTTCGGAATGGTGATGAAAGTCTCGAGGATGATCAACACTCGCGTCGACCTCAAACGGTAGACAACGATACTTTGAGGGCTGCAATCGAATCAGATCCATGTCAAACGACGCGTGAACTTGCTCAACAGTTTCTATGTTCAAATTCTACCATTGATGAGCACCATTGGAAAGGCGATCAGATACGGGAAATGGCTTCCTCACGAGTTAAGCAGTGCAAACGCTCATTTATATCCGAACAACCTAATAACTGGTTGAGCTCATTTAAACAAATCAAAGTTTATAGAAAAGCACCCTCATTTAAATTGAAATAAATTTTAAAAATAAACTGGATAAATGTTTTAAAATACATATAGATACAGTAACTTTTTTCTAAACGTATTTTTTAGAAAACATTCTAGTCAGAAAACAGTTTGGAAATGTTTTATTTATGAAAATAACCTTGTAGATCATTTCACTAAAGCTAAGATCACCAATAAACAGGTTTACGATTAGATTTAAACTAAATACAATAGCCTTAGCATCTTTTTCAAGTCATGAGTCACACTAGAGACAAAAGAATAGCTTTGAAATCCCCAAACGAACCCATAAATTGTTCGATCGCACCGTCCAAAACTCGTCAACCGTCCTCGACTGTAGACAGCTTTAAACTTAAAACTTTTTAATTTAAATCACTCTCGACCTACGTTTTATAATCCGTTTTTAAATCACATCCAAGTCTTGTTGTCCAATTTTTCGAGAATTCCTAAGGAAATTGATTTGAATTAAACTATTTTGCTTGTCACCAAATTGTTTGTTCCCCGTGCATTTGCGGCAATTGACGAGCCGCTCATTTGAATGACTTGTTGGAAAAGATCTGAATATGGAATTGATTTAAGCAAATATTCAAATAAATCGAAACTTTCAAGAAATAAGCAATAAGTTTGGAGGTAAGTTGAGGCAAAAACAGTACTTTGTGTTTTCGGCGACAAAGTGAGTTGACTGCACGACTCGGAGCCGGCCGATTGGCCCATAATTGTCACTTGCTTGCTGTTCCCTAGGTTGTTGAAAAATGCATAAGATTGTAGAAAACGACGGCTCAACATTACCTCCAAAACTCCCGATATTCGCTTGCACCCATTGAAGAGCGAAAGCCTGATCCCAAAGGCCAAGATTTGGGGTGATCAACGAGTCGTTTAGAGTGAGGAATCCTAAAATCCATCAAGTTTTCCATATGTTTCCAAATCAAATCACCAAATGGCCCAAGTCGATATTGGATTGATACCATGACAATGCCTCTTCTTGCATAGCTCTGAAACTTTAGTTTTGAAACTAAATCTATTGGAATAGCTGGTAATATCATAGAAATGCTTAAAAGTCAAAGATTTTGATAAATCGATTATCTAAAACCCAACTGGATATGCCTTAAAAATACTAGGTTGGTGCAAATGAAATTTCGTTTTTTTACAAACATTAAAGTCATCCAAAATTTTTTTAGATAACAATTTATTTAAAACAATAAGCACCATTATTATCTATGACATCCCTCCAACGTTGCTTCAGATTGCGGATCCCCTTCTCAAAGAACGCTTGATTCTGTGATGCAAAGTAGTTGGTCACCCAATTTTCGACTTCTTTTGCATTCTTAAACTGGCAATTCTCAAGGGAATGTTGCCTCGATCTGAAAAGGTGAAAATCGGAGGGTGCTAAGTCTGGACTATACGGCGCATGTGGTAAGACCTTCCATCCTAGCTTCTCTAGTTCCTTACAAGAGGTTTTTGCCGTGTGAGCTGGAGCATTATCACGGAGAAAGCTGATAGTTGAGGGATTTAGGCCTTTTTCACGCAAAATTTCGTGAACCTTCTTGAGTTGTTGAATAAAATAAGATGAATCGACTGTTTTTCCGGGCTCTAATAATTCAAAATGAACAAGTCCATTGATATTCCACCAGCAAGACAACATCACTTTGCGCCCATGATAATCCGGCTTTGGAGTTGGAATTGGCGCTTGACCTTTGCTCAGCCATTGCCTTTTTCGAGAAGTATTATCAAAGTGAATCCACTTCTCATCCATCGTCAAGATACTCTCAAAAAAATGGCTTCTTTTCGACTTATGGAGCAAGATATGGCTGATCGAAACGCGTGCTCCCAGATTCTCAACACTCAATTGATGTGGAACCCATTGTCCATTACGATTTGTCTTTCCAATTATTTCCAAATGGCGTACAATTGTTGAATGATCACATTGAGATGTTTGGCAAGTTCTCGTGTTGTTTGCATTGGATCAGCTTCAATTCATTGTTGTCGATGGCTGTGGCACGATGTCCATGCGATTCGTCTTCAAGGGATTCATTACCATCTCGGAATTGGGCAAACCAGAGCTGGCATGATCTTTCGGTGATAACCTGTTCTCCAAAGGCGGAACAGAGATCACGATGTGAATCAGCAGCGTTTTTGCCCATTTTGAAGTCATAGAGAAGACACGTGCGCAGAACATACTTTTGATCCACCATGATCTAAAGCAAAAATCAATTAAAAAGTGAAAGCTCTGACTTTGAAAAAATGCGAAAATAAAGTAAATATCCAAGAGTACAAATGCACAAAAGAACATCAAATAAGCTCTTCAGATTAAAAAAATAAGAACATTTTATATCGACCGAAATTTCTTTTGCACCAACCTAATAGGACAAAATCGTTTAATTGAAGTTGAAAATTTAGTTGATTGAAGTACTGAGCCCGTATGCTATGCTCCGAGAAAGTTCCCGGAGCGTAGCAAGCCCCTGCCGGAAACTCGGAATGATTGAAAGCTAGCAGCGCATCCGCCTTTATTAGAATAAATACGGTATATCAAATTTAAATCAACCAACAACTTTTTACGTCACCTCACCTCTCGAAAGGCAACAGCATCAAAATCGTAGGCGCTCCCAATCTCATAGGCTCCACCATGGATGAAGAAAAACACAGGCATTTGACCCTGCAAATTCTTGTCAAACAAAGCTATTACCAATATAAAAATCAAATTTCAGCCACTTTATCAGCACCTGCAAATTCGGCGTCCAAACATTCAAGTAAAGGCAATCCTCGCTGACGAGCGCTCGCTCGGCGGCGGTGCTGAAAAGTATTAATGTGAAATTTCAGAAATTATCTGTAGAACTTGCATGAATACCTGAGATCTTCAAAATATCAAAATTATGTATCAAAAATGCTTGTTTACCCTGGTTTCGCACACGGAATGCATCCTTTTGAGTAAGTGGTCGCGTTCACCGGTTTCGTCCAAGTTGTTGGTTGTTTAGGTTTCTGAAAAACGTAACTCAGAAAACAATCAATTTGCCTTGCATTGATTAGTTAATCTGGTACTACCAGAGTTTCCGGGCAAGTCTAGAGACAAATATCTGACTCAGTTTATGAGCCAAATCTTGGCCATGTCTCTGGCCTTACCTTACCTAGCCACAAAAAGGCCTGGAGTTGGGCCCGCCAGAAGCTAGAGTATGGCATAAGGCCCTACCCTGGCGGCAATGGGATCTGTGTCGGTGTAGCCCATTGGTAGAGCGTTCGCCCGGTAAGCGAGATGTCGCGGGTTCAAATCGCGGCACCAGGCCCGTAGCCAGGATTTCGGTGTTTTTGGGAGAATCGCCAGAGCTTCGTCCAGAAGCCCCCAATCAAGTTACACCAAAAGAAGGAAATTTGTGGACACGTTGGACGTGTTGGGCACGCCGGTCCTTTTATTTGTGGGCTGGGAATACAAAACAGAAGAAAATTTCGCAAAATCTTTATGCTACATCATGGCTACAATGAAATTTCTCTAAAATGAAATTCACTGGGACAGATTTGAATTTTTTTGAAATTTTGGATCCTTAGCCGTTACCCAGGAAACTTCTAATCACCACCAATCGATTCTCCGTATCGATTTCCATAGCTAAACAGCTAAAAATCTGATTTAAGACTTGTGGAGCGAGCTAAGAGGGCTCAAAGTTGGGTTGTCACGACTTTTTTTGCGCCTCTGCCTAACTTTGAGCCCCTCTAGCTTGTTTCACAAGCTTTAAATCAGACTTTTAGCTGCTTAGCTATGGAAATCGATACGGAGAATCGATTGGTGGTGATTAGAAGTTTCCTTGATAACGACTAAGAGTCTAAAACCTCTGCTCCCTTGAAATTTTCTCAAAAAATCCAAATTTTTCCAAGTGAATTTCATTTTAGAAAAATTTCATTGTAGCCATGATGTAGCCTAAAGATTTTGCAAAATTTTCTTCTGTTTTGTATTCCCAGCCCCGACATATGAAAGGATCAGCGTGTCCACCTCCAGCTCTGGACCTTGGATCCTTTGAATAGGAGATCCTATGATTAGCTAATCTTGACTAATTCCCGTACCTCGAATCTCAACTTTCCAACTGGTGGTGCGGCGAATGGAATTCCCAAAAACTCATTGACTTTCGTTCCATCCGATGTTGTCTGAAAATTGCCCAAAACGGCCCCATTCTTCGTGATCACAAGCGGTTGATCGCAGATTATCACAGAAAATAAAGAAAATACTCCAATTTGTACTAAGTGCCGCATTTTCTTCTTCGAAGTGAACTCTGGCAAAGGAATGCTTTCGATTTTCCCGTTTCCATTCGCCGATAAGCGATAAGTAAACACTTTTTGGTCATTCAAAATCAGAAAAAAGTCCACCTTTGAAACAAGCAAACTACTGACAGAAAAGTTCATGGATGAAATCATTTCTGCAATGAAGTCATTGATGTTTTACTGGAGGTGCACAAAGATTGATCATCGCCTCCAGCCAAACAACACATTTTATTGGAAAAAATTTCCTTAATCCGAAAAAGTAGGTCTCCGGTGTTTTTGAGAAAAATGGCCTCAAAGTTCATGATTTTTGAAAGGTTTTTTCGAATCTCTGGCACACTATTTGCGTCCAACTTCTAATAATCGATTACTAGGCTACAAGACACTTTATAATCAATTATAAAGTGCCTTGTAGCCTAGTGATTATTCTGGACGTTCTGTGCATTTTTGCTTCATAGTTCGATACCGCTCACGGCCAAACCTTTTTATTTTGTAAATTGATTAGAAATTATTTTCAAGACCATCGAGGCTTTCGTTTGGAACTTAATGGCTTGACTAGTACTAACTAGGCTTAACTAGTACTGTTAACGCTAGCGTTAAGTGCTTATATCGGTAAGTGCCGCTAACCCAGCGTAATAGTGATAATCCAAAACATTTAGCCGAGTCAGAGCAAAACGAAAATTTTTATATTTGAAATATCTGCCTACTGTAAACATTCTAGTAGAAGCGCCGGCTCTTCTATTTTCAATATCCCTCTCAAATTCTTTTTCATGCTCAGCTAGTATACCCAAATTTTCAAGAGCTCAAAAATCGGTGTTTTTGTTGGATTTTCATCCGATTTTCGACGTTATTAAGCTTTTTTTAGTCTATAACTATTATTTTTAACTATTATTTACTATTTAAAGCCTTTGAAATCTTTAAAAAAGTAAAACATTTTGCTATCCGAGAGTTGAAAAATCCGAAGAAAGAAAAATTTCGTCTAAAGGAGGCGCTTCTATTGAAATTAATAAGTTATTTATCGATGGAATGAAACGTATTTCAAGCTTTAAAGCAAAATAATGTTTTAGCATCAAGGGGTTCTGTGGAGCTTTGTTTTCAATTCAAATCAAAACACTTACCTAAACTTATCAATGATCCTGCCCTATTCAACAAATAATTACTGTGCTTACCCTATTAGCAATGTCAGAAAATCAGTACTATCATTTAAAAACAGTTTAAACTAAAACTACATATGAAATGTGTTGACAAAGCTTGATCAGTAAAGAACCCAAATATTATAGAGATTCTTTAAAACTTTCAACTTCATTGGCAGGGCCGCGCGAACGCAGCCCCTCACGCAAAAATTAAGCTGTTAGCGAATCCCAACTCGGGACTGCCACACAGGTCAACCCAGCCTAAAGTGCAATGGCCGAGCCTCGCCATGGGGGTCCCGCCTTCATGATCGCGAGAGCCCCCCAGCCAGGTAAGTTTATGAGCCGGGAATGGGAGAGGGTTATGGAAAGGCCCGATGCCAAAAGAGATGCGATTACATTCACGCACAAAGAACGCACAAAGAGCGTGACAGTAAAAGAGTTTTTTTCTCAATTCCTTTACTATTCTTAGACAGAACAATATTTTAATAATAAAACAATTTTGTACAGTAACTCACCGAATCCATGCATTGATGTCCTCATCGGACTTCTTGGTAGAGCCAAAGTTGAGAATTGGGGCCAAAAGACTCTATTCAAGTTGAGTATCAGGTCGGAGCGACTGAAATTTTGACTCCTAGCGAACAATTCTCCAATGTTAGTCAGTACTATCACCTACAAACCGAACAACTAAAACGACATCTGGAATGTGCTGACAAAGCGACAGAAAGTTATGTAGTTAAAGTCAATGTATTTACGTTAAAGTTATATAGAAAGCTACAGTCAAGAAGCAAAAATTCAAAGGCTTTTCTTAAAGCTTTCAACTTCACTGGCAGGGCCGCGCGAACGCAGCCCCTCACGCAAAAATTAAGCTGTTAGCGAATCCCAACTCGGGACTGCCACACAGGTCAACCCAGCCTAAAGTGCAATGGCCGAGCCTCGCCATGGGGGTCACGCCTTCATGATCGCGAGAGCCCCCCAGCCAGGTAAGTTTATGAACCGAGAATGGGTGTGGGTTATGGAAAGGACCGATGCCAAAAGTGATGCGATTACACTCACGCACAAAGAACGCACAAAGAGCGTGACAGTAAAAGAGTTTTATTCTCAATTCTTTTCCCTTTTCCCAGAAAGACTAGGTACTGTAAATAGCCTTTTTTTTCAACTTGCCTCTAAAATTCTTTTTCGTGCCCTAGCTACAGTATACCCAATTTTTAAGAGCTTAAAAATGGCTATTTTTGTTAGATTTTCATCCGATTTTCGACGTCATTAAGCTTTTTTAGTCTATAACTATTATTTAAAGCCTTTAAAGTGTTTAAAGGGTTAAGCATTTTGCATTTTGTTGACAAATCCGAAGAAAGAAAAATTTCGTCTAAAGGAGGCGCTTCTATTGGAATAAATACGGTATCTGACTAGGAGCTAACTAAAGCCAAACCTTGAACTGATTTAGTTTGGTCTGGTTTACTATCCAAGTGTACTGCAAGGCGGGGACAGGCTCGAGATAGGCTTAGCTTGCTTGGCTGGCTGGCTTTTAGCAACAAGAGAATGGTCAGAAGCGGTGTCTTCTTGTGTGTCTTCTTAAAAAAGCTACCGTAATCTGGCTTCTAACTGTATCCAAACTATCATCTTGATAAAGAATTTCTTTGCGGGAGATCCTCTATATTTGATTTGTTGTGGTGCTGGAGGTACAAAGAAGTCAGAATTCGAAAAATCTAACTTTTCAGGCTCAATTTCAACAGATTTAGTGTTATAAGAGCTCTATTGATGAAGAATTTCGTTAAATAGATTCTTCTTTTTAATGAAATAGCACTGAATGAAATAGCAGCAATGAAATAGAAATAGATATTCTGTAAATCATGAAACTGTTATATATAAATACTTTATTCAGAAAGAAATAAAGTGCGAAAACGACATGAAAAATGTACTAGATAAAAGATCACAAAGTCACTTAAAATGCAACGAAATAGCCCTTTTAAAATCAGACACGGTGGAGATCAAACGCAACTTGTCGGGAAGGGCATTCCAAACTTTAGTCACACGATTTACGAAAAAAGCTCTAGAGGATTTAGAGAAAGCAGATTCGGGATGCAAGATAAAAGAGCCACGCCTAGTCGCCAAACTGTTAGTGACAGCTACAAGCGAATACAAGCAACAACGACTAAGGAGAAACCTTTTACAATTGGTTTCTCAATGATACGAAGAATATTTTGCTCGTTTAAATTTGCTATTTAAATTCACTATTTAAATTTGCTATTATAATTTAAATCTAAATTTCAAATTTTCTATCTTTTAGACAGTTTAGTTAAAGTCAAAACTCCAAATTCGATCGTTTATTTCAACCGGTTTTTCAGTAATTATTAAGCACCGTTATTGAAGTTGAAATTGAAGGAAATCAGCTGCAAAAGTGGCTCACTTTCATTAGGTTTTACTGGTTTTATATTAATTGATTCAGATTTTTACCTATCGATGAATCAAGATTGGACGAATGGGCCCAGCTGCTCCCAATATGCGCCCACATTCTCTCAATACTCGAAGCAACGCATCGATTTGCCGATTTGTCTTGACTCCTCCGAGTTTACCACTGATGAATTGGAGTATCAAGAATTACAGGTAAATCAGGATATATCGATTTTAGTTTCTAAGTTTATTCATGTCTTTTGTAAAGATATTAATTGAACTAGTAGGTAGTCAAATTTTTGGTTAGTGCATAAGTCTTTACAATTTTTTTCCAAACTTCTTTTAAAAATAATATCGCCACCATCAAAATTTCTATTTGAACCCCTAAAAAGCGTGATTGTTTCTCTACAAAATGGCTTTTGGGAAATTCTTGGAAGTAGTTGTTTTTTTGGGTTTTCAAAAGCACAAACACGAGCACCCAAAACTGTTCCGATGCGATGCCGAAGTCGCAATTTGAACACTTTCTTTAATACAAACCTATTTTGATGCTAAAGTAAAAAAGATAGAGCTTATTTGATTACATAAGTCTGTAAAATTTGAAACCGATCCGTTCAGCGATTTTCTTTAAAACAGCAATTGAAAATTATAGATAAAAATGGGTTTTTACCGAGTTGAGATGAGCTTTGAGCTTTCTTTCAAAAGCTATTTTGTAGAGAAATGATAGACTTTTTTAATAGGTTAATAGGTTTAAACTTGGTAAAGGGTTCTTTTCTATAGAAACAAAAAATTGTAAAGGTCAAATAGATTAATAACTTGGCTTTGCCAATTCACTGATTTTTGCCAAGACTCACTGATTGCTCCTTGATCCGGAATATGGGCATGTTGATTGAAAAATGAAAACCCTTTATTTCCAAGTCAAAATTTTCTGAAATTTTGCAAGTTTTTTGGGTAAAAGCGAGCATTTCAGGAAAAACTCGGAATTTTGAAGAAAAATCTCGATGCTTTAAATGACGAGAAAGGAAAGGCGAAAGGGGTTCGACAATTGCAGGTACGATTTGCAAAAAGTTTTGAATTTAGCTAAATAGAGCTCAGGTTTAAAATATAAACTTTCATAAGGAGCAATATTTTGAGAGAATAAATCTCAAATGGGAATAACAATAAATGGAAATGGAGACTTTAAGCTCAAACTTCTTTACGAGTTCTTGATCAGAAAATTGATTGTTTAGAAAAAGTGTTGGGTCATTTACTTGAAGTTTTTAGTCATTTCCTTTGGCCATTTACTTTTGGCCATTTACTTTTGGCCATTTACTTTTGGCCATTTACTTTTGGCCATTTACTTTTGGTCATTTACTTTTGGCCATTTAATTTTGTCCATTTAATTTTGGCCATTTCCTTTGACCATTTACTTTTGGCCATTTACTTTTGAAGATCATTTACTTAACTATTGAAGTTCGACAAAATTTAGGAAATCAAGAACGTCTGTGTTTTGCTATTGAGACGAGTGGCCGGATCGGTGTTCGCCCATCCCGCAAATCCGATCTACAGTCTTGAAGAAATCGTTTCTGATCTCATTGTGGCTTGTGAACAGGTACACTTTTATTAATCTAAAAGAAAATTGAAATCCATTAAATGCAAAACATTGATATCTTTCAGGAACTATCTAAGAACGAGAGTAAATATCAGAAAAATCACGCGTCACAAATGGATTTCACTAGCACCGAAATGTGCCTCGAGTTCGTGAGAACGCTTGTTGCAAGTGAAATTTTTAACTCAAATTCTAAAGAATTCAAGAAATTCTAGAAAAATTGGCTAATGAGCAAATCGAAATCACGCGACTCTGCATTTCGTTGCAAAAATCGATTTTCAACACCGTAGATGGGCGGTGAGTTTTCTAAAAAATTTAATTGATTTGCGTACGTTTTCAGTAGACTTTTGTTTCGGTTAACTTCGGAAACGTTCTTTTTCGGTTCGGTTTCGGTTTCGGTTAACCAAACCGAACCGAAAAACTAATCTTTTCGGTTAACCAAACCAAACCGAAAAACTAATCTTTTCGGTTGAACCGAACCGAACCGAAGAACTAATCTTTTCGGTTAATCAAACCGAACCGAAGAACTAATCTTTTCGGTGAACCGAACCGAACCGAAGAACTAATCTTTTCGGTTAATCAAACCGAACCGAAGAACTAATCTTTTCGGTTAATCAAACCAAACCGAAGAACTAATCTTTTCGGTTAATCAAACCGAACCGAAGAACTAATCTTTTCGGTGAACCGAACCGAACCGAAGAACTAATCTTTTCGGTTAACCAAACCGAACCGAAAGATTTCGGTTGACTTTGGTTGAACCGAAACCGAAACCGAACCGAAAAGAGCCAACCGAACACACAAGTCTAGTTTTCAGCTTTGAAAATGCTACCTGTGAGTTGTTGGTGAAATATTCCGAAAAAGTGCCGATCGTCGAGTGGAAAACTTCACATTTCAATTGTAGGTGTCGACTAGTTTTTGGGCTTTGATCTTTTTCAAAAGAATTTCCTTGTTTTACGCATGTTTTTCGTTCATTTTAGAGCATTTCCAATCGAGCTAGAGTTATTTTAAAAGCTTTTTTTTATTAATTTTATATGGTCGCCCCTTATTTGATTTTTCTTGTTTCAAAAGTTCAACTTATTGTTTTTCAAATTCCGTTTTAGCCAAAAGTGACAAAAAAGTTGGTAAAAATTGATTTGAAAACGTTTTTTTCGGAGCACTCTGTACTTGTGACTTTGTTGGGGCCAAGAAGAGATGCAAATCTTTCTTTTAGACCAACCAAAGTCATATGTAACAATGATTCTTTAGTATTGCTGCAAAAATCTCAATGTGAACTCCTTGCAAGACTCTCGACACCGATTACATGGAAAAGAGCTGAAACGTGGGCTAAAGTGATCACTTTGCTTGTGAAAAATGCTAAATGGCACAAGTTAGTTGGGATCGATATAAATAAATGTCTTTGAGTCTAGTACCGAAGCCAGACCAGGTGCAACAACGTTTGCTTTTGTGCTTAAAATCGTCGAGGTTTTGGAAAAACACGGAACAGATTTGTAAGTGGCTTAATCGAGAAGCTCATTTTATTTTCAATTTATCAAATTTTAAGCTGGAAGAAACGCACGACTTACACATCGGCAATCTTTGATCTCTTTTCGATTTTCATCGATGAATGGGGCATTCTTTATTGGGATATTATTACACCAAGGTTTCTTTTTTGCCGTTTCCTAAGCAATTTGTAAATGATTTTCAGATTTCTTGATATTTGTCAAGCTTCAATTGATCAATTGAACGGGATTTGGTCATCCGTTTTGGCGATCCAAGACAAGTTTGCTGTGGAAACGGCTGGGGTATGGCTAAATACAGAGCTCAAGCTGAATCCAACTTATAATAATAATAATAGATCTAGTAATCTTTTAGAGAGCCTTTTGGTCTTTTCTGGAAAGAGCGCTGGCTCTTGGAGCTTCTGGTGGAGAAATGGTGATACCAGTCTGCGCTGAGAAGATCACAACGCTTGCCAATGATATATTCTTGTCAATCACCTCAGAATTGACGAAGGCTTGCAACAGTAATTCAGTTAGTTGCACATTTGATATTTTTACCCTAAACAAAACTCAGCGAACTCCATTCGAACTACCCGATTCTCGGATTGCGCTCATCAGCCGGCTCCTTTGTTTGTGTGAGAGTGGAAACGTAAAGGACTTCAACAAGTCAGCAAAAAGATCGCGTTACTTATCACCTCTTGAGGTAAGAGAAAACTGAAAAACAAGAGAAAACTGAAATAGACATCCCACTTTTTTCATTTTAACAAACAGCTTTTGTTTGTTTCACAATTTTGGTTAAACAAAATGAACTTCAGACTTTCTGTGACTGTGATTGGGAGGGGCCAAATCAAGCTTCACTCACCTCCGTGACACTCCGATCTCTACACGCCTTTTTCGAGCTCTATTCAACTAAAATCGCAAGTAAAATCGAAGAAATCACGGAAAGATTTTGGAATTCAAGAGCCAAATTCTCGGGGTGAGTTTGAGAACTTAAATTCTTTAACTCAACTCAAATTAATTAGATTTACCGACATGTATTGCAACATTTTGGCAATAATTCTTGAAAGAGAGAATCTTTGCAATAATCAACTATGTCACTCAATTCTGGAATGGGTTTTTGGCGAAGGGATGGGACCGGGAGCCGCTCATCTATGCGCGAATATTTTGGTCAGATTTCCGGTGGTGAGCTGGGAAATGGAAAACTTGTTTCAATCATTTCGTTTTTAGGACTCACTTTCCCTCAACCAAATCCTCGAGTTCTTGTCGAGAAATCAGATTTCATCAAAATATGAGCACAATTTACTCGGATTTGCTTTAGAAAGGTATGCAGATTGGTTAAAAGATTTTTTTTCCATCCCTAAACTTGGCCAAAACCAGGGCCCGAGTCTAGATTTCACTAGATCTAGTAAAAAATTTACTAGTTTCACCCAAAAATTCGCAATTTTTTGAGAATAACTTCTTTCAAATTTAAAATTTTTACTAGTTCTTTGTTTTTTTAGAAACTAGTTGCAATTCTGCGTTTAGATATATAAAAATAATTAAAGGAAAGATGTCGTGGTGGCGGTGGGCTTGAATACGAGGCAAGGACCCTAGGGTTCGGGTCGCTTTTGATTATTGTTTTTGCTTCTTTCAGCTTTAAATGGTTTGAGTGTTCTCTATGTGAGCGCACAATCATACAGCATTTGGCACACTGTTGCACTGGATATATATACACTCATTGATGGCAATCAACACCTCCAAAACACTCAAACTATTCAAAGCTAAAAGAAGCAAAAGAAAGAGTCAGACGCCTGACCCGAACGTAGGGTCCTCGCTTCGGATTCAAGCCAACGACCACTCATCCTTATCCTCTGGTAAGTCACGAAATCTTTTATCCTCTGGTAAGTCAATTTATAAGCTCAAGCTCTTTTTTTTTGCTATTCCATCAAAAACTTTGAGCGCTTATAAGTTTTGACAGAGTGCTGCGTTGCAAAAACGGAAAGCAGATTCGGAATCCTCGCAAAATTCTACGTCAGTTAGTATATGGCCTGGCTTGACTAGGTCGGAGTCACAAAAGTCTTTGAGCTAGCCAAAAGCCAAGCCTAGTCCTGGCTTGTTAATGTCATTTGTGATATCAAAAACAATTGTATCTTTTCCAATTTTTACTCTAGGTGTAAAATCGACGAGTTCTCTTCGATTCCTTCTCAAATGCACGGGCAAAACTTTCCCAAGAGTAGACACACTCCATTCTTCGAGCCATGGAAGTAGGTGTTATCATTCACTTCTTCATTAGCATTAACTATCATTAACTTAGTTTTTTTGACGAGTTTCCTGAAAACGTAAATTGTTTTAGGTTCCGTCAAGAGCTTATCGAGTATTTGTTGATGACCTCAACTGTTGATATTGCTGATATTGTGACGCAATTGATGACCTATTACTGTAATCAGGGGACAATTTACGAAAAGCCGGGTACATCAAAGAAAGTTTTTTTGTAAAACGTTTTTCAGGAAGTGATTCCCACAAAACTTTCGAAGACAACTTGTGTTCATTTATGCTGATTGGATCTGGGTATTGATGGCTTTGAAATACTTTTGACAGATAGTTTTAGATCACTCCAATGTAAAGCCAAAGAAGAGAAACAACCAAATATTTACATACCGGATCTGGTGAAAACTTGTGCACAGCTTTTTACGATAATTTGGGATAAAGGTTGGTCGTTTTCTGATATTCCACTGTAGTCAACGTAGTTTTAAAACTAGCGTAGTCAAACTGCAGGCCACTGCACTCAATCAATTTACAAATCATTGACTGAGCCTTGTGATTCCTCATCGAATCATAAAAGAATTTAATAATCGATTGAAATTGACAGTTTGATAACAGTAGTTCTGATGAGATGACGTGTAGAAATTGCATTACCGTAATACCTATAATTGTAGTCTCCCGCCTCGTACAGTCGCGTAATCGCTAAAGTAAATCGTTTTTTTTTGAACTCGCCCAAATTTTTCTAAGCTAAACTGTTAGTACCATAAAATTCTTTACTTCAAGCGCTATCTTTTGACATCTCAGCGCAGATTTTTCGCCGAAGCAGCTCGGAGAACCGAGCCTCACAAAATTGTGTGTTAGACTACGCGAGTGTACGGGGGCGCTACTATTGCAGGTATTACGGGAAGCAAAAGAAACAAATTTCATGAAGATTTTCCGGTTCTTGAAATTTACGAGCTTTTTAAAATCTTTTGGGCTATTTCTTTGAGTTTGAACTTATTTTTATTTGAAGTTGAAATTTTTTTGAACACATTCACAACAATATTAGGTGGGTCCACTGGTGGGCCATACGTGATGGTCATCTTGGCCCACTGGTGGGCCATACTTGATGGCCATCTTGGCTCCAAAATTAAAGTAGCTTAAAAAGTAACAACGTATTCGAATTTCTCATCCTCGAAAGGAATCGATTGCAAATTTTTTAGATTTACAGCTAGCACAGCTATTGTCCAAAACGGCAACCAAGCCAAAAATGGCTTTGTCGGAATTTTGTTGAAGCACTTTATGATCAAAAAAAGGAACAGATTTTGCATCCACAAAAGCGATTTCAGTCGGATTTCCCTACCGTAAATACTCTAATAGAACGTTAGCATAATGACGAAGCACAGTCACGTAGTCTAACTTTGAACATCCCGTTCTCCGCGCTGCTTTACGCTACAGTGTGCGCTTGGGTGTCAAATGACAGCCCTTGAAATCTAGTATTTTTTTGGTTTCAAAAGTGTTGGGAAAAATCTAGAGACTGAGAAAAATGAAGAAAGAAGAAGTTTACTAAAAAAGAAGTTAGACTACGCGATTGTACGGTTCTGGCGCTCTATTAGAGTATTTATGGTAGGTGATTCCGGTCCAAACGCTAGTTTTAACGTCCAAGTCATCCTACATCGCAAATTTTTTGTGCATGCAGGTTCTGTTTTTATTTCTGTTGATCATAATTAGTTAAAAGATCTCAACTCACATATAAAAATCACTTCAAACTGAATGAAATGTTCCAAAAGATTTGAAAAAGGCTCGTAACACTTTACAAGAACCAATTTTTCTTTAGAAAGCTCATTCGTAAGAAAGTTGTTCTTGTGGAGACAACTGGGGTTGCTTTATGGAATTTTGACAAAGAATCAAGCTCAGGAAGCAATTGGAGTCTTTGAGAGTTTGGTTGAAGTGAGTAATTTTTGAAATTTGTTTTGTTTTTAATGCTTATTAACCTTCAGTCGGCTTGTAGAAGCTTAAATTTAGATTTTAGATTTTAGATTTAGAGATCTAATTTAGAAAATAAATGGCTAGCTTTAGAAAACAAAGAAATGGTTGTTTAACAATTGTTTCTTTTTTTTTTAATGCTTATTAACCTTGAGTCGGCTTTTAGAAGCTTAAATTTAGATTTAGATAGTTTAGAATTTAGATTTTAGTTATATCTAATAGATATCTGCTTTAGAAAACAAAGAAATGGCTGTTTAACAATTACACTCAAATCACCGATCACAGCTGGGATTTGTTGGATTTGGGAGAGTGAGTGAATCCATTCAAAAAAATAAATTCATTCCGGTTTAGATTCAGCACTTGCTTGGGCAAAGAAATCAAAAATTTGATTATGGAACAAGCGCATATTGTAAGTGATTGACTTTACTTCAAAAATGCATTTAAATTCAGAACGAGAGAGCTTTTGTTGCATTGATCAGAGATCCGAAGGTTCAAGCGGTCGAGTTGGGCAGTGATTTTGAAGAGGTTTGATTTTAAAAAATATTACTAGACTTGATTGTTTCAAATTTTACTTAAAAACTATTTCTAGAAAGTCTTGGAGATATGCTTTACCAAGAAACACCGGGATCAAGCGTTTCAAGAAGGTTTAAGTCAATTGCTTCTCAACAAAATTGCCAAATCACCATGTGAGGATTGGATTCAAGTGAGTGTTTCTCAAAAATCATGTAAAATGTTTTTCAGCTTCTCGAAAAGTATGCTGCACACATTGTGGATGAAGATAAGCAAAGCTTGCTGGAAAACTTGATGTAAGAAACTTTCTCTGACTTTTCAAAATTCGTTTTAGGCAATGGAACCCTGAAGATAACGAAATGCCGGAGAATGCAGAAGCGATTCGGAATCAATTTCTCATTGCACAAATTGTTTACGAGCCGGTAATTTTTGAAGCAAAGCAAAAAGTTCAGATAATCCCGGATCGGATACTCATTTAGATTTAAATTCAATAAAATGTGTAAATGCCATCTGAAATTTAGAAATGAGATCATTTTCCTTTATCGATTTTCCATCATTTTTCCCTTTTCCCCCTATAAATACCCATTTTCATTTTCCCAATTCGTGGTGATCTCAAGAAATAGGCCAGGCCCGTAGCCAGGATCTCGATGTTTTTGGGAGAATCACTAGAGCTTCGTCCAGAAACCCCCAATCAATTTACACCCGAAAAAGAAAATCTAGCTAAATCTTTAGGCTACATCATGGCTGCAATGAAAATTCTCTAAAATAAAATTCACTGGGACAAATTTGAATTTTTGTGAGGTTTTAGAATCTTAGCCGTTATCTGGGAAACCTCTAACCGCCGCCAATCGATTCTCTGTGTCGATTTACATTCGCTACGAGCTAAAAATCTGATTTAAGCTTTGTGGAGTGAGCTAGAGGGGCTTAAAGTTGAGTTGTCATGACTTTTTTGCGCCTCTGCGCCAACTTTGGGCCCCTCTAGCTTTCTTAACAAGCTTTAAATCAGATTTTTAGTTGATGTTTCTTATGTAAACCGACACGAAGGAGAATCGATTGGCGACGGCTAGTTTCTTGTTTCGTTTTGTTTTGTTTTGTTAGTTTCTTGGATAACGGCTAAGGGTCTAAAACCTTTGCCCCATAAATTTTCTCACAAAAATGCAAACTTTTCCGAGTCAATCTCGTTTTAAAGAATTTTCATTGTAGCCATGATATAGTCTGAAGATTTTGCTAAATTTTCTTTTTGGGTGTAAATTGATTGGGCGCTTCTGGAAGAAGCTTCAGCGATCGTCAATGTGTAACAATCCTTGGAACATACCATGTTGGGGGGGCTTTTTTGCTTTCGAAAACACTTTTTCAGGACCAGTTTTTTTTGGACAAGCCCCATATTGGCTAATCGAGAGCTGAAATCCTCATCCGATAAGGACAATAACTCATTAAGCTTCCCGAGGGTTGCATTTTGCAATCATTTTCCAGCGACTCATTCTCTCGGGATCATTTGCTTTGAAATGAGCGGATCTATTTCACTTTCAAAAAATGGCACAAGAATTTTAAAGAAGCTTTTCCTCGACATTTCCATTAAAGTGCATCTCCGATCACAAAAATGCGCGTGAAAAGCTAATTTCGATTAAAAACACGAGAAAAACAGACTTAAAATGAAGTTTTTCAAATTCTGAGTGTGATACCCGTAATCAGCATAAAAACTGGACCAGAAAAAGTGTTTTTGAAAGAAAAAATCCCCCAACATGAAATGTTCCCAATCTTCATGGTCCTCTTCGTGTAAATTAGTATAAAATATGTATTTGCTGTTGTCACCGAGATCAAATCATATTTCAGTCTTCATCTTACCAAAGGCGAGCCTCCATTCTCCCACTGATCGACCCAATGACTGTAACCAGTCGTTTCACTGAACTCTCCCCAACAGCATCGGCGGAAATTTTCGAACAGCTCCTCAACTATAAAGCGTTTCTCCCAAAAGTTGTCGGGTTGGTTGTTAAATTTTTTTAAAACTATTGTAATTTAGTGATTTTCTCAATAAGCGATTCGTTTGGTCAAAACATCTTCACCTTCTTTGTCTAATTTTGAGAAACGACGAGTTACTCGAGGTTTGAAAAATCGAATTTAAAAATTCTTGTGTCTTTAAGATTTGCATGAAACGAGTACCGGATTTTCTTCGAGTTGTTCAATTTTATTCAGTCTCTTTACTTCTACTCGTTGAACCGTGGCCTTCACATCCAGAGATTCGGTAGAATTCTAAACTTTTTTTTGAAGAAACACTTTTTCAGACCTTTCCGTTTATTGATGACTGACGAATTTGTAACTTGCATGAAACGTATGTCAAAGGTTGGTAGAGAAAATTTTTCAATTTTAGCACTTTTTAGGATCTACAAAAGTTGCCCACAGCTCTCACTACAAATTGCTTTCCATCAGCGTTTCGTTGTGAAGAGAGGTTGACTTAAAATCTATTAAAAACAGCTGAATATTATAGAATTAGCGTAGAGTTACTGTAATTATTTTCTTCAAAGCCTATAAATCAAAGGAAACTTTTTAATCGAAATTGTCAACCAAATAGAAACAGTCGTTTTAAGCTATTGAAAGTTTGGATTACTGTAGCTAGGTGACAATATATGTGTTACGCCTTATATGAAGGCAAATTAAGTCAAAAATCTGTTAGATTCCTTAAAGTTTGTTATAATTTCATTTTTATAACCTTTTTACACTTATATTCCAATTTTTAGCCCAATCGGTCGGCTTTAAGAAAAATTAGGGTCATTAGAAGTTCCGTAAATACGGAGAAGCACAGAAATGCTTTTGTCCATAAAGACTACTGATTAAAATGAAGGCACTGAACTTTTCAGTGATTTTAATTAGTTATTGGTTCTTTAAAAAGGTTAATAAAATTAAAATCACTACTTTTTGCTTAAAGCTTTTGGTCTAATGTTAGTCTAAAACACTAAAAATAAGCTTATTTCATCTTTTCAACATAGCGAGAATTAAAGAAATTAAAATTTAATCCTATGATAGTTCAAATAAAAATTTGTTTATGATTTTTACATAGAAAAAGCAAAAGACATTATTTGAGGAAGAGTTTTGAGATTTGAAGCATTTAAAGCACGATTTCATAAGACAATATACATCGTGCCAGACGTTTTTATTTACAGAGCTTCTAATGGCCCTAATTTTTGTTTTAGCCGACTGATCAGGCTAAAAATTCGAATATAAGTGTAAAAATGTTATAAAAATGAAATTATAACAAACTTTAAATGATCGGACACTTTTTCGACTTAATTTGCCTTCATATAAGGTGTAACAAATATTATGGGCCACCCTGTAGTATTCAAGCAAGGTTTAAATAACATAACTCATAGATATTAGAATATTTTCGAATAAAAAATATTTCTCAGATTCTTCCCAATGATCTCCTCTTCCTTTTCTTCTCTTCTTCGAAATGGTGGCGCTCTCGAGTTGCTTCCTTTAATTCGTCTTGAAGCAGCTCGATCGGTTGAATGTTTTCAAGAGGCTCGCTTTCTCAATCTTTTGAATTCGATCACAGAAAGTGTCTTGAAGGTAGAAAGAAACTTGTAAAATTCAAAAGATCTTTGTTTAGCTCTTGGGCTCATCTCAAAACATTCTTTTCCCATTCTTAGAGACGGCGATCACCTCATTGTCTTTTGTGTGGAATCACATTATTTTAGAGTTTGCTTTAAATTCTTTAATAATCTAAAAGACTTCTTAGATCATTGCCTATTCTGGAAATGCAAGAGTTTGCTAGGCAAAGAAAGCAATTGCTTGCATTGATGCCATCTGATATTTCAATGTGTTCAGTGATCGTTTCGAAGGAGATGTTGTTGAGTGAGTTCTTGTACGATTCCTATTTTGCTTCGATTTCTATCAGTTTTTTGAGTTTCAAACCTCGAAATCTACCTTATCATTTCAGATTTCAAAGGCTCAAGTACCGACTCACAAACGGATTTCTTTGTCGAAGCGGCTCAAAGTTTTATCAACGGAAAAGTTCGAATTTACATTTATTTAAAACAAAATTTTCAGTGGCCAGTCGATGAGCACATTTTTTTCTGTCTCACTTTTTGGAGTGCCTTGGAGAAAGCTTTAAATGAGAAAGAGTTGCAAATGGAGAATCTGAGCGAATGCTTAGATAATATAATGTTTGTATGGGATGCGGTTGAGTGGCTCAGAGCTCACATCGCTCCATCGATCTCGATTTTGATGAATTTGGTATGTAAAGAGTCTTGGTTTTTCGAGTTTTGTGTAGCATCTGTGTTATGAATTGAATCCAACATTAAAAGGGTCACTTTTAGGTTATCGAACATTTGATTCACGCCCCGCCCCCTTTGCCATTGGCAACCTAACTTTGAGCTCAAATATCTTGGTGTTGGGCTATTCAATTTAGATATTCTTGATATCTTTGGGTGCGCCAAGTCTTTCTCTGTTGATTGGTATAAAAACTATTGAAATCGAACAGCCCAGCGCCAAGGTATTTGAGCTCAAAGTTAGATTGCCAATGGCGAAAGGGGCGAAGCAATCAAATGTCTCACAAGCCCACTTTTACAATAAATCCACTTTCAGAATCCTTCAGTCACTCCTTACACTTTCGAGTTTTCAACGAAGAAAGGCGATGAATATTTTCTCAAGCATCTCTATCGTTTTTGTCGACTCATACTAGCAAACTACCGGTAATAAGATCCAATTTTTTCCTGAAAAAGTTTTTAGAGAAACAAATTTCGAGAAGATTCGCTTTGCTCTTCGTCTCATGTGCTGCTCAGAGTTTAAAGAGTTGAAGATTCTCACACCGGAATTGGTGGACAAAGTAAGGTTTTTTGATCAGCCATGTTGAGCCCTTTTTCGATTCGTTTGCCGGTGGCAATATTTGCTCATTTCTTAACCGGGTTTGTTTGAAAAGCGTTGAATTTGCTGTCATTCAACTCGAAATCAAATTTTCTATCGAATGAGAGCAATATTCAACGTTTTTCGAACAAACCAGGTCAAAGTACGAGCAAAATTCGTAGATTGCCAACGGCAAACCGACCGAGAAGGGGGCAGAATTAACATGGCTGGTTTTTATAGAGAAAATACAAACTGGAGAAAATGTTTGATACCATTTTTCATGCGTGTACTTCCAGGGGATATCCTCACTCTGTCTGGAATCGATTCCAATGTCCCAAGCGCTTAGCCAGGTTTGATCCAACTCTTTTTCAATACTATACTTGCCATTATTGCCAAACACAATTGTTTCAAATTCCCTTTCAAATTTAGCCAGCCTCGTCCAGCTTTGCCATTCCAACGAACATCATCGAAGCATGCCTGATCTTACTTCGCGGCCTCGACATGGAGAATGCTGTGATTAGAACGTTGATCAAAAACATCACAAATATGGTTTTACAAGAATTTCCTGATTTCAAGACTTTCAATCTCTTTCAGCCTTCTTTGTCCATGATTCTTCTACCAATTCTTTGTGCTCTCGATCATTCAGATGAGATCATGAGCCTTGCAATTCCGACCATTCTCCAATGTGAACAGTGGACTGGAAAAGGTTGTTATCGTAGCCAATAAGTACCGTTTTATCACTAATAAAGTAAAGTAAGGAATGGCAAAGAAAGATTTCCGGAGAGAGGATTGAACTCTCGGCCTTTTTGCTTCCCGGGCAGATACTCTAACCACTAAGTTATCCGGTATCTTCTTGCCAGAGAAGAAAGAGGAAATACAAGGGGGAAAAGAAGGAAAGAAAGAGAAGGAAATACTAACGAAATTTACCGTTTGCTTTTGTTAGGTTAATATTTCAATTCAGACGCCTCTTCAAGAACATCGCGTTGTCTTAGCGAATGTTTGGACGCAATTTCAATCGAACAGCTTTCATCAAGAAAAGAAACGATTACCAACACAGAAAGGTTTGAAAAATTCAAACTGAAATCGTGAGTCGTTCAGATTGTACGCCCTAGCTGAGATTCTCATTGCTGATGGTTATACGAAACATGCTAAATTGCTATTTCATCTCTATTGTGAGAGGTACCCAATTTGTCAATAAGTTTCGATGGTAAAAACTGTTTAGAGCTTTATCCTCAAAACGATTTGATCTTGGTTTCACTCTTGGATATTCTCTGTGTGTTTTACCGGCAGAGGCTTGTGAATTTGCGGCTCGTTTGAATACAAAAACAAAAGACGCTTCAACACTTAAAATCCTGCCATCGGATATACAAATGCGACCACCGATTCAGTAAGTTTAATAGAAAGAAATCAATAAAATAGGTATTCCAAGGGCTTGCTGAATAAAAGTTCTATTTCCGAATATCCGTTTTAGACTTAACAATAGTTTTAACAATTGCTGCGCTGGTAAATCATGTTTTTAACAGTTTTTGATACGTGCTTCCACTAAATATATGTATATACCAAAAACAAGATCAGAAGCAATGGCCAGAAACATTTTAAGGACAATTTTTAACATTTATTGAATAAATTAACAACGATTTAGTGCAAACACGCATCAAAAACATGACAAAAACCTAATTTACCAGTGCAGCAACTGTTAAAACTATTTTTATATCCGATTTAGACTCAATCTAATACATTTTGTCTAGGAGAGTTCTACTAACCGATGCTCATGATTGGGTTCGCTTGTTGGCTGATGAGAACATTGAGACTCAATTCACGGCTGCTTCAGCCATGGGGCTGAATTTGTCAATGAAAGGTGGTAAAATCACATTTTAAAATGGAATGCTTTTTAGTCAACGATGAGCTCGAGAAAATGATGTACCGTGATGCGTGGCAAATGCGAAACTGGAAAAGTGTGCCGTTTCCGAAAAGGTTTCTTTTGAAATCGGAAAATAAAAGTGTTTTCTCTTAGGGCTGACTCGCACGATATGAAACTCTACTCTCTACTCTACATGGAGAATTCGACAAGCAAATGGAATACTTTGGAAGGGAATGGAGCTTTTATGAAGTTGGTTATGAAAAAATTGATTTACTGTAAAGATTTCAGAGAAGAAATACATACAAAACTCGCCAATTCAACAATCGTTTCAAGCGATCTATGCAAACAAGAGCAAGAGCTCAAATTCTTTGAGCAACAATTTTTGGATGATGAGGTGAGCCTTAAAGACTTTTGGATAGGATTTTTGATTAAAATTGGCAACTTTGGCTTAACCCAGATCTGACTAGAATAATCCTACTTTTGGAAAATCAGAGTTTAAAAAACGTGAGATTAAGAACGTAAAAGTCAAAAGTTCAAGAACGTAAGAGCTTAAGAAACGTAAGATTTTAGGTTACGGACAAAAACAGCAACAAAGGACTTGCAAGCGCTAGAGCTTTCATCAATTGGAGATCAGCCATCAAGTAAACTTTTGATTTTATCAAGGCTCATGATTTTTTTCAGTAGTCGAAAAACAAAGACGATGAAGCAATGGGCTCAATCGATATTCAGCTATGTTGATGAACTGATCGATTCTCGAAAGTTCAAGGTATTGTACTAGTTTGGGACAAAATTCTTTGGAAAGTCAAGAAGATGGCTTTGAAGACTTCACAGCTAATTCAAAAGTATTTAAAAGAGCTAAAGTTTTTACCTCTTTAGCCAGCAATCGTTCATTTACAAGATCTAAAAGAGATTTGCTCAACGATGGAATCCGATCCGAAAATGACTCGATTGGCAAAGGAGTGCTCCTTGAAAGAATGCATCATCAAAGTCAAGACAAAGAGCTACTTGGAAGCAAAGAACTTATTGAATCAACTTGTAACGAGCCAACAAGATCTAGAGGTAACTGTTAAATCAAAAATTTTTGAAAATAATTCTAGGTTTCTTCACAAGCCTTTTGCCAGTTAGCTGATCTTGCCCAAGTGAATGGAGAGGGGCTCGATTCGGCACTAGAGTGCGCGAAAAAGGTATTTATCTAAATTAGGCACTTTTTTAGCAGACACAGTACTTACCGTAAATACTGTAATGACGGTGCGGAGTGTTGCATGGTCTAGCTTTGAACGAGTGTTTCTCGACACTGGTTTTTGTTACAATGTGCGCTTAGGTATCAAAAAATAGCCCGGAATTTCAGCTATTTTTTGATACCAAAGACGCATTTTTTGAGAGTACGGGCGCTTTGAAAAAAATTAAATACTAAAAACTTTTGCGACTACACGACTGTACGAGGGCGGTGGGGCACTATTACAGTATTTACGGTAATAATTCACTAATAGTAAGTTGATTTAATTATAATGAATTTTCCATTTACAATTTACAATTCTTTTAGGCTGAAGAGCTTTGCGCTGTGAGTCAAAAGATGGCAACAGAGAAGAAAGCAATCGTTTATCGAAAACTATTCGAGACTTGTTGCAGTCAATTGGAAAACGTGGAAGTCAGCTTATTCAAGTAGAATATGGAATTCACTTACATTTTAGTCTTATCGTGAATCGAAAGGCTTTCGAATGAAGCATGACGCAGTGGTACATTGGGATACTGTACTGAAAGAGCAAGTGGACAAGAGGTGATTGGGAAGAAAACAGAAAAAAGTGCTATCGTTGTATAGCACAAGCTAATAGCTTAATTGGCTAAATTATTGATTTATTTTTCTTTTCAGAAGACGACAAGAGTCGGGCCTAATGGACCAGGGAACTCTCGTCCGAATCCGCCGTGAACGACGATGTGAAATCGAAGCTGTAAGTGTGTTTGAACATTGTACCAAAAAGTTCTTGTCTTAACACTAATGTTTGAATCAAGAGTTTCAGTCTTTTGCACCTTATCGTATAAACAATCACAATCACAATCAAAATCTACTCGTAAACAATCACAATTTACTCATTATTTGTACTTTTACTTCAACCCAACGGCTTACTTGCACCAATTCAATAACCGGGCTAAAATGCGGAAGAATTCAAGCAAAATCGACCAAGATTTGTACGAAACAGAATGAAAGCAACAATTTAACCAATTTAACTTTAACACTGGCTTAGCAAAGGATGAATTGAGGAAATGAACAAATTTAGACAATATATAAGAAGATTGGGGGGAGAAAAAGGTATTCAGGCGAGACAACAATTGAGCGAAGTTAGTACTTTTCCGTGATCTTTCCATGTTTTCTTACTTTGGACCTACTTTTGGATGTAAAATTGTAATCTTGAATGTAAATCGCAGCAGCGGTGCTAAAAATTTAGCAGAAACATGAACAAATCATCTTCTTCTTTTTTAGATTTCTCAAACACGAATCAAAATGTGGAGATTTGCGGAGTCAGCGATCACTTCTGGATTGCAAGCAATTTCCCTTGCGCCAAAGGAACAAGCACCGCAGGTTTGCATGAGTTTTTGTAAAAGATTTTTAAATTTTGAAGAATTACTTTAAAGTTCTCATCTCAGATTCTCTTCTCAGTGATCGATTTGCTCTTTCGGTATGGCGAGGAAAACACAGAAAGAGACAATCTATTGGATGATGAGGAAGAGATTCGACGAGGAGAAGAGATGCCTTCACATGCATCGATCGTCAATCTCTTTATGGTACGTTAGTCAATAGAAAGATTTGAAAACCTAATCATTCGAATCAAATTTAGAACTCATTCTCGCACTTTGACACCTCGAAATGGGTTCTGGCAGTCAGTCACATTTGTAGCCATGCTTTCAGAAAGACTCCACTGGGTGAAGCGATCAAAAAGGTGAATGAATGTGGCAAAGTAACAAGAAAACAATAATGTTCAAGTGTAGAAATATCTATGCAAATTGGAGGGTCAATGAAAGCAACAAGTAAACTATTACAACCCAACCAGCTTGCTTAACCAACCAAGACATTTAAAAAGGGGCCTCGTGTTTTCTGTGGTTATGGTGATACAATTAAAGTGGTTGATTCTATGAAATGAATAGCTCCAATCGATTCGCCGACCCCGAAAACCCCCGGCTACAAATTTACACCTAAATATCTTCTTTTTGAAGCCATCTACAAAGACAAAGAAAAATCCCAATGTAACTGACTGGCGAGGTGTTCTTTGTGCGTAATTACTCGCCGTCTGGTAAACCACTTTGGTAGAAAGGGCCTCCCTTTTGTAATCCGGAAAGGAGCGGTGAGCGGCTGAGCGGTTTTCAGAGTTTTTGGGCCACACTATGCCCAAAGTCTTGGGATCAATTTTTGCCTTAAATTTGGCTGTATTATTGCCCCAAATTCTACTTCGAGCTCGCAACAAGAAACAGCCGACCATTTAAAAACGCCTGCCATAGCATTGCCATTCACCCTATACAATGGGATTCAGTTTTGAACAATAGAATTTTTGATTTGAATTCTTTTGTGATTAAATGCAAATTTCGCTTTGACTTGGCTTTGGCCTTTCATTTGTCTGCCTAAATTTCCTAGGTCAAAGCAAGCCAATTGAAAGTCATTGGCTTGGTTTGATTTGACTTGACTTGACTTGACCTGACTTGACTTGACTTGACTTGGCCTGGCTTGGCTTGGTTTTTGCTCCACTTTTGCTTAAATAGCAACTAAACTGAAAGAATAATGCAATCTGCGTTGCCTCTAAAATCTCTTTTAACAGACTAGAGTCCCAATAGTTCAGCTTAAATTTAGGTAATGATCGAGTTGGTGATCGCTCATCCGTATCACACAGTCAATACTTTACTCTTTTATGAAGACGGAGCTGAAAAGGTTTGTGCCTAAAAAAAGGCTGTCAAATCGTAAACTTTTCTCTGTACATCAATTTTCATTTTGTTTTGTCTCCAGAGTCCAATAGTCATGGAAATTTTGAAAGCGGCGATGAATGGAAGACGAAAATTGGCCGATAAGATCAAAGCGCTACGAACGGCGCATCGGATTTATAAAGTAAAGAGTTATTTAAATGGAAAGAATTCAGAAATCTTTCCAGAACTTTTGCCAAATCGAAATCGACAAAGATCCACAATTTCAACTTGTGCAAAAACCTGGCAAAAGTGCGATTTTTTTTTCATGAACTTTCTGATCAAGTCTTTAGCTCTCTTCATTGCGAATCAACAGAAGTGTGAGCTTTTTCAGAATCGATCACTTTTATCCCAGCTGCCACTACCGATTATCGATCCTGAAGTGAGTCGTTAATAACGAAAATTCTTTAAAATGCACCACTATGCAAAATTATTGGGTTGGTGAATTGAAAACTGTGGGCGCCTGTCATATATGACAGTTTAGAAGAAACCCAGGAGAAAAAAGAAGAGGGGAAAATTTTTTAAGGGAACAAGGAGGGGAGGGTCAATAATAATGGAATTATTTCCAAGATTTTTGGGTTTTGGGGAGTTCAAAGTCCGGCAGTTTTCAATTCACCAACCCAATATTATAGAAACATACCCTTTCTGGTTTACGCAAATTTCCGAAGACTTTAGTGTGCAGAAAGGGTTTTACAATGGTTAAGCACAAAACAGAGGTTTTTTTTTGCATGAAATCTTTAGTTATAGACTCTTTATGATATTTAGGCGCTTCATTTTGATGAACAAAGCGAACAAGCGCTTGTCTGTTGGGGATCAATCAATCCTTGTTGTCAAAAAGTGAGCAGTTCATCTTTTTTTACCGACAATGAATCCAGTCAAACTACATGAATAGGATTTTATCCACTGAAACTTTATTTATTTTCTTTTTTATATAAAGATTTGATCTAAAAACCTTATTTTTATCTTACATGTTAGGCTGATGGACAAAGTCGGCCGATTCTATTGGATGTGGTGGGTAGTGATGGAAAAAACTATCGACTTGTCTTCAAGGTCAGTATTATAGCAAGACTAATAATAAGTTATAAAGTCAACAAGGGAAAGACAACAGTAGGATGTGGCTAAATGAAATAAGCCATATCCCATTCGATGCAGAATTTCTCGCTGATTCCAAATCTGCTTTCCGTTTTTGCAAAATGGCTTTCAAAAAAAAGTTAGCTAAGTTTTAGGGTGAAAATGCGAAAATTTGAAGCCGAATAGAGATGCCTTTATAAGGGTTTTCTTACGGATCTCAAACTTGATCTGATTGTATAGTGGATAAAACGCTTGCATACGAAACGAGCATTACATTTTCTTGCTCGAGTTCAATTCCTTTTTGGCAAAACTTTTGTTTTTCTTTTTCCACTGTTCTCTGTGTACAGACACAATTGCGCACCATCTGGCACACCATCTATACATATAGGAAGCCCTGGAAGATTATGTCTAATTACCTACATCTATTTATCAGTCGCCGCGAGGGACTTTCCACCCTAAAACTTAAAACACGGATAACTTTTTATAGAAAACCATTTTGCAAAAACGCGAAGCAGATTCGGAATCAGCGTGTAATTCTGCGTCGAATGGGATATGGCTTATTTCATTTGGCCACATCCTACTGTCGTCTTTCCCTTGTAAAGTGCCATCGTTTAGCATGAATAACTGAATGATTTTAGAAAGAAGATGTCCGTCAGGATAGTCTTGTCGAACAGTTATTCTCCGTTGTGAATACAATTCTGGCTACGGATAAGGATCCACAACCACTCAGAACTTATAAAGTACCAAATGAAAACGTTTTTTTGACAAAGTTTGAGATTTAGGTGATGCCTTTGAGTGAAAAAACGGGGATTATCGAGTTCTGCATGGGAACGACTTCAATGAGTAAGATAACAGAGTAGATTTAAGTAATCAATCTTTTCGACAAGATTATCACGACAAGATAAGTCCGATATAAAAGCATAGGGTTTACTGTATTCAATTTTTAGAATCCTTGCTTTGTGGTGAAGATCGTGAATCAGGACTACATCAAAAAATCCATCCACAAGATCTGTCGTGCAAGGTGGAACAAGATTTTACACCTTTTTAACATAAGCAATGAGTATTTAGTCAGCGATTAGCATGATGGCCAAATCAGTTAAACCAAACACATCCACCAATGACGCTTTGCAGATGTTCGACGACATCTGCAAGAGAATGAGACCCGTTTTTAGGTAGAGAAACAATGGATACAAGCATTTTTGGTACTATTCGGTGATTCCATCACAACCAATTATCCTCATGTGCATCAATACGGTCATACCCCCAAATATTTTGGTTATTCTAAGGTAAATTTTTGCGTAGATTCCAAAAATCGTAGTTTCAGAGCGATTTCAGTACTCTATCATAAAGAAAAACAGCTTTAAAAATCAAAAATTTTGAGGATCCCATCTTGTGCGCGCTGAAATGCGTCAAAAATACCGTATTTCTAAATATTAATATTACCATTGTGTAGCCCTTGAAAAGAGCTTTCAGAAAATGTATAACACTAATAGTTTAAACTCAAAGACAAGGGAGTTACAGACGCGCGAAAGTGACGATCGTTTTTCAAATATGATATTTCATTGTCCAGTACTGTAGCTTTCTTTGCCAAGAACTTTTTATTTCTCCATTTTGCAGCTCCCCATAAGCATTCAATTGATTGCTGTATTTATGGTTGACAATTTTATGTTTGAAGCCAGCTTTCTCAATTCGGGTAGAACCGTATAACCGTATTGATGCGCGGCGGAAAATCTTCTGCTTTTATAATGAAATGAAGGCTTAAAGGCTTTCTACTCTTATCACGGTACGGTAGGTTTTAGCGGGACTTTTTTTCCTTCACTTTTCGGGTTTGTATTCTACCGAACTTTTTTTATAGACATCATTTTTACGAGAGTTTCCCGACCACTTCCGAATGGATTGCTCAATTGGATGCATACACAACGAGTCTAGCACATTGGTGTATAGGTGAGGAACAAGGCAAAAAAGACGATCGTTTTGAGACTGATCTAGTCTATAAAAAGTACCGTAAACATTCTAATAGAAGCGCCGGTTCTTTTATTTTCAATGTCCCTCCGAAATTCTTTTTCGTGCTCAGCTAGTCTACCCAAATTTTCAAGAGCTCGAAAATGGATGTTTTTGTTGGATTTTGATCCGATTTTCGACATTATTAAGCTTTTTTAGTTTATAACTATTATTTAAAGCCTTTGGAAGTCTTTAAAAAGTTGAGCATTTTGCTATCGAAGCATTTTGCATTTTGCTATCATTTTGCTAGTTGATAAATTCGAAAAGATGAAAAATTTCGTCTAAAGGAGGCGCTTCTATTGAAATAAATACGGCATCTGACTAGGAGTTAACCAAAAACAAACCTAGACCTGATTTATTTTGGTCTGGCTTACTACCCAAATGTACTTTGGTCAAGCGGGAACAGGCTCCAGACAGGCCTAGCTTGGCTTGGCTGGCTTACAGATTTTAGCAACAAAAGAATGGTCAGAAGCGGGAGTGATCGTTTGAGATGAGTGATACCTCATTCGATAGATCTCATGATGAATATCGATGACCAAAAAAATTAACTCCCCAAAGTAACTCTACAACGAGAAATGGAGCCAACAAGGAGCCAAAAATGACGTTTTTGGCCCTCCTTAACGGAACTGGAACTTTTTACTGAATCAATATTTTTGAATAATCTTTTTTATATATAATAGAACTTGAATGAAGCTAAAAGATAAACTTTCATTAATTATAGAAATTTAAAATGTTTTTATAAAAAAAAATGATTGATTTCAGCCAAAGTTCAGTAAAATTTGGCTGAAATCAATGACTTTGAAATGTAAAATTCTATAAATACTTTGGGAATCAAATTTTACTATTTTTTAGCTACATTCAAGTTCTATTAAATGTAAAAAAGATTATTCAAAATATATTGATTCATTCAGCATAACCTTGTCGTTTTTGAACACTCGACGTCTTGCTAATGAAAAATCTTCAAAACAAAGCTTTTTAGGCGCTTTAAAAAGTGATTTGCAAGGGAAATGATTGGAATGAAAGATCTAATGAAAGATCTAATGAAAGATCTACTGAAAGATCTACTGAAAAAAACCGTATTTCATTTGGTAGCTTGAGACTTATTCAGTTGGAAAATGAATTTGAGCTGAAAGACTTAATACTCAACCTAGTAGATATCATTTGAGGCTTTGCATTGCATTCATTTTCGTATTTATAAACTAAAATTCATCGATGATCAATATTCATGATGAGATCTATCGAATGAGGTATCACTCATTCCAGTCCACGCCACTTCTGACCATTCTCTTGTATGGAACTAGGATCTGATTGGGATATTGTTAATGAGGAAGATACAGTGCGTTTCAGAATAATAAAGTGTCTAATAAAGGCCCTCCCAAAAACAGGGTTTTTGTACGTTCGGAAAACTTTGTTGGATTTTGATAACACCATCGTTTTCTCCATTTTGAATAGCTAAAAATTTAAAATTTAACACAAACGTACAAAGGTACAAACGTACAAGCGTACAAACGTACAAACGTACAAACGTACAAACCTATAAACCTATAAGAACGTACAAACCTACAAGAACGTACAAACGTACGAACGTACAAAAACGTACAAACGTACAAACATACAAACATACAAACGTACAAACGTACAAAAACCCCATTTTTGGAGGTGCCTTTATCATTCTGAAACGCTCTGTATTAGTCTAGTCTCAATAGAAAGCATTGATCGACTCGTTGTTAAAAAGTAGCGTACTGATTAAATGCATTGTACAAGGCTTAAATGTCCTGCATTGTACTGGACGAGTACTTGAGCAAATAACAAAGTGCCAAACATTTTGGTAGTCTTTATTTTTAGTATGCTACGTGATTGGCCTCGGTGATCGTCACATGTCAAATATTTTATTCGAGCCACAGACTTCACGATTTGTTCACATTGATCTAGGTGAGATAGAAATTGAACGTGTCTACAACATTTCCAGGAATGATCCTCGAGTATTCAAAGAGAACACTGCCAGTTCCCGAACATGTTCCATTCCGTCTCACTCGTGACTTAACGGATCCTCTTCTTCCCGATGGAATGGGTCATCTTGTTGACCGAATGACAAAAACCATGGAAACACTTCGATCAAATCACCGGGTTTTTTTGAAATTTTGGATTTAATTCGTTTTTTTAGGTAATTCTGGGTTTAGCGTCCGTTTTTCTGCGAGAGTTCATGAGCAATTTTAAAGAAGCGGTGGGGCTATTAATACTACACTACTGGACAATAAAATATGATATTTGAAAAAAGATCGTCACTTTCGCGCGTCTGTAACTCCCTTGTCTTTGAGTTTAAACTATTAGTGTTATACATTTTCTGAAAGCTCTTTTCAAGGGCTACACAATGGTAATATTAATATTTAGAAATACGGTAAAGACAAGGGAGTTACAGACGCGCGAAAGTGACGATCGTTTTTCAAATATGATATTTCATTTCACTGTAACTATAGCAAGAATATCATTGGATCTTTTACATCTAAAATTTCAGCATAATACTCAATCCTACACATCGATGACGGCAATTGCACGGCTGCGTGACAAACTGAATGGCACCGATGCGTCGCTGATAGAACAAAGTCCCGAGCAACAAGTGAGATTTTGAAACAATCAATTTTTGTGATTAATAGAAAGTCGCTAGAGTGCATTTCTTTTGGTCTGCTTTTCGAAAAGGCACCAATTTTCGAAAACTATCGTCACCAAGCCGCCAGTTTTCATTTAATAGCTGAATTTTGGTCTCATTCGATGAGAAATCGCGAGGCTCAATCAATAAGATGAAAATTTAGCTGATCAAATGTAAACTGACGGCGTTGATAACGATGATTTTCGAAAGAAATCCTTTCCAGGTTCGTCGTCTCATCCAAGAAGCCACAAACAAAGAAAATCTAGCCCGAATATATTGTGGATGGATGCCATTTTTGTAAAAGCTTCTTTAGTTTTGTTTTTTGTATTTATTTTTGATTCTTTGATCCGGTCTTTGAATCAAATCAATTCTTTGATTCTAAAACGGGTTTACTCCTTACCTCACTTTTCATAAAGCTTTATCTCGACGCGTTTCACAGCAAAAATATCCAATCTTTATTTTCACAAAACTTTGTCTAACGCTGGCATTGATCATTAGCCCGTTTTTTAAGCAATATCTTATCGATTTCTTCGCGTGTTGGCACATGTTTTGAGGCTGGTTTCTTGTAGAACGGAGCCCGGACTTCGGGTTGAACTAAATATTTTGATTGTATGTCACGTCCGATTTAGGCACGGCGTCTGATTTAGAAACAAGGTACTTCCTGCGCTCTTCCAACTAGGTCTTTGGTACCAATAGATGTAGAATCATCGATAATTGTCGTAAATTTTTTGATTGAACCCGATCCGATAAAAGGGTAAAAAGTTAGAGCCAAAATACTGATTTATCTCCTTGTTCAGTATTTTGGCTCTAATTTTTTGGTCCTTTGATCGGATCGGGCTTAATTAAAAAAGTTACCACAATTATCGATGATTCTGCATCTATTGGTACCAAAAACCTAGTTAGAAGAGTGCAGGAAGTACCTTGGTTCTAAATCGGACGCTGTTTCTAAATTGGACACAGTTTCCAATTGCTGTAACAAGCCAGGTTTTTAAAATATAGCTAAAAATTTAATACCATTCGATAGGAAATTGAATTCTCTACAAAATGGTATATTATTGTCGATAGTTCACTAGTCTTTCTTAATAGAAAAGCGCACTGAAAAAAGGGTTTCGAAATCGGACGTAACATGGATAAAATTTAATTTTGGTTGTAAAGTTTTAAGAGTAACTTATCAGCATAAGATACTCTAATAAAAATAAACCGCCAAGATCGATGCAGAGCTTATCTGTGTGATGAGCGCGTCTTGCATTGCATAAAAGTTTTGACTTGCAGGTACCGGTACAGGGTCCAAGATTTGTTCGACGGTAGTAGTTCCTGAAATTTACTGTATGTTGATCGGCTTTCTAAAAGAATACTTTAGATATTTAGCGAACAAAGCATCGTCAGTGACCATTCTGTTGATCATGTTTGCCCACTCGGTTGGATTTGTGTTTTTCAATCCATATTCCTGAAAATTTGTTTGAAAGTTCAGTGAGCTAGAATTTCTTGGATTTAAGTCATAGCATTCACTAAGAAACGTTTGTTATTACTTTCAAAATGAACTAAACATCAACTATGAATGCCACAGCTTAACTTGGGATTAAAAATATAATAGTTTTAACTGTCACTTCTGACTACGATCATTCAGACTCCTGTTTGGATCAATTCTCGAGTCACCGTTCGCTTTCAAAGCCTAATTTAAATTTATCGCTAATCCTGGAGCGCATACTACCAAATCTATTTGGAAATATTGACGTCACTTCAAATTTTGCTTTAATGACCTTTTTAAGCTATTGATTCAATTGAATTTTTGAGTGCTTTAAGCTTCAAAGTCTAGTTTAAATTTATCGTTAATCCTGGAGCTCATACTACTACATAATCCGATAGGCTACAAATTACCTGCAGAACACTCGAATAGAGCAAAGTGAAATCCTTTTGTGATGGATTCGTGTTTTTCTCAATATCGAAATACCACTCTTCCCAGTCGATCACTCCCTATAAACTTTTTAGACTCCCTATTAGACTACAAGGACTTACAAAAGTCGATCCTTTGTAGTTTCCGTCTAATTTGTAGATTCGATAGGCTGGGTTGAAGCTGGACATCGTTGTGATACTTCCAGCACTAAAAAAGGCAAGGTTTTTGAATTTACATTTGCATTATTGCATTATACATTATTTTATCCGTTTTCTACCATTTTCATTTACAATTATTCTTTTCGTTAAACAAAAACCTGTAAATAACTCCAGTCGGTGTTGATTTAGCATCTTCAGGATCGGCGAACATCACATAGAACTCCTCACTGTGTGTGTGACCGAAGAATTGACCGGTGATGATGTTAGCGAATCTGAAGTACCGTGTTTACAAAAGAGCTCTTTATAAATATATGCATTTATTCACACGAATAATGTGGTACAAAAAAGCACACAAGTACAACCCCTAAGCCTTAACTGTAGGGAAAAACGAACCATAATCTAGAAGCGACGGGATTGAACCCTTGACTTCCCGACTAAGATACAGGGCTCTTAGCCAAGCCTATAGCATTTATGGCAAAACTAGATAGCTAACCGATTCACAGCATTGTAGTAATTGATCGCCCATCCCTCCAAGCACTCTCCATCACCTCCAGGAATGTGAGCCGTAATGTGAACCTGGAAATTAAAGGAGATTTTTATAATAAAACCAAATCTCATATACAAATTCCGAATTCTTAAGAACCAATATCTATTTTTTTCTCTCCTCAATTGCTTTTTGGTGACTCTGCTTTGTATTGGGCTTGTAAACACGTGGAAACCTTATCTCCGGCCTGTTCAGCTGCATACAATTGATTGACAAGCCAGGTCATCGTTCCATCCGGATCCGTTTGGTTCACATAAAGGAAACTATAAGTAAAAGAGATTGAAAGCTATTTACATAAAGAAACAAGTTGACGTTGTCACCGCCGAGTGGAGTGTTGAGAGAAATGATGCGGAGGCCGGGGTACGGTTTGATCACATAACTGCCCATGCTGGAGAAAATGAGTATTTTTCTATGGCAAAATGGCCAGATGGCCGACCGGTTAGGAGTCTTGTCTCTTAAGCGGAAGGTCGAGGGTTCAATCACTCTGGCAAGATAAAAATGTTTCTTTTTCCCACCAAGTGGGTTTTTTCTTTCACAACATTTGGGTAATAGGGGTAAATAGGGGTGAGAACGGCCGCAGTGCCATAAAATTGTGTGTTTAACCTTTATGTCTTATTATGTACCCTTTGTTTGTATCACATTATTGGTTTTCAATAAATGTATTTTTTTTTTAAAAATAAAGTACTGCATGACTTTATCAAGTACTACTTAAGTACTTCGTCAAGTACTACAAGTAATTCGTACTTAAGTCCGGTACGTCAAGTACTGTACAAGGCGGGTGGGGTACTGTTACAGTATTTACGGTGAGAGCATGACTAGTGCGATAAGGGTCAAGCTTGACATCTCAAGGATAAACGGTTCGACATGTCTGAAACCGGTTTGAACCAGAATGAACTAATTTTTCAAACTGACATTGGGACGATTCCCTGTTAAACTATTAGGTTGATGCAAAAGTCTTTTTCATTTTTTTCGTACTTCCGTTAAAAAGTAACAAATGCACCAATTGAAGAACGGTTTATTGCATTCGAAAGGCCAATTATTTTTCTGCAAAATGACATTAAAACGAGTTTAAAATGTCTTATGTCTAGATTTTTTTGAGAGCCTGAAGTCGGGTAGTCAAAAAAGGCGACGGCTCGATGATGCATTTTAGACACTTTAGCTAAGGAAACCAATCTTGATGTTAATAAATAAAAGATAGAGCACAAAAAGTTAGATACTTTTTCAGATTTTCAGAGAAATTGATTCAGCCAATTTCTTTATAGAGGTTTTTATAGATTTTTATGAAAAACCCGTTTTCACTCTCGAATTTGCTTGAAAGTGAACCCAAATTGACTTAAAAAGATGGGAAATTGAACAATAAACACTTTTCATTTAGAGCAAACCATAGGTTAATTGATGACTTTGTTATTTTTCAAAAGAAGTACGAAAAAAATGAAAAAGACTTTTGCATCAACCTAATACAATAGATCGATCAGCCTAAGCCTAAGCCTAAGCCTAAACCTGAGTCCAGAGCAGCCCAGCCCATTTACGAAGCTTTTACGAGGCTTTCTTACTATCTCATCGTTGCATCTTGATCCGCTGGCACCCATCCTTGCCAACTGTCAGCCATCGTGTCGTACAGCCAGTCCATATGGAATTTTTTAGGAGTGAAATGGGGAGCAAAGCTAAACAAAAGATTTATGTTGATAAGGTAAAGGTTTTTTCTTTTTGAAAATAAGCCTCCAATCACTACTAACTTGTCAATCGGGACTCCTTCGTGATTTCCAATCGAGAAGTACACAGGAATGTTCGGGAAGCGAGCCCGAATCGAATCGGAAATGTTTTTCACCTAAATTTATATCAAAGTAAAAAGGCTTTAAGAAGTACGAAGTACAGTTTGCCTTTAAAATTTCTTCCAAACCTGTCTCTGATGTGTTTCTCTTGTGTAATCCCAATCAGCGTGTGACTCGAGATCTCCAGTCACAAGCACATAATCAATCTTAAATTCCTGTTCTATAAAATCTTTTGAAATTTACATTCTTGTGATTAGCAGCGATGTGATCAAGCATATTTGTGTATGTCCAGTAAGGGATATCACAATCGGCGATCGTTCCCCAATAGCCGGCCGACATGTTCAACGGTTTTGGCGTCGTCGCTCCAGCTCCAGCAGTGATTTCCTAAAGGATTCATTATCTCATTAGACATGGGCACTACAAACTACAAACGTAAACTACAAACGTAAACTACAAACGCAAACTACAATAACTTGCTTCAAATCTGCCGGATTGCCATGATCTATAGCTCAAAAAATAGAGAATCACAAGAGCTTTTGAATGGACTAAAGCACACCAAAAAAATAAGAATGCTAAAGTAAGTTACAATGGTTTGTAGCCTGACTCGATCGCTTTGACGACGTGCGAGTACGGTCCGTTCCGAGTCAGGCTACAAACCACTGTAACTTTCTTTAGCATTGATATTTTTGAGTGTGTTTTAGTCCATTCAAAAGCTCTTGTGATTCTCTATTTTTTGAGCTATAGATCATGGCAATCCGGCAGATTTAAAGCAAGTTAGCAGCGCTTGTAGAGTGACAGTTCGTCATTTTTGTCGTTTATAGTGTCTATGTCTATATCTCATCCATGTTTTTTTATTGAATTTTGACCAACATTTGTATTGTTATCTCCTCGACAGCAAAGTGGTTCTCCACATTTCGCTTCGGATCCCACTTGATAGTACATATCCACGTGAACATCGGTGAGGTGGAGAACGTTAAGAACGGGTTTTCCAGTCTAAGTGTTAGCTTACAAATTACCAATTGTACAGACTAATGGTCGATTGTAGACTATTTTGACATTAAACAGCTCTAAATCTAGACACAAACGCAACTCACCGGTATATCAGCTGGTGGTTTATATGGGGGCTGAACTCCTGGTAATGGAACCGACCAATTTCCAGCAAATGGATCAATGAAGTGACCACAATCCTAAAGAAATACTTAATTTAATGTAAAAATGCTTTATTTTAACGATGAAAAAACTATACCTTAAGAAGAAGTCCGCAGATTTGATTTGGTTCGACGAGGATCTCGCTGAGAACGTACACCACCACATCCTGAAATGAGAACTTTTGTTATTTAAATGGGAGTGAAAGTTGCACAACTCAAATACAAATTACAGAATGAATCCAGTGGCTGACTTGATATGTGAGAAATGTTATTTTAGCCACCAAAATAGTTTTTTTTCTGGCTAAACAAGTTAGTGCTTGTGGGGTTGACGAGGAGCACTATATTCTTTCCAAAACCACTTTTTCTGGGGTAGTTTTTTTGCGTAGATTACAAATTTCATAGTGGGTGCTTGGGGAAACGCGTTTTAGACTGACTTTTGGGGACCCGAAGTCGCCTACAGTGTACAGGGTGGCGCACAATTATGGAAACCCGGTTTTTCGACTGTAACTCGACGCCCAATTATTCAATTCCTCTAATTTCATATTTATATAAGATTTCAAGTTAATTCCCGCGTTCAATTTCAACTTTTAGCTCAGAAACACGGTGTTACGCTTTTTTATAGTACTTTGAAGTTCATAGGTCTGTCAAAATTCCATTTGTCAATTTTTAGCATTTGTCAATTATTCAAAAGACGCTAAAGGATCAAAAAACCGTGTTAAAACTTTTAAATGAATCGAGAAACAAAGCAAAAACGCACAAAAGCAAATCAACTTTCCAAATAAAAGCACTATTGTGCAATGTCTACTATTCATAGTTGTTTGTCGAGCAAAATTATCAAATTTGAACAATGAATTGAACAATAATTGCTCAACTACCTAAATTGTTTGTTAAATGCAAATATTTAGTAGTATAATAAATGAAAAGCAACTAAATAAACAACCACGCGAACTTTAATAATCACCCGAACCCGTATTGCCTTTAATAATCACCCGTATTGCCCTTATTTACATGGCTCTAAAAGAAGAAATTGAGCTGTACATTGGTGCTAATTTTCCGAGAAATCGAGAAATCGATTGAACCTATTCATTTTATTTTACGCAAAACAGCTTTACAAAGACTAGGTAAATGCAAATTAATACGATATAGGTAGTAGCGCAAATTTACAACGGAAAAGTACCTTTTTTAACTTTTACCTCAAAATCTTTGAGCAGATGATTGCAGATGAAATTATCTTCGATGTCGAACGCTTCACACACAGCGATCACTAGCTAAACAATTAGGAAGTTGACGTTTTTCGTTTGCATATCAAAATAAGGACAAACATCTATCAGGCAATCGTCGAGCGTTTTGTCGCCCCATCCATTGTGCAAGATCTGGACAAAGAAATCGCACACTTGACATTGCTCCGAAGCTCTTTTCGATGGTGATCCTAAAGCTTTTAATATTTGTAAATTTGTAGTAAGTAAAATGATTTTTTTATACGTATCAAGGATTAGATGTATGCTAGAATTGGAGCAGATCATTGTTGACAAATCAATTGAAAAATCAAAGCTTGTCAGCTAGAACCAAGCCAGGCTAGCACTGGCCCTGGACCAGGTTTATCTCTTGGCTTTAGCCTATACCGAGCTGCAGGATTGTTCAAAATATCAAATAGCCTTTTTGCAAGTTGAATGGGATGTCTGAATTGAGCTCGAAGGTATACATTTATTTAAGATAAATAATGTGACACAAACAAATGCATAACTCAACACACAACCTCTAAAGATGTTGCCGAGAAAAACCCAAGTATATGGGGAATTTTCTAGCTGAAGCTCACGGGGATCGAACCCGTGAGCTTCCGACTAGGATACAAGACTCCTAACCACTCGACCATAGCGTCTGTATTGGCCATAGCGTCCAATACTGGCGCTATAAAGTAGCTATTCTCATCAAAGAACTCACCATTTTGCACAGGTCCAGCTAAACTTGAACCAAACAAAAATACGAAACAAAAAGCAGCAAAGAGCCGCATTTTGTTGGAAATTTGGTAGCAAATGGTTTGTCAAAAAGATAATCACTTTACAGGCATTTTCTGGCTTCAAATTTACAGCCTCATAAATCGTAAAAAGGAGCTTCGATAAAAAAACGACTGACAAGCTCGATACAAATGGAATAATATCAAAAATTGCAAAAAGGCAAAATTAGATGAGGTTTAAATTTGGCAAACACGTGGGAAATTTTCATTTGAAGTTTTTTAATGATTAAGCTTACAACAGGGATGGTCAACAGAACCAGCTCACCAAATAAAATGAGCCATAGGTCTATGGCTCATTTTATTTGGTGAGCTGGTTCTGTTGACCATCCAATGCAAAATTTTACGCCGATTCCGAATATCTGATTTGTTTTTGCATAATGATTCTGAAAATTAATTTGGCAAACAAACATTTTGGCTTCTGTTTATAAGGCTTACGCGCGCCGCGTTACGCGTTACACAATGGCTACGTGGTGTAGTGGATAGTGGATTAGGAGGAGTAGCCACTCGAGCGTTCGAATCCGCTCAGTATTTTTTCGAAAACTCTATTCTATGTGTTTCTTGGTCGCTCTTTATAACGCTTACGCGCGCATTCCGTGGAGATGATTGCGTAGTATAGTGGATAGTGAATTAGGAAACGGAGTGGCCACTCGGGGTTTCAGATCTGCTCTTTGTTTTCTTTTTGAAAAATCTCTTCTATATGTTTTCTGTGTGAACACATGCAATTATGGAGCTAATGCCTTTATGCGTTGCGCTCGTTGTGATTTTAAACTTTGTTTTGCTCATTTCATTGATTGTTGTTACGTGTGTTAATTTTTGTTTAATCATTTGCCTTATTTTGTTTGTTTTTTGTTAAAGTTATTATGTTATAATTTGTCATAAATAGCATAAGCTAGATTTGAAGCTATGAGAAGATTTGAAGCTTTAAAGATTGAAGCAAATTAAACAAAAATTAACACACGTAACAACAATCAATGAAGTGAGCAAAACAGTTTAATACAGGGTGACCAAGAATTACCGCAACACAAAAAAGGTCTGGCTTTTAACCAAATATGCAACCCATCTCGAAAAGTTAACTTAAATATCTTTATTCAACATATAACAGTAACAAATTAACAATTAAATTCAAAACTTCCCCCCTCGGCGTTCCAAAAGGGCTGGAAAAAAATTGGGGAGGGGGGGGGGGGGGGGGGGGGGGATTTTTTTCCTTTCCCCCCCCCCGCCGGGGGGGGGGGGGGGGGGGTTTTTTTTTTTTTTGGTTTCTCTTTTTCCCCTTTTTTTTTGTTTTGGGGGGGGGGGGGGTTCCCCAGACCCATTTTTTTTTGGGCCTTCCCCGGGGGGGGGGGGGGGGGGGTGGGTTTTGGGGGGGGGGGGGCCGCTGTTCGTTTTGCGCCTCTTTCAGTGCGATCAGAAGCTGTGCCCAGAGTTTCATAACGTTGAATGTTTCGAGAAACGAGGCTTCTGGGGATATTCTGGCGCTTTGAGATCTCCATCGGCATTCAGACAGGCCCGCAAACGCGTTGACCGTGGGAAACGAGTAAATAGGCATCATCGAGGGTATCCCATGCTTTGATGAGTGCCTTCTTCAAACTTTCGATATTTTTATGTGGTTTTGCACATGCCCTGGCTTCAAGAACACTCCAGACTGATTAATCTAATGAGTTAAGATCGGGTGAGCTGGGTGGCCACTCAGGAAACGAGATGAAGTCCGGGAAGGTCTTTGAACAAAACTCTTGCACTTTCTTTGCCCGGTGAGCCGGCGCACCATCTTGTTGATAAGTCCAAATTCGATTTTTGAAGTGGTAACAGGTAAGCAAAAAGTGAAATGGGGCTCATAACATAATACGATGTTGTTGCGGTAATTCTTGGTCACCCTGTACCAAGCAATAATCTCCACGCAATGCGCGTGTAGGCCTTATAAAGAGCGACAATCTCTTGTCAGTTTATTGAGCGATTTTGATTGCAGAATGTTGGAAATCATTTCTACTATTCACTTTGCTAAAACACTTCCTGAACCTAGACATCACCATCCATGTCATCAAAATTTTCAGCACAAAACCTACTCAAAGACACGCGTCTCAAAGAATGAGAAAAACCCCAATTTGATGAATGAGTTGCTTTCAACATTAGTAATCGAGTTTCTTGAGCTGAAATGGGAAAGGGGAAAGCTAAATGAAGTCATTGGCTGTGTCTTTATCGCTTTTCCCTCTCAAACAACCTCGATTTTGTTCAATGAGCGGAAAATCTCGTCTCGATTTGCCTCTTTGTTTGGTGAGATCGATCATTTCGTAGCCTCAAAACTTTCTCCGCTCAAATCTCGTTTGGAATGACTTTGATGGTAAAAAAGGACAAAAAAAAGACACATAAACGAGGAGCTTTGATTGGTGATCGAAAAGAAAAAAGAATGGGTGCATCGAGAGCCAAAAACACCCCATCATCACAATGACATTTCTATCTATGAGAATGCTGTTCAAACCAACAGAATAGGTCTTGTACTTGTACTTTAATGTTTGTAGTAATCAAAATAGTTGCAACAAAGTAAATCTTATTCTGTTTCTTTTTTGATTTTGCTTGTTTTTTTGCTTCTTTGCTTAATTTTGCTTGTTTTTTGGCTTTTTGCTTTTTTACTTGCTTTGTAATGGCTGTAAGGCGGTCAAATTTTTAAGCACAGACGGTAGTTGGAATTGTTAGAAGTCATTGTTAAAAGTCATTCACTTACAGTCATTGGTAGTCATTGTTAACAGACAAATAACGGAAAAATCCAAGCTTTTTAGGGAATCTCTAAGCGCTTTTGAAAATTTTGTTCAGAAAAGTTGCTCCGATTGTCCGGCAAATGGCACCATTCGATCGGCCATGAAATTCTGAGCCAGAAAAGTGCCACTTGAATACCCCGAAATCCAGAAAAATCACTGAGGATTTGACCCCAAACCTGGAGTTGCAGTAAGTGCTGTGAGTGGTTGTTAGTCATTGTTAGTCCGGTAGTCATTGTTAGTCCGGTAGTCATTGTTAGTCCGGTAGTCATTGTTAGTCCGGTAGTCATTGTTAGTCCGGTAGTCATTGTTAGTCCGGTAGTCATTGTTAGTCCGGTAGTCATCGTTAGTCCGGTAGTTATTGTTAGTCCGGTAGCCATTGATAGTCTGATAGTCATTGTTAGTCCGGTAGTCATTGCTAGTCCGGTAGTCATTGTTAGCCATAGTTAGAAGCTTCCAGTTGAGAATTGAGAAACCTGGGTAAACAGCTTGTTTTATATTCTAAGTTCTGATCATTTTAGAGCTCCAAGTCAAGTGTTGATGTTTTTTAACGATTCAATTGTTTTTAGTTTGTTTTAGCTTGCCTAGCCATTGTTCACTGTGATGACTTCATTGAAGAGTCATTATGAGTTCAGGAGTTGATCAGTTTATCCCACAAGATGTAGCAAGATGGATGATGAACAAAAAAATCCTATACGGAAAGTCTCCCGCAGATATTCTCACCGGTTTTTTGTCTTTTTATATCGGACGGAGCTCTATTTTGATCTTCTTACGATATAAAAAGAGACTAAAATCCGGTGAGAATATCCGAAAAAGGGTTTGTGAAAGCGTGATACATAAAGTAAAGTTGACGGAGTGAACGCTGAAAGAGTTTTTTCTCAAAACTCTGATCCAATAAAGCTTGAAAGTTTTCTGAAATAAAGCCACAGACATTGTCATTCAATTCACAATGCCTCGTTAACTTCATTTCTTTTCTTTCCTTAATTCCCTTAAAGGAGATCGAAAGCTCATTTGTTTTTGTCATTTGAAAGCTCTCGTAAAAGGCGGAACTTGAAATTTCCGCATGCCATTTGATAGGATTTTGATTGAACAAAACTGAAAGTTCACTGCCTTGTCAGACATCAGAGACACTTTCTCAGTTTCGATCCAATCAAATCACAAAGTTTTCCCTTTTCATTTTTTCCCTTTTCGCTTTCTCAGTCACGTTTCAATTATTTTTGCAACCTTGAACGGCGTATTGCTTTTTGAAATTTGCATTTTGGCTTTCTTATTTGTATTTTGAGAGAGGAAAATGCATTTTACCTGTACTACAGCGCATGTGCACCTTGATAAATAGTTATTTTAGCATCCGAGAACTCCTGGGTACAAATTTACAGCTGAATTTCTTTTTTTATACCATCTACAAGGTAAAACGTCCCTTAGGTAAAAGGGTCCGAAGTGTTCTTTGTCCGAATGCGTGATCGCTCGCAATCTGGCATAACCGTCTGGTATGAAGGGCCTTCCTTTTCGAATTCGGAAAGGGGAAGGAGCGGTGAGCAACTGAGTTTCGCCGTTATCGGCGTCGCTATGCCCAAATTCCCAGGACGACTCTGCCCCACTTTCTGCCCCACTTTCTGCCCCACTTTCTGCTCCACTTCTGCCCCACTTTCTGCCCCACTTTCTGCCCCACTTTCTACCCCACTTCCTCATTTGTGGAGTCCAAATTTTTGGGATCAACTTTTGCTTTAAATTTGGCTGTATTTCTTTACAAATTCTACATCCAACTTGTACCTTAAGAGAGATATAGAGCTAAGAAATTCTAGAAACGGTCAGACCAATAGTAAGATCCAAACGCGGTTACTGTAAGCCATTTTAGACCAAGAATCCGAGTCGACACTCGGACAAAGTTCGCAAGTATTTCTAGTTTGTCTCAAAGTTTAGTAGAGATAAATCTCCAGTTCAAAGATCTTGCAGCATGACCTTGAACAAAACCATTGCCATTTCTAAGCTCTGATTAGCATACCCATTTTTTCTCGATCATATAATGGATCGAATCTCACTTTATGAGACATTTTCCTCTTCATTCTCCCCTTAGTCAAAGCAAAGTGCCATTTCCTATTTATGTACAGGAAAGTGACGGGGGGAAAATGAGTGAAAGGTGAGCTTGTGCTTTCCTTTTTTCACCCCAAATAGCATGTCCACTTTTTTTCTCTTTCATTTCCTCTAAAATCTCTTCTTCGAAAAACACACGCCTTGTGCAAGATCCATTTTATGCGTCAATCTAAAGAAAAGAGCAGGATTTCCTCGATTTCTTATGTCTTCCGATGGAATTGGCATCCGATTGGAGACTTTTCCGATATTCTTCCACTTGAGTAAATAGGAGATTTTTCAGCTCCGATAGCTAGTTAGAAAGAAAAGTAAAAATGGTAAAAAATTTTGATGGCTTTGGCTTTCTATAATTCTTTTATATTTTATTTTTTTATATATAATTCCTTTATTTATATCCTTTAACAAATTGTCTTTTCCTACAGTTTATTTCTTTGAATTTTTATTGGGTTCGTGATTTGAAAACTGAAATGGAAATGAATTCGTTGTTGATAGTAAAATAAGATCGATTTTAAAAGAATCACAGCTCTATTCGTTGTTTCGTAACCGGCAATCACCATCGCAATATTCAAAGTCTAGAAAGCGGTAAAATTCTGTAACTTTCCAGTAATCACCTCACAATCACTGGCAATCCGTTGAGCCGGTTGTATTCGAATTCCAAGAAAATATGATACTAAAACCTTCAATTAAAGCAATTTAATGTATTGGGTTGGTGAATTGAAAGCTGCCGGACTTTGAACTAAAGAAAGAACCTTTCTGGGTTGGTGAAACTGCGGGACTTTGAACTAAGATTTATTCAAAATAAAACCATAAATTGATTCCAAATAATTTCCATTATTATTGACGACTTTTGCCCATTTTACAGGCAATTTGCGGATTCCTCTTTCGTAGTAGGATTTTGGTTTGTGTGTGAGACAAGTGTGAGACTCAAAAATGGAGGCCTGGAGATGTCCCAGTTTGAGCACTTTCTTCAAAAGAAACCCATTTTGGTATCAATAGAAAAGTTGTAGAGAATCAAAAATTAGGCTTATAGCCAAATTTCCAAAAAGATACACTTAGTAGTTTCGCTTAAAATGCAAGTTTTGTTGCAAGTTTTGTGAAATTCGTAAATTTGGCATTTCTTGAAAACCAGTTTTTGAATCGTTCTGAAAATTTGGATATAAGCTTGATTTTTGATTCTCTACAACTTTTCCATTGACACCAAAATGGGTTTCTTTTGAAGAAAGTGCTCAAACTGTCACATATGACAATAGCCCGCAGTTTTCAATTCACCAACCCAATAAGTTCTGATGGCGCTTGTTTCATAATCATTAACCAGAAAACAACAAAGCAATGTTTTGGCTTTCAAAGATGAGATTCGGCTGTAGAAAGGCCATTTTGTGGTTGTAGATTCTGAGATAGCCAAATTCTGTTGTACGCGTTTCATTTTAGAGTTTGAATCCGGAATGATTTCTGTAATTTTCAAGCGAAATCAGATTTTGATCACCCATATCTGTACCTAATCATACTAAAGATTAGAGTAACAAAAGATTAGAGTCTCTAACAAATAAACAAATAATCATTTGAATAAATTTGCTCAAATAATTCTTTTATTTGAATAATGCGTCAAAGAAACGTCAAATCTTTCTGAAATTTTTTGAAAAGCTCTCTAAATTCTGACACAAAATTTCGAGCTATTCAATTTTTTTATACAAAATTTCCCCCAAGTAAGATAGTGAATCAAAGAAAAGAATGAATAGCTTTCGTGGCAGCTGGATATAAAGCGCTTCACGAGATTTTTTTGCCATTTTTATTGCTAATTAATATGCAAAAACTACGATAAACTACGATCTTACTGTTAGTGCATTTGAGAATGCTTTATTTGAGAGGAACACACTCTACCAGAGATGGTAAAAGGTAGCTTGAAGTGGCTTCTCTAAATAAAGATTCCTCGGATCAAGGCAGGAAGTCTAGAAAAACAATTTGAAATGTGATTTTTGCTTCAGCCTGATCGTTAGAAACTTCCTTACTATCTTAGAAGCTTCCTTACTATCTTAGAAACTTCCTTACTTTCTTCCTTACGTTAGAAACTTCCTTACTATCTTAGAAACTTCCTTACTATCTTACTATCTTAGAAACTTCCTTGCTATCTTCCTTACGTTAGAAACTTCCTTACTATCTTTCTTACGTTAGAAACTTCTTTCTTATCTTCCTCACGTTAGAAACTTCCTTACCATCTTGCTTCTGCCAGACACTGGTCCCTAGCTTACATTTATTTTTCCTAGCCTAGTCTAGTCTAGTCATTTCTAGTCTAGTTCCCCTGCAAAATCTAAGGCCCCCAAAATCTCATCAACTTTTGCTCCTTGATGCCAACCACATTTCCAATTAGATTAAAAGTGCGACTAATTACCGGCTTTTTCCACGATTGTCCTCTTTCAGGTGTTCACGATGCTTTTTTCAATTTCAATAGAGCCATTTCCTTTCCGAAAATCTGCCTCAGATTGTTGCCAATTATTGTTGAAGGGATTTCTGAGGCTGAAATGATCGTTCTTTTCCCCCCTTTTCACATTCACATGCCAAGCCAGAGCTGCTTTTTCATCCATTCTTCAACTTACTTTCCACCATCCGATTTCGATTTTCTCGTTTTCTCGATATTTCTTTTGACATTTATGGCAACTTCTTTGTTTTCTCCGCTTTATGAACATTGATGATTAATTAGGGTGGGTTTGGTGGTTTTGTGTGAAGCTGAGGAGGTAACTCGTTTAAAGTTCCACATCTAGACAACACTTACTTAAGTCTTACAGTAAACCGTAATGAAAGTAAGACTTGAAAGTAGGCTAAGACTTTTAAAACTTAAGATTCCGAAGTTCGAAATCTCTCTTGTCTCTCTCCATAATCATTTATAATTTACTGTGACGACTGAACATCTTTGACTGAATATCTTTAAATTGAAGTAAAGATATTCAGTCTTGGAACCTTTTCCAAAATTTCCTGAGTTTAAAATGCTAAATTTGAATGCTGAATTTGAATTAAAATGTTTAAATGTTAAATAATCCGAATCTTGCATTTCTTATTTTGATTTGATACGGTTTCAATACGGTTCGAATACGGTTCGAATACGGTTCCTATTTTGATCTAAAAGGTTCCAATACGGTTCCAATACGGCTCCTATGTTGATCTACTACGGTTTCAATACGATTTCAATACGGCTCCAATACGGCTCCTATGTTGATCTGATACGGTTCCAATACGGTTCCAATACGGTTCCTATTTTGATCTGATCTGATCTTTTTCTCACTTTTAAATTTGGCTTACTAGTGTTTAAAATCAAAATTTCTACAAATATCAAGCTTCTAGAAAAATTCTAGAAAAGAAAAGCTTCTAGAAATCACAATTAAACAGAGTAAAATCCCTTTTATCCTTGATTTTCACTGTCCGACAAGTCACCAAAAAGTTGCCGCATAATAAGACACCAGAAATAATAATAAGCATAATAAGACACCTAATAAGACACCTAAAAATCTCGTGCTTACACGCGTATAAAAGGACGCCACATTCCCCATTTGGTGAATTTTTCTCTCATTTTTCTTCTGAAAGTTTGGTTCTTTTTTAGAAATACTTTTCTAAAGTCGTTTCTTTTTCTTTTTTTTTGATTTCAAAGTGATCTCTGGGTCTCTTTGTGATCTCTTTGTGATCTTCAAAGTGATCTCTTTGAGCTTCATTGGAACATTTTCCAACCCTTGCTCCATGTGTATTGAATAAACTTGGTTTTATGATTCATTCATTCAAACTTGATTCATTCAAGCAAAAGCGTACAGGTCTAGCCACGTCTAGTAAATTCAAGAAAAAGCACACTAGTAATTCATACTATAAAGCAAATTAGTTTTGATTTTTACCTTTACTTTTGCTCATTTCCACATTTCCACTCTGTTTCCATACAAAGAGCCATTTTCTATTAATTCCACAATTCCACAATAGATTATAAACCTTCTCTTTCTGTTTTCCTGCTAAAAACTTTCTTTTTTGTTCACTAATTCCCCACTTTTACAGCACCATCGGGCCTTTAACGCAAACCTCGTCGCTCTTCCTCGCCACCACGAAATTCATTGCTGATCGCATCTAGAGATTGCCGACGATTAAGGGGGAAAAGCTCGAAAAAACGTCGACACAACAGCAGCAAAATGTGGGATTCACACTTGGGAAAGGGATGATCGCGGTGGCGGGCTTACTGTTGGTGGCCCTCATTCCATGCTTCTTTGGGGGAGGATTTCCAATAGTTACACCGCCAGCACCGCCATCATACCCAAGCGCACCAAACGGAGCTCCGGCCGCGGCGGCTGCGGCTGCCGCATCGATTCAGGTACTTTATCGTGCATTTAGAATAACAAATTACCGAGAACAGAACCTAATCATAATCAAATACCTGAAACCCACTTTAAAGTAGAGAGCGTCCACTAATTTGCCTTTAAAAGCGTTAAAGGTGCGGATGTGAGATCGAGAAGTACCTCAGACTTCAGACTTACTTGTAGATCTTACTGCCAGCCGTCTAAACCTAAAATGATTTTGTCACAGTCCAAAAGTTTGAGTCAATCATGAATATATTAACGATCTTGGTAATTCTAAGTCTAAACACAATATCATCCGCATTAAAGGCAACATAGGCATTGACATATCATCCGCATTATAGGCATTGACAACAAGATGAACAAAAGCTCAAAAAATTGACACAAAATACTCTAATAGAAGCCCCCTAAAGGAGCACCGCGTGGTCTAAATTTACTCTTAAACAAACGCTCATATCTCAACACCAGTACGTGTTTCATTCTATGCTACGGATGTCAAATTAAAGTAGAGAGGATTGGTGATTTTTTGAGATATAAAACATATTTTTAGCATTAATCAGCGCTTAGAAAAAATGATTAAAAAGTGCCAAAAAAAGCCGATTGTTCATCATTTTTCAACCATTTTGTTCCAAGCGCTGGTTAAAGTTAAAAATATGTGTTATATCTCAAAAAATCACCCATTTTCTTTACTTTAATTTGAGACGCAAAGGCACAGAAATGAACGTACTAATGTCGAGATATGAGTGTTTGTTTAAGAGTAAATTTAGACTACGTGGCGCTCCTATAGGGGGCTTCTATTAGCGTATTTGCGGTTACTATTATTAAACTGTCCAGAAAGTCTTTTCGTTCCTTTTCGTACTTCCGTTATAAAATAACAAATTCACCAATTAAACCATGGTTTGCTCTAAATAAAAAGTATTTTTTTGTTCAATTTCCATCTTTTTAAGTTAATTTGGGTTCACTTTCAAGGAAATTCGAGAATGAAAACATGTATTGGGTTGATGGAAAAGTCCTTTCCGATTTTTTGGGAGAGTACCTTAAATTTGTCGAATTTTGACGTTTTATAGCTCATCCTAAAGCTGAATTCAAGACGGATCGATTGGTAAAAACCGTTTTGAGATATCTCTTTTCTAAAAGTTTTTACAGCTATTTTAGTAAAGGGCGGCAGAGCCAAAAAATGGCTGTTTTCACGTTTCGTTAGTTTTCCGTGCAGAAACCTAGGCTAAAAACATGTGTTTCGTGATCAGCGTCAAAAATAACCCCTCGACACGCATTTTCAGAATCTTAGCAAAAAATTTTTGGAAAATATTGTCACCGGTGGAAGTCGAACCAGCGACCCTCAGATCAATAGCCTTTCCGCCGCTTTTCGCGATTTTCCTTCGTTTTTCTTGTTTTTTTTTGTTGAAGAATGTTGAAGAATGAAGAATGAAGAAAATGAAGAATGAATTACTCTCCCAAAAAATCGGAAAGGACTTTTCCATCAACCCAATATGTTTCGTAAAAATCTTTAAAAACCTCTACGAAGAAATTAGCTGAATGAATTTCTTTGAAAATTTCGCTATATATCAAACTTTTTGTGCTCTATCTTTTATCTATTGACATGAAGATAGTTTTCCTTAGTTAAAGTGTCTAAACCGCAAAATCAAGCCGCATTTTTGACTACCCGACTTCATGCTCCCCAAAAAACCCAGTCATAAGAGATTTTAAAGCCATTTTAATGTAATTTTGCCTAAAAATAATTGCCCTTTCTAATGAAACAAACCGTAGTTCAATTCATGCATTTGTTGGTTTTAAATGGAAGTATGAAAAGACACGGAAAGACGAAATAGTCTACTAATAATATAATAATAATAATAATAACAAACAACAGCCTAATTTTATATTAAAGTAAGAAGTTTGTAAGAAGTAAGAAGTAATAAAGACAAGAAAACGTAGATTTCCGGAGAGGGGACTGAACCCTCGACTTTTTGCTTTCCAGGCAATTGCCCTAACTATTGAGTTATCCGGTACCTTCACTTGTTAAGATAAAAAAGAAAAGACAAGAAGAAAGGATAAGTTACTTTACAATTAATATCCATCATCTTTCAGGGACCCTTCAATCTCCAACCGAATTCCATCCAACAGGCAAATAGCCAGAGCGATCAAAACGTCCAAAACAACCAAAATAACCAAAATAACCAAAACAACCAGAACAACAATAATAATAACGATCAAAATAACAATGGCCAGCAATCGGTTCAACCGGACGTTATAGCTTTCGCCGATTTGATTCGACAACGAAGCACGGGAAATCGGCAATCACAAGTATGCTTTGTAGACTTAAGAATAGTCGTTTTATTGACTGATTCTTGGCTAGTAGCTTTGAAATTTTGTCTAAAGATAGTTCTTATCTTAACCTATTTAGTGTCCATGTGTTCTCCATCCTCAATCCGGTCAATGTATCGTTTATGACTCTCGCTATTTGGCTTCAACAATTGAAGAGGCTATGTTGGCTTTTCTTGATCTTTCCGGAGCTGTCAAAAATGCTCCGATTGTTGTAAGTTTTGGAAATTTTAATTAGAAGCTATTCTAAAACCATTCTATATCTTAAATTCATGTTATTTTTTGCAGAACGGCCGAACTTTCACTTGTCAAACTCCTCAATGTCTGCAATGTTTTGGTGCTTTGTACTACCGGTTTCAGCGCATTGGGCTCATCGATCAAAAGTTCCAATTTGTCACCAAAGTAGGCAGTGTTTAAGTTTTCTTATTCTATTATTATCATCACAAGAGTTGTGTTTTTCTCATCACACCTTTTTTGAGGTTTTGCCGCGAGACGATCTTGAGACAACAGCTTGTCCGAGACTCATCTTCCCGCAAGAAAAACCGGTTTGTTTCTCAAGTTTGTCATGAATGGAAACTGCTTTGTTTAGTTGCAAAAGGACTTTAGCAAAAAGTTGAAACAAAATGAGCTACAGCATTGCTTTAAGCCTTAAACAAACACAAATTAGATTTAAAAAAGGATTGCCAATATAAAGGGTGGCCACAAATTATCGCCTTTCAGTTTTTTGAGCTATTGAATTATAAAACAGAGGTGATAATTTGCGGCCACTCTGTACTGTTCTGTACTGTACTGTTAGAAGGGTCTAAAAATGATAATTCCTTTATTAACTCCTTATTTCCCATTTCTTACAACAAAAGTTTAGGTCGCCAACCCTCCACCAGCTCCAGCTTTTGTTCGTGCGATGATCTCTGCCGGGAGATCGTTTTCAAGAAATTTGCAAGAAGTGGCAACAGCTGCCAAGGATGCTGCTGATGCACATGACGGTAAGAAACAAGAGTCATTAGTAAATTTCATTATATTGCTTATGGTTTGGCCACTCGTCGAGCTCCGAATTTTGCATAATTTAATTCAGAGCTGAATCCGGGTGTCCCAAAACCCGATGGCCCTCTTCCACCGGCTCCCACTCGACTGAACACCGAAGTTAACACTCAATTCTTGCCTAGTCTTCAACGAGTCAACAATGGAGTAAACTTTGTGGGGGAAATGATAGCTTATCAATTCAGATTACAATTTAGCAAAACAATTGGATTCAAAATCAACTCGGGCAATTTGACAGACAGTTGGGCTTGCAGTTAAATCAACAACAACAACAACAACAACAACAGCAAACAAACAATCAACTCCAGCAGATCAACGTAACTTATAGAAAGAATATTTCTTTTCGAGTGGTAAACCTTGAATTTCCCCAATACTTTAGTCACTCCAACAAGCTCGACCAAACATTCAACAACAACTCGTGCAACAGCAATTCCCGCAGCAACTCACGAACACCGCGAATACGTTAGGACAAAGTAAAGGCTTGAGTTTACATGTATTCTATAGCACTTCTTTAGCTCGTCCCTTCGTTCAAACACAAGTCCAACTTCCAGGAGTGAACCAGGGCACATGGAATGGCCAATCATGGAACACCGGGTCACAAGTCGGTACCCAACCAGTCGGAGTCGGAGTCGGAGTCGGTACCCCACAAACAGGATGGAATGGACAGACATGGACACCCGGATGGAATTCAGGACAATGGGGCACACCGGGAGCACAGACTGGATGGACGGGAGGACAATGGAATGGCGGACAACAGAATTGGCCGTTCGCTCCACAGGTGCCACAGGTGGGAAACTTTTGAAAGAAGATAATATGGTATTTGTAATCTATTACATTGCTGTATAAGTCTTTACAATTTTTTTCAACTTTTTGTTTCCATGGAAAAGAGTCCATTATTAAAGAGTTCTTTATCAAATTTATTGCATCTTAAACGATTAAAAAGGTCTATTATTTCTCTACAAAATGGCTTTACGAGAGAAAGCTCAAAGCTCATCTCAACTCGGTAAAAACTCATTTTTATTGTATAATTTTCAATTGCTTTTTTCAAGAAAATGACTGAACAGATCGGTTTCAAATTTTACAGACTTATTTAATGAAATGAGCTCTATCTTTTTTACTTTGGCACCAAAATAGGTTTGTATTGAAGAAAGTGTCCAAATTGGAATAGTTTTGGGTGCTCGTATTTGCAACTTTGAAAATTCAAAAAACAATTATTTCCAAGAACTTCCCAAAAGCGCTATTTTGCAGAGAAACAATTAACCTTTTTAATAATTCAAATAGAAATCTTGTTGGTGATGGCATTATTTTCTAATGACGTTTCGGAAAAAATTGTAAAGACTTATGCACCAATCTAATATGGCCTTGTTCACTCACCGGTCTCTTCTTTCTCACGACATATGACTATAATCAAGCACAGAACAAGCTTATTGATTGCATTTGAATAGCTGAATATTTGCGTGCACCAAAATTTTGATCTTTCACTGAGAGCTTTGGCACTTTCCCTATAACGGGGGAATTTTTTCCCCCTGCTTGTGCTAGCCCGTGATATCGGGAAATGATCTGCGTCACACCGTGTTTTTTGTAAAGAAGTCGGAAACCAGAAAACAAACAGAAGAACAAATTTACTGAGTCTAAATAAGGTGCAGAGAAAAAAAACCCGCGCGTTATAGAAAAAGTACGAGAGCTTTCAGTTCAAGTAGTCAATGGCAACTTCTATTTATGTAAATGTTATAAAATGTTTTGAGTATAAAAACTATGATAAATTGCTGACGAATTTTAAATTTCAGACACCTAGTTGGCCGGGTTGGTCGGGTGGAAGTGGAAATAACGGAAACGGTAATGGATGGGGCGGAGGCAGCGGAGGAGGATGGAGCGGTGGATGGGGTATCTACAAAATCTCATCCAACTTTACAATGGTCCAATTTTTTAGGTGCAAGTGGCGGTGGAACTGGTGGAGGCACCCCAGCTCCGATTATCATTTTGCCATTCGGAAAAAAGGGTAAAGTCGAATTTTGGCATAAAATGTTGCATTTTTAAGTTCCTTATGAAATTCATCGGTCTAAAATGGAAAGCGAAGTTTTTTTGATTCAAATTTCCTACTAAATTCTGTGAAATAATATTATAATGATTTTGAATCGAATATCTAGACAATCTGAAATCTTTAGCCTGGAGATGTCCCAGTTTGACTGGAGATGTCCCAGGACTGGAGATGTCCCAGGACTGGAGATGTCCCAGGACTGGAGATGTCCCAGTTTGAGCACTTTCTTCAAAAGAAACCCATTTTGGTGTCAATAGAAAAGTTGTAGAGAATCAAAAATTAGGCTTATAGCCAAATTTCCAAAAAGATACACTTAGTAGTTTCGCTTAAAATGCAAGTTTTGTTGCAAGTTTTGTGAAAATTCGTAAATTTGGCATTTCTTGAAAACTAGTTTTTGAATCGTTCTGAAAATTTGGATATAAGCTTGATTTTTGATTCTCTACAACTTTTCCATTGACACCAAAATGGGTTTCTTTTGAAGAAAGTGCTTAAACTGGGACAATAGCCCGCAGTTTTCAATTCACCAATCCAATACTTTAGATTTATGAAAAAATAATAACTTAACTTTCAAGCAAGCTTAATTTCAAGAATGAACCGGTCATTTTTCCTCTAAAAACCCTTGATCCTGTATTTTATAATTCAAACATGGTTTCTTTTAGCAGCCAAGGTCCGTGCGAAACGCCAAGACACAACTCCAGCTCCATCATCGACTCCACAGGGTGTAGGAGAGCGATTTGATGTGCATTGCTCAAAGAAAGGAGAGAACCCGGATGATAAAGGAATGCTCTCATTGTGTAAGTTGAATTCCAGAGTTTCTCAGGTCACAATTGGATTCAACTCTGAACTCATCAATGTCCATTTAGGTGGCACTTGTTGGTCGATTCGAAAGCTTCCCGAGGACTATTTCCCTCGATATGTCAACGAGCGATCTTGCAGCTCGGATAATTTCTGTTTATCAGGTAAATTTAAATAACTGACAAGAAAGTCCCACAATATTATGTATTGAAAAGTTGTTGATTCGAAAATCGTAAAATTCTTTTCCTCGATTCCCGAGGTTCATGTCCTGGTCAGGCGCAAAATGCGTCTAAAAGCCGGATTTATGCAAATCGCTTTTCCATCAAACAAACGCGTCAAAAACTTTTGCCTAAATAGCATCGTTTGATTTTCAGACATCTTTTTCGATAAATTTAAATTTTTATTGAGGTCAGGAATGTGGAAGTTAAACATGATTGACACGTGCTGCTTGGAATTTCATTTTCTGAACCGAAGAAAAGATCTAGCAGTTGTTTTTCATCTGCTTATTAAAACTAAAAGGGTTATGGTAGCTTTTGAAGGTTGCACTTGCTTTTTTAGTTTTTAGTTTTTCGAATGACAAGTTGGATGCCTTTTAGAAGTGATACAAATGTTTTTTCGTTGTCACGGTGCCCCAAAATTACCCAACCAACCTCCGTTTGCCGCGCTTTGCTGTTATGCGCTTTTAGGTTGACTATCTTTGCTACTTTTTAGGCACAAAACCACTTTGGAAACAAAATTTGGTGCTTCCAACGGGATGGGGCCACAGCAAGCCGATTTTGTCCAAGACTAGTGTGAACGAAACTTCCCGGATTTCATCAGCTTTAAGCAGTGACCACCATCAAGCCCCGATTTAAATCCGATGGATCACTCAGTCTGGAGTGTTCTCGAAACAAAGGCCTACTCAAAAGCAAATTCCAACATTCCAAATTCACTGAAAAACTCCAGAAAGTTTGGGTTGAACTCGATCCTGCGTATCTTTTGGCCACCATCGGCTTCCCAAAATGTCTTGCCGCTTGTGCAGGCTGATGGAGATATTTTCGAGAAGAAATAAACCAAACTGTTGAAAGCAATCTAGAGAATAAATTTGTTAATGTTAATTTTGGTTTTTTTGACGAAAAGGTTTTTAAAACATGAGTTTTATTGGTTCGGGTAATATTGGGGTCATATTTTGATCTAATACGGTTCCAATACGGTTCTTTTTTTGATCTAATACGGTTCCAATACGGTTCATATTTTGATCCAATACGGTTCCAATACGGTTCTTTTTTTAGTTTACATGACCAGTGAATATTTGTATAAAATCGGATCCGATCGGATAGTCGGATCGTATATCATGAATTTATCATGGTCTCTTGATGCCTATTATCGTGTATCGCTGACCTGGCGCAAGATTGTCGAAGCTTGATCCGTCAAGCCATGTGATATTCTCTCCGTCATAGCTTCCGCCGATCCAGATCTGCTTTAGGCCCTGATTGGTTTGGATAATATTGGGGCACCCTGTACAATGCTAAAATTTTCAAACGATCAAATAAAAAAGATAGATTAAACATTCCTTTCAAAGACTAAATGACAATTTTCAGATTAGAGTTTTTCCCTTGCGAGTAAGTTACTCGAGTAAAACTTGCAAAAGTCACTTTTCCTCGATTAGTCGACGTTTTTTGTTGATTACCATGAGTAATCCTCTTTCGAGTAAATTGAATATTTTTACATTTGATGGGAATTTCCCACGAAATCAGTTAAACGGCTGAATATCTTTAAAAGGAGACGTATATAAGGCGACGCAATTTTTTGCAATAACGAAAGTAGGGTAATTTTTTCTAACAAGTGAACCTCTTAAGGTTACCCTCAAGTCCAAGAATGATTTAGGTACCGTTTGATTGGAAAAGAATTTAGCTATCCAAATCTGGTGTCCAAACTTGCTTTTGAATCTACGACTTACAATATTTTCGAGTTGAAAGCTCAAAAACCCGTTTTTTCTTATAAATGGGGTATCAAGATTGAAGTTTTTAGTAAGAAACTTTTTTTTGTGCTAAAAATCGCGAAATAAATCGCGCGCAATGAAAATAGCTGCTTAATTCGAAAACTAGAGCAAGTTAGATAGATTATTCGCCACAAAAGTCTTTTCTGAAACGGTCATTTTTCCTCAAAAACTTTTGTTTTAATCATTTGAAAGGCTAATTAATGTTTTTATTTAAAAAACGATTATAAATGTAATTAGAATTATATTTATTTAGTTAATTATAATTATAATTAATGTTTTTGTTTAAAAAACGGCTATAAATGCATGAAGTAATCGAATTTTTAAAAAGCAAAAAAAAGTTGCGAGCACGGGAATTGAACTCATCCAAAAAAGTTGCAAGCACGGGAATCGAACCCATCCAAAAAAGTTGCAAGCACGGGAGTCAAATCCCATCCAAAAAAGTTGCAAGCACGGGAATCAAATACCATCCAAAAAAGTTGCAAGCACGGGAATCAAACCCATCCAAAAAAGAATTTCGCGGACAAGCGCTATCCACTAGGGTACGGGCTCACTTTGAGAGGGCGTAAAAAGAAAAAGAAAAACCTCAATCTTGATACCCCATTTATAAGAAAAAAAAACGGGTTTTTGAGCTTTCAACTCGAAAATATTGTAAGCCGTAGATCCAAAAGCAAGTTTGGACACCAGATTTGGATAGCTAAAAGCTTTTTTTAAAATATTGTGCCAGAAATTCGAGAAAAGCTATCAAAATTCACTAAATTTCATTTCGAATATTTCCGTTCTAAAGCCCCAAAAGCAAGTTTTGACACCAGATTCAGATAGCTAATTTTTTTTCAATTAAATGGTACCTAAAACGTTCTTGGATTCGAGGATAAGTTTAAGCGGTTCCTTTGTTAGGAAAAATGACCGTACTTTTATGATTGCGAAGAGAATTACGTCTTATATACGTCTCCTTTTAAAGATTTTCAGCCGTTTAACTGATTTGGTGGGAAATTCCCATCAAATGTAAAGATATTCAATTTACTCGAAAGAGGATTACTCGTTTCCTTGTAAGTTTGCGTTTAAAAAAAAAGGCATTGTTCGCGAGGAAGACACTATTTCAGATTACAGATAGTTGAAATCTTGTTTCTTTTCCAGGTTGGGGCACTTGCACTCCATCATATCGACCGGTGGAGGTTGTTCGAATGGTTAACGGTCGCTATGTTCCGGCAACGATTAACTCGGCTCAATGTTGCGATTGTCGAGTTCAACCTGGGTCCAGCATTCATGCGTTGATTGTCGGATAGAAAATAAGCGTAAATGCCCGCATCCTAGTGCTTTGCTCTTATGATAAGTCTAACTAAAAGCTGAGATTTTGTAACTGTAGAACCCCAGTGTTTTGCAGCTCTAGAGTCTTTTGAATAAAAAGTATTAAAGCTTTAGAGACTTTTAGCTTCACCTCGGGTTTCTAGCTTCAGCTCAGGTTTCTCAGCTTCAACTAAGCATTCAAAAGTTATTCAGTCTCCTGAATACCATATTGTGGATTGCTCTAGCAACATAAGAGCTTTACAATTCCTTTAAAAATAAGATAGACTTGCTTTTTAGTGCTAGATTGAAATCACAAATAAGCTAATTATTCAGGAGTTATTTGAGCACTTCCTACGATAATCTATTTTCTATTCTGCACTGACATTGACATTGATATTGTCATTGATATTGTCATTGATATTGTCATTGATAGTGTCATTGACATTGCCATCGACATTGACATTGACATTGACATTGCCATTGACATTGATATTGACATTGACATTGGTAAGCAATAAGATCTGGCTTTTGTCATAAGGCAAAGTACTAGGGGATGGCTAAAAAAATAGACCAAATTGCTTAACACATTCAATTGCTGAACACAGGTATGGCCCACCGGTGGATCATACGCAAATTTAGCACTTTTTTTGAGGCGATTGAGCTGAAAATTTGCGATTAGGGGTTTTCGAGGGCGAGGAATCCGAATCCGTGATTAGTTTTTTAAAAAGCTGCTCTATTCTTCGATATTACATCTAGATGTTCTGATATTTTTGGATATTACCTACGTGCGATCTTATATCACCGTATGCCAGAAGGCGCGCGATTACAATGAAAATAAGTCTACATAAACGCGCATCTTCTGGCACACAGTTAGGGATATAAACCCAAACTTGATTTCGCTCTTTTTCTCAAATTTAGTTTAATTACCGAAATCTTTAGAGTTTTTTGATGAATGTATTGACTCGGAAATTGCTCGAAAATTGCTCGAAAATTGCTAAAATTGCTAAAATTGCTCAAAAACTGATCACGGATTGAGATTCTCCATTCCAGAATGCCCCTGGTTACAAATTTTCAGCTCTACAGCTAACATAGGCAGCAAAGCTTAAAATAGCTTTGCCCTAATGGTGTTAACAAAAACAAAAACCGATAAATAAGATCATTCTCTCTTCAAAAACGATATTCTCAATACGGGAGTTACATAACTTATTTGTTTTTCACTTCTGAAACTTTAATATTTAATTTTTTCACCGCCATAACAACGATGATCCCTTAAAAAGTTGAACTCTTCTCGAAAAATGCAAATTTCTTCCACGAAAACACTGTGATTTTTTTTTTCGGAAATTCGTCATACAGACTTTTTTCTTTCATTCGCGTATTTCTTTTTTTGTGACGTCAAGAAAAAAAACGAGAGAAAGATTGTTTCAATCGAATCAATTCAATCGAAAAGACATCATGAAAAATGAAATTTAAATCGTCTTTTGATTTTGATTTTGTAATTGATAACTTATTCAACAATAGCAATAAATCTTTCGGCATTACAAAAAGGCAAAAAAGATGATGAAAATGAAAGGAATTGATGAAAAGCACAAAACAAAATTGAGTCAACAAAGTCTCTCTTTCGAAACATTTATGGCAAAAGACCAAACGAGTAAAACCAATGCTTTTAAGTTAACCAATGTTAACCAATGCGCTTTTCAAGTAAAGTTCTTTTAGTTAGCTCAAAATGTACCGCATCTTGTAACTGATTTTAACAAACTCTTCATCCTGTTTGAGTCTAACAAGATCTAGAAGATATAAAAAAAAATTTTTTTTTTTTTTTTTTTTTTTTTATTTTTTTTTTTTTTTTTTTTTTTTTTTTTTTTTTTTTTTTTTTTTTTTTTTTTTTTTTTTTTTTTTTTTTTTTTTTTTTTTTTTTTTTTTTTTTTTTTTTTTTTTTTTTTTAAAAAAAAAAAAAATTTTTTTTTTTTTTTTTTTTTTTTTTTTTAAAATTAAAAAAAAAAAAAAAAAAAAAAAAAAAAAAAAAAAAAAAAAATTAAAAAAAAAAAAATAAAAATTAATTTTTTTTAAAAAAAAAAAAAAAAATAAAAAAAAAAATAAAAAAAAAAAAAAAAAAAAAAAAAAAAAAAAAAAAAAAAAAAAAAAGAAAAAAAAAAAGAGAAAAAAAGAAAAAAAAAAAATTTAATTTTAAAAAAAAAAAAAAAAAAAAAAAAAAAAAAAAAAAAGAAAAAGGAAATGGGTTGTTATAAAAAAAAAAAATAAAAAAAAATATATTTTTAATTTAAAAAAAAAAATAAAAAAAAAATAATATATATTTATATTTAGCGGTAAATTTGTGCTAAATTATACCTAACTGCCGATAATTTGCTTTCATTGAGAATGGGATCAATTAGTACTCATTCAAGAACTTGTGAAATGAGTTGTAGATCTCCAATCGGGAAACTTTTAATAGATAAATGTAGCCAAGATTAAGGGCTTCACGATTTTAATTAACAATTCAGACATTAGGGTTGAACTTGTAGGATTAAGGGCTACAAACTTGGCGCCTGGGAACTAATCTACCAAAAAGAAATCGTCGTAAATACTGAACACCTTGTATTCTACAGGGCCATCGCAAAGTAGCGACAATTTCTTGTAGCGGCAATTGCCTAACTTATTTTAGAAGTGTCAAGTGTTATATAGCGAATTGTAGCCCTAATTCTCGGCAGCATTTATCTACCAAAAACTTTCCGATTCGACTTATACAACTGAATTACCAAGTGCTGGAATGAGCTCTATGTCATGGCCGCTTTTCTCTATTAAAAATTGTTAAGAAAAGCTTTTCTTTAAGGCAAAATCGTTAAATCGTGAAAAATGGAGAAGAAAGGCCTAGAGCTCATTCAAGCGCTTGTTAACTGAGTCGTATAAGTCGAATCGGGAGTAGTTTTTGGTAGATAAATGTTGCCGAGAATTAGGGCTACAATTCTCTATATAACACTTGCCTTTTTTGAAATAAATTAGACATTTCCCAGCTACTTTTCCAAAAAGTTGTCGTAATTCGTGGTCATCCTGTATTCTATACGCATAATCAGATGTTTTCCATGCAACAGCTCAAGCGGTAGGTGTTTAACCTGGTAGGAATCGTTTAGTACCTTAATATCACATAGTCTTTTACCTTATCTCATCACCCAATCAACTAATGGTAAGGTCATCGCAAAATGGATCAGGTCAAGAGCAAACCGCCATGAAAGCTATTGTTGAAAGAGAAAATCGCCGACAAACAACTCTTGAGGATTTCCCAAATCACAGCCAACACTAACTCTTGAATCATAATTGGAACCGTTTTTTCAATTGTGAAACGTGACTTCTCCACTTGATCCCCTCTCTAATCACACCGATCTCCCATTCCTATCTATCCCACAATCAATCTCAGGAATCTTTTTCAGCACTCTCAATCACAATTCTCTCACTATTTCTTTTCCATCAAAGTCTTCCATTTCCCGCACTATTCCCCGTTGATTCTATCGATTTGCATAATCTTCTCTCGATCTATATAGTGGCTTGGTTGGGGAGTTTCCTCCATAGACAGGCAGTCTTTTCATTGCCCATTCTTCAGTCTCTCTCAATTTTTCGTCCTTGTTGACGAGCCCCATTCAGAGAAGCGCTTTCAGGTTTGCGATTTGATTTTGGTAGAATTTTTTAGCGGAAAGGTTTACGGTGAAAATCTTTTGATTAAGGTTTAGCTTTGAACAGTTTTTGTTGGGAATTTCTTGTGCCTATTGCTTTGTGAAAGTTGCTATAAGATTTGCTATAGGAATTCTTAATATTTTCCATGCTAAAAGGTGCTGAAAAGCTATAGTAACCCTACAGTAATCCTACAGTAACTTTACAGTAAGCTACAGTTTTGGTAAAACTCGGTGAGCTCAGTAGTGTGGTGGTGAGGCCAAGAAAAGTAACAGGCTTTCCGCCTTAAATTTTAAGAGTACGGTAGCTTTCTCCTTAACGCACTTTTTAGCAAAGACTTTAACCAAGAGAAGCACAGTTTAATTCCAAAGTGATTCCTTTAAAAAGCAATCTTCTCAGGTTGGCTCCGTTACGCGTCTTTGCCGGCGACTATCCAACGAACTCGGACGAGTACGGCTAGAGGATAAGCAAAGGCCCTCCCGACAAAGAGGAGAGGCCAATTCACATTGATCGTCCTAAAATAAAGGTTTATGCATTCTAATAAAAATATCATTTATTTGACAATTTCCAATTTCAGCTGACGCCTCGAAATGGCAACTGTGGCTTGCGGAGTCGGTGCGGCCGTTGGGGGATGTGTGACGCTGCTTTTGGCCTTGCCAGCCTACGCACTTAAGGTCGGTCAGGCTTTAAAAATAACTGGCTTTTCAACTTGTCTTTAAACATGGTGTAATTGTTTGTAATTTGAAATCTTCCGATGACAAGGTCAATTCAAAAACTTTCGTTTAAATGGCCTTGTCTGAACCCTTCTAATTGCATAGAAGATAGAAAGATAGAAATATAGAAATATAATTGAAAACTCTGATGAAATAGAAAGGATATAAAGTATAAAGAACTGTTCTCATGTTTCCAAAAATCCAACAAGCTCTGCTATATATGAAAGAGCAATGTCTGTCTGTCTGTACGGGCATTTTCTCAGCCATGTTTTGTTCAATAAGGCTAAAACTAAAGCAGAAGAAAATTGCGCGTCGAATGGAGCCAAAATTAACTCAAAATGTAATATCCATTCAAAGTTATGTGGCTAAAGGTTAAGTCCCGCCCATAATTGGCGAGGTTTAGGTTTTTAGCCAACAATTTTGCGAGGATATTACATTTTGAGTTAATTTTGATATCATTCGACGCGTAATCTTCTTCTGCATCGAATGATAGTCAAAATAGTCAAAATCGAAGGGTTGGTGCTGAGAAAAGCACGAGAAACCTTTTGCCAATGGTAAAAAGGACCGACAGATGTTTTTGTTACAAGTTTAGTATGCCGTATGCCCGAAAAAGCCAGAAAAACCGAGTTTTTTGGCTGGCATGTAGATACTTTTGATTTAACCAATAAATCTAAAACAATTTTTTTCAGGAGGTCTACGAAGGACGTACGAAAGCGAACCTCAAACGACACCTTGGACGTCGCAGGAGATGCCGTAAGTGATTGAAAGGAATCTTAAGAAGACACTAATATTCCATAGCCAAGACTGGCTATGGAATACTTAGTGTCTAGTACTTTAATACTTGTAATGTGTTCACTTCCAGGAGTGAGCTTTGGCAGCTGTGACGCCATCGCCACGACGAGCATCGTTGAGGCGATCGAGCAGAAGAAAAAGGTCGAGTGCAATCCGCCATTGTACGGTGATCTGTTCAAGCGTCGTGAAACCCCTCCACCCCCATACGATCACGAAAAAATTCAAGAAAAGACCATCAAAAACATCGACGAGATCCCAAGAATCCCGGTGATTCCCCTAAAGTCGGCGCTGAAACGCCGTCAGTAATCGTTTTCTTTGCAAGTTTCTTTGCCTTTGCCAGTTGCCTTCTGAGCAATTTGTTTGTGAAATTGGTTTTGACTTATTGGTTTTGATGACTTGATTACGCAAATAGCTACTGAAATCAGATTACAATTTGGAAATAGCATTTAACTTTCCGAGTTGAACTTAAAGTTTAACTTAAAGCCATCAGAATCCCAAGTTTTCTCGCTATAGCATGCCAAAAAAAAGACTGGAGATATTGAATATTTCACTTAAAGTCGAGTTATTCAATTTTTCGGTTCAACGCTTTTATCCGGGTAGACTGTAACGGGAAAAATGCTTGGGCTTATCAGATCAGCTTACAAGCAGAATTTTCATCAATCAAACTCGATTTTACATTACAAATTGCTCAATTTATAAGCTTTTCTTGCTGTAATTTGTAAAACTTTTCAATAATTCACTTTCCCTTTTGTCTTAACTTATTCTCTTTTCTTTTTCTTTTCTATTCATCTATTTTTTTCACTTTTTGGGGAGCTCCGGGTGACTCCGCGAGTCCGGCAAAATGTTTCCCAGCGCTGAAACAGCTTAGAAAAACGAAAATCAACCTAAAACATTTTGCTGTGCTTTATAGCCACAATCGAGCAGGTGTCGTTTCTTTTCAATAGTTATTTTCAACAAAATAATATTTCCCGCCCATTGTTTTGGCCAAACTTTGGGGTGTGCTTCTCTGAGAAAACAAAAACAACCATCACTTGTTAATAAAGAATTCGAAAGATTTTGTCGAGAACAAACAGATTTTCGATCATCAACACACTCAAGTGCCAGGTTTTTTGGAAAAGATCATAAGAATCTTTGCGAAAACAATTACCTAGACCACTTCAAAGAGTTTTGAATGAATGAATTATGATAAAATGATTTTTTTCTTCAAATTATTTAGTTTAACAAGTTTATATTGGGTTGGTGAATTGAAAACTGTGGACTATCGTCACAGTTTGAGCATTTTCTTCAAAAGAAACCCATTTTGGTGTCAATAGAAAAGTGGTAGAGAATCAAAAACTAGGCTTATAGCCAAATTTCCAAAAAGATACACTTGAAACTGGAATTCAACTTACACAATGAGAGCATTCCTTTATCATCCGGGTTCTCTCCTTTCTTTGAGCAATGCACATCAAATCGCTCTCCTACATCCTGTGGAGTCGATGATGGAGCTGGAGTTGTGTCTTGACGTTTCGCACGGACCTTGGCTGCTAAAAGAAACCATGTTTGAATTAGAAAATACAGGATAAAGAGTTTTTAGAGGAAAAATGACTGGTTCATTCTTGAAATTAAGCAAAAGTCCAAAGTTAAGTTATTATTTTTTCATAAATCTAAAGTATTGGGTTGGTGAAGCGAAAACTGCGGGCTATTGTCCCAATTTAAGCACTTTCTTCAAAAGAAACCCATTTTGGTGTCAATGGAAAAGTTGTAGAGAATCAAAAATCAAGCTTATATCCAAATTTTCAGAACGATTCAAAAACTGGTTTTTAAGAAATGCCAAATTTACACAAAAGAAATGCCAAATTTTCACAAAACTTGCATTTTAAGCGAAATTACTGAGTGTACCTTTTTGGAAATTTGGCTCTAAGCCTAGTTTTTGATTCTCTACAACTTTTCCATTGACACCAAAATGGGTTTCTTGTGAAGAAAGTGCTCAAACTGGGACATCTCCAGTCCTCCATTTTTGAGTCTCACACTTGTCTCACACACAAACCAAAATCCTACTACGAAAGAGGAATCCGCAAATTGCCTGTAAAATGGGCAATTTAGTAAAAAGTTCCTCCAAAGAGTGAAAAGTTCCTCTTACTGCATCATCTACTAGCTGGATTATCGATTAATTTCCAAAGACGCCGCTATTTCAGACTCCCCAACGCAATAATGGTTCTGATTTTCAAGTAGTGCGGAAGTTCTGAAGACTTAGATATTTCCTTCTTTCTTTCTTTTTTTCTTCCTTTCTTCTTCCCCCTTGTCTTTCCTTCTTTCTCTTGGCAAGTTAAGGTACCGGATAGCTCAGTGGTTAGGAAAATTGCCCGGAAAGCCAAAGGTCGAGTGTTCAATCTCTCTTCGGAAATCTACTTAATCTATCTATCACTAGTTGATGTTCCAGTACTCTTACAAGTTACTGCATCATCTACTAGCTGGATTATCGATTAATTTCACACTCAAGCACCTACCAAAGTCGATTAGTCAAAAAAGTTTTCAAGTTTTAGAGAACTTAACTCTAAACGAAATTCTACATCGAAATCTCGGTGAGTTTCACAAATTCTTTTATTTGACATGCCATTTTCCAGCAACAATTTTCGATTCCGAATCCAAAAAGAAACCCATTCTAAAATTTTCCTAAAAAACATCTGATCCCGAGACTATTTGTGTAAAGATTTTGCAGATGAGAGAAAAATATTGAGTTCCTTTTCAGTCAACAGAGTTGTTTACGGTGTTCCCCAGTCCCTCCTCTTTCCTTTTTTTTGCACTCAGGGCACCGAGGCCAGCAAAAATAGCATAAAAATAGACGAACGATGTTTTCGATTTTCAGTTTTAGATTTAAACTCTGAAAACCTTCAATTTGCCACTTGATTTTGAGTTGGTTTAAGATTTTTAAGATTTTAAGAGCTTCATTTCAATTACTTTTCATCTTTGGGCTATTAGTTTTTAAAAATTTCTTTTACTTTCTTTTAAACTTAAGAATTCAAATAATAATTAAAGCTGTTTTTGGCAAAAATCTAATAAAAAACATTTAAAATTCAAATCTTTTCAAGCAATTGCTCTGTTTTGGATTGAAATTTGATTATTTTATTGAACTGTGCTGTTCTCATTGTTCTCATGTTCTCATATTGTTCTCAAAATATTAAGAAATTGAATAGCTCAATGGGAATCAAATAATCTTTGCAAATTTTCCAGAATCTTCCAATTATCAATGGCTCTCCGCGTAACTCCGGCTGCTTTTGCTCGGTTTGTTTTTCTGCCTTTCACATCTCAAAATAGGTTGTCCCTTTTTCCAAAACATTGCGAAATCCCGCCAAACCCGTGTTTTGACTGATTTCTTTTGCACCATTGAAGAAAATCTAAACAGAAAAAATCTTGGCAATGTTTTGGGAAATCTGAGAATGAGAAATTGATTAAATAATGGGAATAACAGCAAAAAAAAAGAAGATACCGTATTTCTTCGAATAGAAGACCGGGTAAAGAGTATCATCGCGTACTCCCTTTTTTAAAATTTCTTTTCTGCATAAAATCTTTCAATGAAATGCTATAGAGCTGGAAAATGGCTCAAAAATCTGTTAGCTCATGTGGTATTTTTGAGCCATTTTCCAGCCATATAGCACTTGATTGAAAGCTTTTATGCAGAAAAGAAATTTTAAAAAGGGCTGCTACGCAGGAGAACGCGATGATACTCTTTACCCGGTCTTCTATTCGAAGAAATACGGTAGTTAATGTTAATGTGATTTGGGACATCTCAAAATAGGTTGTCCTTTTTCCCGAAAGCATTGCGAAATCCCGCCAAACCCGTGTTTTGACTGATTTCTTTTGCACCATTGAAGAAAATCAAAACAGAAAAAAATCTTGGCAATGTTTTGGGAAACCTGAGAATGAGAAATTGATTAAATAATGGGAATAACAGCAAAAAAAGAAGATAGTTAATGTTAATGTTATTTGGGATAATTTGGAGCAGCTTGAAAATGTCTTTGAACATTTTCAAGCTGCTCCAAATTATCCCAAATAACATTAACAGAAAAAAACCCAATGTTTTAAGAACTAATTTTAATGAATTACAGAGTCAGCACGAAAGTGATGCAACTCGGCGAGCTTGGCGCTGGAATGGGAAAGGTAGAGCTTTCACTTCTAAACCCAAAATGAAGTCCACCGATTTCGTGTAACTAAAAGATTAGTAAGCTTTGCAAGCTCGATCTTCTTAGGCTATAAAAGTATGGTTGATTAAAAACTAATCAAAAACACTTACTGCCAAGAACTTTTCAACCTAAATCTACTTTCTCTTGCCAATTCCTTCACTTCTTTATTACTAATAAAGATTACTAATCTTTATTACTAAGATTCTGATTTTCAAATAGGGCCAAAGTTCTGAAGAACCGGGTATTTCCTTCTTTCTTTCTTCCTTTCTTCCTCCTCCTTGTCTTTCCCTCTTTCTCTTGGAAAGTTAGGGTACAGGATAGTTCACAATGTTCAGAAGTGGAGGTTTTGGGATCAGTGATACCTGACAAGGGAATGGTGAGAAGTGACTGTGACCGTTTGGGATGAGTGATACCTCTTCAATAGATCTCATGATGAATATTAATGAGCAAAAAAATTAGTTGCTCAAGGTAACTCTACAACGAGAAATGACGTTTTTAACCCTCCTTGGCGTAGCTGGAACTTTTCCTAAATCAATACTTTTGAATAATCTTTTTTGCATGTATTAGAACTTGAATGAAGCTAAAAATAGTAAAATTTGATTCTCAAAGTATTTAGAGAATTTTACATTTCAAAGCTCTTGATTTTAGCCAAAGTTTACTGAGGTTTTTTATAGGAATATCTTTAGTTTCTACAATTAATGAAAGTCTATTTTTTTAGTTTCATTCAAGTTCTATTACATGCAAAAAAGACTACGCAAAAATATTGATTCAGTAAAAAGTTCCAGCTCCGTTAAGGAGGGTCAAAAGCACCATTTTTGCTCCTTGTTGGCCCCATTTCTCATTGTAGAGTTACTTTCGGGAGTCAATTTGTTTGGTCATCAATATTCATCATGAGATCTTGAGGTGTGACTCATCCCAAACGGTCAAAATCACTTCTGGTCATTCCCGTATCAGTGGTTAGAGCAATTGCCCGGAAAGGGAAGGACCGAGGCTTCAATCCGCTCTCCGGAAATCTACTTTTTCTTGTCAATTTCTTCACTTCTTGTTTTTAATAAAAATCCGATCCTAACGTGATATGAGAAATAATTTCGGAAACAATGCACTCAACGAATCGTTTAGTCTGGCGGTGGCGGTGGCTCGATCCGTGACGCTGGCGGTGCATTTGGAAAACTCGAAGCGGCTAGAGAGGGCGAATATTTTCACAAATTACAAATTCGCCAGATCGATGACATGAGAAAGCAGATTAGAAAAGAGGTGAATTTGGGCATTTTTTGTCTTCAAAACCCCCTTTCTGGGGTAGTTTTATGCGTAAATTCCGAAAAACACAACGAGAGTTAGGAAAAAAGCGTTTTAGGCCAAGTTTCCGGGCTTCAAAGTGCGGTATAGTGTACTTCACTAAATGAAGCCCAAGCTATCGACGATTGGGGCACTTTTCAAGGTCATAACTAGAGCCAAAACCATTTTTAACTACTAAGTATTCATTTTCTAACTTAAATTGACTGATAGAGGCAAAGAAATTGGAAAAATATTTTTTGCGATTTTGACTCATGTGGTTGACCATATGGAAATTTGGAAATTTAGAAAATTTTTTATTTTGCTCCAGTTTGATCAGAAACGTAATTAGTAAGTTAAATTAAGCGAGAAGAAGTGTTGTTGGCTTTAAAAAATGTTTTAAGAGACTATTTTTAGATATCTTTCCAATGTAGATCCCTCTCATCATCATGAGCTCATCTCTCATCATGAGCGCGCACTTTGAAGCGCTGAAACTTGATTTAAAACGCCTTTTCCCAAGCTTTCGCTGTGTTTTTTTGGAATCTATGCATAAAACTACCCTAGAACAAGTGGTTTTGATGAAAAAAGGCTTCAGTTGAGTTCAGTTTCATCACAAATTTTCAGCTGCAATTCTCCGAGGCAGAAATCACGAAGCAGCGCCAAAATCTGCAGCGCACCCGCGAAGTGAGTGAATTTTTCGCGAAACGAGAAGAAGTTAAAAAAATGTTCTCGAATCTTTAATCCTAAAATAGTTTCAGCTTCCGGAATTTCATAATTTATAAGCACATTCCATGGATCACAAAAAACGAAATCAAAAGTTTACCCTGTTGTACATAAATCAAATGCCGCACTGATCTCGCACTTGTGATAAAATTGTTCAGCTTTAACAAGAAACTCTAATAGCTTTCAAATTTACTTTTTTTTTTCCAGATTTTCTAATAAATATTTTATATTTCAGCGTTTGGCCGAACTCGATAAATTGGCCAGAGAGGCCAGCGAAAGAATCATCGAATGAACAAAAAGAGAAAATGAATACTGTACATAGTTTTCTGATGTAAATAAGATTTAGCTCAATTTTAACAAAAACTGATTTGTAATTTATATGGGTTACTCTTACTTTGTCTGACTTTTAGCTGAAGGTGAAATAAAAATTTGAAAAAATGTTACTAACAATAAGCTATTGGGTTGGTAAATTGAAAACTGCGGGACTTTGAACTAAAATTTATTCAACATAAAACCATCAATTGATTCCAAATAATTTCCATTATTATTGACGACTTCTGCCCAATTTACAGGCAATTTGCGGATTCCTCTTTCGTAGTAGGATTTTGGTTTTGAATCGAAAAACTTTCAAAGCCAATTTTTGACTGCTTCTTCCGAATCGAAGTCTTCTCCCGCAAGCTCATTACTCATGGTCCGGAATAAATAGTAATCAGAAGGGGCGAGGTCCGGACTGTATGGGGGATGTGCCAAAAGTTCCCAACCAAGGCTGTTTATTTTAGAGCGAGTTAGTTTTGCAACATGAGGGCGCGCGTTGTCGTGGAGGAGAACGACCTTTGACTTGAAGGGCCTATTCTTCTCTAGGGATTCATTCACCTTTTCCAACTGATCACTGTATTTGATTGCATTAAGGGTCGTCTTGTTGTCCAGCAACTCACCCATTACAACTCCCAGTCCCAGCTTTTTGTCAGCTTTTTGCCAACTTTTTATTGGGTTGGTGAATTGAAAACTGCGGGACTTTGAGCTAAAATTTATTCAAAATAAAACCATAAATTCATTCCAAATAATTTCCATTATTATTGACGACTTCTGCCCAATTTACAGGCAATTTGCGGATTCCTCTTTCGTAGTAGGATTTTGGTTTGTGTGTCAGACAAGTGTGAGACTCAAAAATGGAGGACTGGAGATGTCCCAGTTTGAGCACTTTCTTCAAAAGAAACCCATTTTGGTGTCAATAGAAAAGTTGTAGAGAATCAAAAATTAAGCTTATAGCCAAATTTCCAAAAAGTTACACTTAGTATTTTCGCTTAAAATGCAAGTTTTGTTGCAAGTTTTGTGAAAATTCGTAAATTTGGCATTTCTTGAAAACCAGTTTTTCCAATCGTTCTGAAAATTTGGATTTAAGCTTGATTTTTGATTCTCTACAACTTTTCCATTGACACCAAAATGGGTTTCTTTTGAAGAAAGTGCACAAACTGTCACAGATGGCAATAGCCCGCAGTTTTCAATTGACCAACCCAATAGTTAAAGTGAAACGCAGATTGACGGACTGCTTAAAGTTTTGTCGCAAAAGATTGACAAAATGTTCAGTTAACAATTTGAATTTAAATTTTCAAGTTAATTCACTCCAGTACAGAAAGCTTTCCCCACTGTCACCACAGTACGATTTACTCAGTAGAGTTCTTTAGCCCAAAACTTTAGACACATATAACTCCTGGCAGATTGTCATTGAGCAAAATCGAAATATATTAGATTGTTCCGATATAAACAAGCGTTGCTAAACTTATTTTTGTAAGAGAAGCTTTTAAGACATGTCTTTCTGTATTTAAAAGTACGTTATCTTGTGCATATTTGGAATATTTTTAAACGGATAATGTCTTACTTTTAAGATCTTTTTTTTTGCTTTAGATGACCGACCTCAAATATATCAAACTTGCGTTTGCCTACTTTACGACTTCAAACTGGGAAAAACAGTAGCGGAATCCCATTGAGATTTGGTCAAAGCATTTGGGAATGATGTATTGTTTGAAAGCCGATGCCGAGCCTGGTTCCAACGCTTTCGGAATGGTGATGAAAGTCTCGAGGATGATCAACACTCGCGTCGACCTCAAACGGTAGACAAGGATATTTTGAGGGCTGCAATTGAATCAGATCCATGTCAAACGACGCGTGAACTTGCTCAACAGTTTCTATATTCAAATTCTACTCCATTTCCACGCCATTGGAAAGACGCTCTGATGCGGGAAATGTCTTCCTCACGAGTTAAGCAGTGCAAACGCTCGTTTATATCCAAACAACCTAATAGATTCGAAATCAGCATAAAATTCTGCGTCGAATGGTATAGGTCGCATAGCATTTCGCCGGCTCAGCCAGTCGACATTCCCATATTAGTCCATCTGCATGTGAAGATCGAATCAAAAAGGTTTGTTCGGGTTATTTTTGGTCACCCTGTAAAATCTTAAAAACACAGACAGGGACAAGGAGCAATAATCTGCAATCGGGTACCAAGCTCTAGATTTTTGCCGTGATGCCATTTTTGGAATGATATTAAATTTATAGGTAGAATCCGAAGCCAATCGAATGTCTTTTTAAGTGAAATTAGCTCATTATTAGCTCAAGATCGTATGTTCATTTGTTTCTCACTTGCTACTCTCAAATTTTCCAGTTTCCAGACTTTTATCGTGAAGAACTTTAGGAGAAATATTGCTTTATTGTTTTTCATTCAAAATAGCTCAATAAATCAAATAAATTTATTCACTTTGAACGCCCCGACCGTTCAAAAAAAAGAAACCACCACAATTTAGACAATTGTAAACATCGATACATAAATTTTTTTCTATTGCCACTAATTTCTCTATCGTAAAAAATCTTCTCAACAAAAAAATTACAAGAAAATCGAAGAAAATTGCCGAAATGAGATTACAGTGAATGCGAATTTAATGTAAAGAAAAAGAAAACTGAAAAATGGCACCCGCAAGTTATGGGATCGATTCAGTGGAAGAAAATTTTAGAAACAAAGTTTCAAAAAAATCACTGGGAGAAATGATATTCAGTTATTTACAAGAGTGCTTATAACCGGGATAGGCAAAAAAAAAAAGCAATAAATACAAGGCAAAATTGGAGAAATTCACAATCACGAAGAACATTTGTATAAGGAGCACTTTTGGTTGACGGAGAGGGAATTTGAGAAGAGGGAAGTAGACTTGCTTATCGATGGAATCGGATAGTTTCAGCCTTGTGTTTCTCAGTTAGTTTTGGTTTAAAAGGATCTAGAATTCGTAACAAAAATAGAGCAAAATTGGGGCCAAAAATGTGTCCAGGCGTTTGAACATGGTGATGGCCAAAAGGCCAATCGGCCAAAAGCTAATCGGCTCAGTTGCTTACCGCTCCTTCCCTTAGGGATTCCAAAAGGGAAACTTCCTATACTAGAGGCTTATGCCAAGTCGCGAGCGTTTACGGTAAAGCAAACTTTGCCAGTCATTTACATAGGGATTTATTTGGTTTCTAGATGGTTTAAAAAAGATATTGTTCTGTAAATTTGTACTCTGGGGTTTTCGGGATCGGGAAATCGATTAGAGATATTCTTTTCATTGATTCTACCAATCCCCGGAGCCGTAACACTTTCTGACTCATTTACGGACTCCGTAACCGCATGTCGTCGACCAAGAACCCTAAATCCAACGCCGACCAATAACCCCAAATCCAATAAAATGAATTTAATTGGTCTTCGGCTTCAAAAGAGTATCTGATAGATTTTGTTTGAAAGCAGCGTCAAAATATATTCGATATGCAAATATTCATTTACTAGTAACTTCCTTAAACCTAAATAAACCCTATTTCCTTTTCATTTAACCAGTTTTTAAATGATAAGCGAGTCTACAGGACCTCAATGGCTAGTTTAGGGCTGTTGTCTACAATAAGGTTTTCAAGTTTCTATATTCAAAATTCAAACCTTATTGAAGACAAGAAACCCATTGAATAAAAAAACACAAGAAAGAAGAAATCCTAACAAAAGCAAGCGGCTCGTTTAAAACGAACCAGTTGCGACTCTTCAGCCACACTCTCTTCATCAAAAGGATCAAAATGGATTTCATCGACAACATTAACTCCTTCGGAATGATGGACATTCACGGACGATGCAATTCTGTCGTTCGTACGGTACTCCCGAACAATCCCCGGAGCCGTAACACTTTCTGACTCGTTTACGGACTCCGTAACCGCATGTCTCGGAACACGCCGACCAATAACCCCAACCTGGAAATTGTTGGTTTAGATTGAGTAGTTGGGTGGAGCAGGACTTGGAACCTGTTAAGATCAAAGAATACTGACTAGGAGATTGCACTCAGAACGTTTGATAAAGCCTGAATATCTACACGTTCTTTTAGTAAAGTGAAAGATATTCAGTCATTACGACTGAACACTTTGGCATACTGTTACTAGGACTGTACTGTTCCTGTACTGTACTAGTACTAGAATTATTAAAGCTTTTATCTTGTTTCACTACAGCATGCCTAAGGGATCATTGTTTATTTAGCAGTTTCGAGCAAGTTTCGAAGCCCTATTTTGTAGCAAATTTTTCGCTGATTCCGAATATCTAGATCGTTTCCGTGTAATGGATTCAAATTTTCGCTTTAAATCCGTTTGAAATTTGTGTGTAAAAAGGCAATTTATGCATGTTGCGCTATTTATCTGACCGCGCGAAAGATTCGCAAAAGAGCAAAAGTTTTACCCAAGCCCGGGCTCGAACCAGGATCAAACGGTTGTCAGCCTAGCGCACTAACCACACGACGACACATTTCTGAGCCGCGCAAGACAGCTTGATACTCGCGCGGTCAGATAATTAGCACAACACGCAAAACTGCTCTTTGGACACAAACTTTAAAGAGATCTAAATGGAAAATTTGAACTCATTATAGAAAAACGATTTAGATAATCGGGATCAGGAAAAAATAGCTATAGCATAGGCTAGCCTTTTAGATCTTCTACCCTTCTTGCCCTTCTTGCCTTGTACACGAAGATCTACTACTTTTGCTTTAAAATAGGCTTAAGATCAATTAAACTTCAAGATTAAGAGCAATCAAGATTAACATTAAGATTAAGATTAAGATTAAGATCAATCAATTCAAAGTAAACTTGAAAAAACTTCCCACTTTGAAAATTGTTAAATAAACAAGGTTTCCTAGTAAAATATAGCTGAATAGGCATATTTTTCTTTCCTAGACAATCCAGGTTCCAAATTAGCTCAATAAACTAAAAACAAAACTTGGTTATCAATTAGATAGTGTCAATTGGAAAACGGTGATTTTAAAATATTTTCAACAATGACAAATCGTTTCCATTCAACTCTAGTTTCTTGATAACCAAACATTTCAAACAAATAAACAAATAAACAACTTCTATCTAGTAGAATAAACTCAAATCTTGGAAAACAGTTTGCAAAAGGGGAAATCGGTGATTCTATTCTATCACACTTTCTGTTCACACTATTTTATACCCTAGTACGGCCGAAATAGACGGCCGCATCCGGGAATTGGGTAGTTGAATCGAGAAGAGTTCTTTGATCAAAAGAGTTCGGCGGAGCTGTGCCCAATTCAGGGTAATCGTCATCATAGATTAGATAAAGCTCATCAACGCCGTGAACGAGGGAGATATTTTTGCCGGTTTCCGACGAGAGATGGGCGGCTGTGAGTAAAGCCCTCAAACCCTCTTTCCCCTCATCCATCCTTCTCCTCGCCGCTTTTTCCATTTCATTTGTTTTCTCACCTCCCCACGACGCGTTGTGCGAGTCGCACTCCTTGTCGTTGCAAATTGCCGATTCCTGAAAAATCTTTTTTAAATCGGTTTTGAGTTTAGTCAAGTCTTGAGATTGTTTCTTGAAATGAGTTAAACGTAAAATCAGAAAGTATTGGGAAAAGTTATAGCTTTCTTAACCATTTTTTCTTTCTAGAACTTTTGATTGAACAACTAAAAGTCAGCTTTAGAATGTTAGAACTTTGGAGCTGCGCCAGCTTTAGAATTTGCAGTTGACTAGTCAAATCAGAAATGAAAAGGAGTCAATCTAACTTTGTTCTACAAAGTTCTTGGTTCTAGAAAGTGTCTACTTGCCTACCTAAAGGTTTTCCCGTTACTTGTCTACCAAAAAATTCAGTGTTAATTTCACTCACCTTGTAGCTGCCCGGGCAATTGCCCGTCCTGCAGTAACGCGTGCGCCTTTTGACACCCGCTCCGCACGAGACCGAACACGAGCCCCACGACGACCAGTGCGACCACTCGCCTGCAAAGTAACAAATTTGATTAAATGTCGTTGAAAGAATAAATTTTGCGCTAAAAAACAAGCCATAAGCTAACGATGGGCTTTCTTGAGATTGAGTTAGGTCTAAAGTTCAACTGATTCGTAGCTCTTGTCTTGAACTATCATAATATTGCTTAACCGTTGTTCAACGGTTGTTCAACCGTTGTTCAACCATTTTTCAACCGTATTCACTCAAAACTTGATCGAAATCACATTCCCTGTTCTATTTTTATTCGTTATTCTTTTCGAAACAGTGCCTGTTCCTCCTTTGTGCTTTTAGTGATTTCAAATGACCGTTACCCCGTTAATCTCAAAGATCAACCAACTTTATTGCTTTTCTTTTTTCGAAATCTCAATGTTTTGTGTCTGTCTTTAAATCAGGTTCTTTTAAAATTTGTCCCGGCACCGTTTTTCCATTTGTACGCAACATTGAAAGGGAAATCGGAAAAGGTTGCAAAAGTGACCCGATTTCCGGATCACATTTGTCAGCAAAAATCATTTCAAATTGCAAAAAGCTTTCGCCCAACTTGATCAAAGCTTTTTCGGTGATTTCATTGAAAAGTTTTAAAGTCTACAGAGGTTTTTTAAAGGTCGTTAAAGATTTATGGAGTTAATAGAAGAAAAACACTGTAGCCAAAGTTGTTTGAATGTTTGAACTTATGATCGAGTGTTATAGCTACAATAAATCAACTACAAGCTTAGAATTGAGCAAGTTCTGAAGGTAGAATAAACTAGTTTGACAAATTTTAAGCTTTTCGTGCTCTCAAAAGCTTTCAATCTAACTCATTTGACCTTTCAAAGCTGACTTATTAGACTAGAAGTTCAATGTACTCTTGAAAACCGGATTTTCTCAAGATCGACTCACCCTCATCGCGATCGGCGCATTCTTGTTCATTGCAAAATTCCTGTTCCCGACTCGAGCCGGGACAGTCCGAGCCGCCTGTGCACGACCTGGAAAACTGGAATACACAGACACGTAGCTGAGGCTCGAGTTGGGTATCATTTGGGGGCGATGGCCCGACCCGCGGTGGAATGTATGGGATTGGGTTTAGGAATTGGATTTTCTTAAATTCTCATCAATTCATTTGGAAGAAAGGAAACACTTACTATCAAAAGCCTAATGGAATCAGAGAATCAGTTAATAGTTGATCTGATTTTTACAGTGAATAGTCTAGTACTGTGTTTTCTAAGACTGTGTTTTTCAGACTGAAGTATTTCCTAGAAAGTGCCTTTAGGAAAAACAGAAGCTGAGCCGGAAGCTGCCGTGATTCAAAGGGTCACAACTCAGAGCCTTTTTTCAAACTCCATCAATCCAGACGCTCAAAGTCAGTACTGTAGCTGCAGCACTCTACAGGGTGTGCAAGAGTTACGGGCACTCTTTCTCTAGTGTGTAGATCCACCTAGAGTTAACCATTCTCCATAAAACTATTTTGGTGAATTTTACCGTTTATTTTCAACACCTTACATCGATACTTTACTTAGAAACTCAAAATTAGCAATTCTATAGAGCTTCAAATCTCCTCTGAGCCTCTGAGACGTGGCTCCTTGTGACCAAAATCTTGAACTTAAAGAATTACATTAATAATGACTACTTGATCATGGATAAAACACTTGTAAATACATTTAGACACACCTAAATTCTAAATTTAGAAAACCTAAGCTGTTTGCTAATTGTAAAGTGTTGAAAATAAGCAGTAAAATTCACCAAAAAAAGTTTTATGGGGAATGGTTAACTCTAGGCGGAGCCACGCACTAGAGAAGAAGTGCCTTTAATTCTTGAACACCCTGTAGTACTGGAAGTACTGAAGCACTTTAGTTTTGTCCAGCGCACTTTTTAGAAAACGCTCAAGTTTGCACTAGACCTGGGAATTTTCGGTGGGAACGCGTGCAACGGAAAAATGCGTTACCTCGGCCAATTTCACTCCGATTTTTTTGATTTTGATATCAATGAACGCAGAATTTAATTCTCTATTGATTGAAATTAAAGGCAAAAAGATTGGAGTGAGATTGGCGAAGATATGCTGATTTTTCCGTCGGACACCTACTGGCGTTCAGACCGAAAATTCAAAGGCCTAGCTTGCACAGGAACCATTCACAAATCAAAGAATGAAGAAACTAATATGAGTTTTTAAACTAAAATCTTTCATTTTCCCATCTGAATCCGATCTGAATCCGATCTGAATCCGATCTGAATCCGATCTGAATCCGATCTGAATCCGATCTGAATCCGATCTGAATCCGATCTGAATCTGATCTCAATCCGATCGCAATCCAATCTCAATCCAATCTCAATCCCATCCACTTCACCGCTTTTCATCAGTGTTGCCGTAACGACAAAAGTTCGACTATTTTAGAGGAAAAAAACTTTGAAAATTCAGCATTCCACCCCATTTTTTTTCTGCGCCTATTCACTCTATTCAGCGTCGCAAATTTCAAAAAAATACCCACAAAATCCCTCCAAAAAAAACTTCACCTGACCCGAGAAAAAGAAAATGGAAAAAAAATTTCATTCAAAAGTGATTAGATAAAGCAAGCCACGTAAAATTCAAGCATAGTTTTTGGATTAGAAAAATTTGCTCACATAAAATGTTAGAAAATCACTCCAAGCTGGGTGAGCGCATTCAGAAATGGCACTCGAAAAGACACCATAAACCGGGAAATCTTTGGGTAAGCTTTGCATTCAATTTTGGACGTAACGGCACACACTGAGTGATCGGACCATCGAACGGAAAAGGAACACGCAAATTGAGAAAAGAACATAAAGGCACACGGGAAATACCTAAAGATATTTAGGATAAGAAGTCTCGTGAGTAGATTAGTTTTTTTATCTAAATTAAGTATCTAAATGTTTAGCTAATTGAGAAATTGACTGAATTGAGGCTAAATTTGTATTAATATTTAGGTTCTAAAGACGTAAACACCTATCAAAATTGCTAAACAAGTGTTCAAACTAGGGTTCAAACTGCTTAATCTACGTAAACTCTATCATAGCCTATTGAAAACAAAATTATGGCTACTGGAATGTGTTCTAAGTAAAATTACGATAGCTTTGTAAAGTAAAGATCTTAATTTCAGTAGTATTTAAGGCTTCATTTGACTAAAGCTTGGCAATAATGATTAAGTTCAAATATTGACAACACTTGAATAGTTATCTAGCTAATTTTTGAGCTGTTTTGAGTAGAATTCAAGCCGATTTTTCTTCGTACTTGGATTAATATTGATTTTCAGACAAGAGATTTGTTTTCTTTTAAATCAAATTGCAGTTAGAGATTAGTGAATGAAAAAGAAAAGGAATTCAAAGGAATTTTCAAAAGATTCAAAACAACAAAGTGTCATGCGAAGTGATTCAGCGAGGGTTGCTTGAAATCTCATCATGCTGACTGCAGTCGTTCATGCAAGGAGAAAGATAAGGATAGAGATTCAATGATTGGACAGCGGACACACAGTCTTACCGGGTCCTCGACCGGAGTCCCTTTCCACACAGCCGACTACAAGAGGACCACGCTGACCAACCAGTCCATTGTGATGGACTGTTCATCTGACAACGAGCCTGGTTGCATGATCGTCTTTCTGTTGCCGAGCCGTCACAGGGTTCCTGCAATAAATTGACTATTAGTGCTTCTACGATAGATCACAGTTCTACTGAGTCAATAGAGCTTCACAAATTTATTAGGTTGGTGAATTGAAAACTGCGAGACTTTGAACTAAAATTTATTGAACATAAAACCATGAATTCATTCCAAATAATTTCCATTATTATTGATGACTTCTGCCCATTTTACAGGCAATTTGCGGATTCCTCTTTCGTAGTAGGACTTTGGTTTGTGTGTGAGACAGGTATGAGACTCAAAAATGGAGGACTGGAGATGTCCCAGTTTGAGCACTTTCTTCAAAAGAAACCCATTTTGGTGTCAATAGAAAAGTTGTAGAGAATCAAAAATTAGGCTTATAGCCAAATTTCCAAAAAGATACACTTAGTAGTTTCGCTGAAAATGCAAGTTTTGTGAAAATTCTCGTAAATTTGGGCATTTCTTGAAAACCAGTTTTTGAATCGTTCTGAAAATTTGGATATAAGCTTGATTTTTGATTCTCTACAACTTTTCTATTGACACCAAAATGGGTTTCTTTTGAAGAAAGTGCACAAACTGTCACATATGACAATAGCCGGCAGTTTTCAATTCAATTCACCAACCCAATTCAATTCAACTTCAATTCACCAACCCAATAACTCGGATTGTATACCAATACCCAGGATTGATCACCCCAAAGTTCCAGAGGTGAGGCTTTCTTACGATTAGTAAAATTCTTATCAATGCATTGGATTCAGTGGTAATTGAACTAAACCCATAAAAGGTTGAAATTTTCTGAACAGATCGAAAGACTCAAAATAGAAATGCAACAGAGTTACAAAAGGCTTGTGCTTCAAAGCATTTCAAGCTTATGAAGGATTCAGGTAAAAATCTTGATCTCAAACGCTGCATAGCTTTGAATAGCTTTGAATAGCTTTGAATATACATCTTTGAAACTGACTCTTTGACATTCCCTCTGTCGAATCATTGTGCCCGGTCCACAACTCGTCGAGCACGTTCCCCAAGTCGACCAAATCGCCCAAACGCCAACACCCGAACAAGGTCCAGCCTCACAATTTCTCACCTCGATGTTCTTCTCTAAAAAATTTCCATATACAAAGCTTTCATTTCTTATGTGCAAGTGTCCAAAAAGTCCCAAGAAAATTGAAAAAAAACGTGCACCAAGAAAATCCAAGAAAAAAATCTTTTTGTTTGCCTTGCCATGCAAAAATTGGGTGCCCAAAAGTTTGAAAAATGTTTTTGTTGTGTGTGTCATTTTTGTCACTCACCTTGCACATATTGATCTTTTATCTGGCCTATAGAAATAGAACTTATTAGTGTGTTGGGGAAATGAAATCAGGAATTTGGGTGGGTGAAAGTTTGAGAAGAGAAAAAAAAACAGAGCCAAATTTTTAGCTACCAGTTTCTCTTCTCAAACCTTGAGAAATGGGATTCACTTCAAGTTCTAGAACTAGAGATATTTCTAGGAATATTCAAGCACTACACCACCTCATCATCTCTTTTACCCAGCACCTCTAAAATAGGTGTTTCGGATGCCGGCTTTCTTCCGTGACCAGGCCACTCGTGAGGCCACTTTTGATTCTGACAATGGGAAAACGTTAGTTTTCGAGTTATGCCAGATTTTTACTTGCTTACTTACTTGCTTACTTGCTTCCTTGCTTACTTACTTGCTTACTTGCTTACTTACTTGCTTACTTACCTACTTACTTACTTGCTTACTTGCTTACTTGCTTACTTACTTACTTGCTTACTTACTTACTTACTTTCTACTTACCGATCTACATTGAAAATGTCTCCTTAACCTCTAGTTGAATATCTTGAAATTCAAGCAAATGGGGTAGCTATGAAAGTTGTCCCATTTAAGTCTAATCCCCGCCCCTTTTTCTCCGTAGATTTTTCGTAGCTGTCCCTTTGAAACTTTCAAGAAACTAGAAGATATTCAGCTGAGTGGGCAACTGGGACACTTTGATTGTATACTTACTGATTGTTTTAGTCAGATATATAATGCTCAAAATGATCGGCGTTAACAACTTCAGTAACAATAAATTCAGATACCCAACTATCATTAATGACATATCCAGTCATTAAATTTTGCTAGAACCCTAAATTTTTAGGATTCATAGATAGCACAGCATCAAATTAATAAACCTGTTTAATTAGAGAATGCCTTGCGGACAGCTTAAGCGTCAAATCCCAAAACCAATTCCAATACCTGGACAATTGAAGGCAATATTCCCTTGTGGCGAAACACATTTCCTGTATCTTGCTTGAGATCCTCGTCCACAGCTCACCGAACACGAGTTCCATTCGGTCCACTGAGCCCATGTGGAAACGGTTGCCGTGGGTCTTGGGCAGACCTGAAATTGATTTGCTGATCCACTTTCAAATTTCTGAACAAACCTCCGTGTTACAAGTCTCCTGTTCGGTGTCCGAACCAGTGCAGAAGCCGGGCAAAGAGCATGTTCGGGATCTAACAATTCGCATTGTAAGTGAATTGAGATCTAGTCAGGATTGTTCAGGCACTTTTTCAGAGTCAACGTGGATTAGACAGAGTCAAGACCAGGTTGGAAGCCAGGTCCTGGCCTAGCCGACTGACACGCAAAATTGGAAAGCCATAAAGTTCTTCTTTTTCTTCTTCTTGCCTACTTTCTCTTGGCAAGTCAATGTACCGAATAGCTCAGTGGTTGGAGCAATTGCTTCTCCGGAAATCTACCTTTTCTTGCCAATTCCTTAACTCATTTAATACCTGGACTTGGCTTCTGTCCAAGCCTCTGACATAAGCTGACTTAGAGACCCATGAAATAGCACTAGTCAAATAAGAAACTTCAGAATCTACCTTGTTCGGTAGCCTCCTCCACAAGTCACAGAGCACATCGACCATTGACTCCACACTGTCCACGCTCCAGCCTGCGGGGCTTGAGTTGGTGGTTGTCTAGAATCAAAAATAGGATTGCATTCAGATTTACTTTTGTTATATCTTGAATTTTACCTTATTGGACAAGTGTCCGACGGACAAGGTAAATCTCTTCCGATCAGCGCTCGGTTGTCACAAGTCATCGACTAAAAACCATAAAAACTCTTGAATTTACCAAAAAAGCAAGCAAAGCTTGACAAGCTTTAGGCATCGTTTTATATATTTTTATATCTAAAATATATCTTTAGGGATTATTTTCGATATTTATATCCTTACCAAGCACTCTCCACCGAGACAATATCGATCACTTCCGCAGCTCGTTCCATCTGGCAGATTATCACCAAAGAAGCGATAGTTTCGGACACCGCCACGAGTGATCGTGTCACAGAACACCTACAGTATTTCTTTTATCAAAATTTTTAATTCTCAGCTTTAAGTTCTTGTAACAGTTGTCTTTTATCTCTAGTCAAACCTTGCAAGCCCTTTGTGGATATCTCGCCAATTGACTTCCCGATCCGGTCAACTCTTTGTCGTTTTTCAAGCGCTTGTGCTCTGAGCATTTCTCTTCGATATACTAAAATATTGATTTTATTGAGAAATCCAAGTTTTATTTACTCTATCAACGCTTTTCGTTGAAGTAGTACATCCAAGATCGCAGATAATAGCACGCTGAGATGAGCCTGTACATTCCGAGCCACCATTCGCTGGATAAGGATTTGAGCAAGTTCGGCGAGAGATTGCAAGGCCGATTCCTGAAAATCATACAAAAATCGTATAGTAGAATCTTAGCCATAACATTGTTAGCATTGAAAATAAGTGCATCATTTTCTCACCTCCCGCCAATGGCGAGCACAAGCATTGGTTGCAGTTCGTTCCTCCCCAGCCTGACCAACTACCATCTTGTCGCTGAAAAGTTTACGATTAAAGACATCGAATTTTTACTGTACAAAAAGAAATCTTTATCTTTATCTTTATTAGAAAATCCCATTCGTTTACTCACCGATGGCGCGGGAGACATTGTTGGTGCAAATGCTTGTGGCACAGTTGGCTGATTTTGTCCATTCCATGGCACACATCGACCCAAATTGCACCATTTGCTTGGCCCACAGAAAGTTCCTTCAAGTGCCGGGTGAGAAGTGATGATTCTAGAGCTTGTAGAGTGAACATTGTATTGTAGTTGTAATTGTATTGTAAGCCTTGAAGATGTTCACACCATTGGCAAGGCTCTTCACCACTTAGTCGGACATTTGGATACGCGCCCCTTTTGCCATTGGCAATGTAACTTTGCGCTCAAATATCTTGGTGTTGGGCTGTTCCATTTAAATATTCTTGATATCATTAGATGCGCCAAGTCTTTCTCTATCGATTGGTACAAAAACTATTTAAATTGAACAGCTCAACACCAAGATATTTGAGCTTAAAGTCGGATTGCCAATGGCAAAACGGGTGGGGTGCGTATAAAAGGTCTGACAATCACCAGGCTTGTAAGCGAAAAGCGTAAAATGAGGAAAAGGGGTAGAATTCTTTGGTTTTTCTGACTTTTTTCTCTGTTTTCTGGTCTTTTCTTTGGTTTTTAAGCAAATTTCAAGCAAGTAACCACCGGAATTCTCGGTATTTATATTATGTTTATGGATCTTTCGATATATTATAAATTTTATGCTTTGAAATCCGCTTTGAGGTTCCTTTTCAAAAGCAAATTCCCCTCAAAATCGACCCATAGCCGAGGGACGAAAATTTCACCCCTTAAGCACCCCAAAATAGTGCTTGTAAACTTACAAACCGAGCTTATAAACTTGTTACTACTTAACTGACAAATCTCATTCTTAAAAGCACATTCTTAAGCACCCAAAATGAGTTGATTCTTAAGAAGAAACCTTGTAGATTTCATTTAGTCTTAAAAAAAAGTTTCTTTGATCAAAAACAAAACAGATCGGATCAGAAAAATCAGAGAATCACTATAGTTATCCGGTTGAATAACAAGAATGTAAACTTTTAAAGGAAATTTTTAATTTAATATTAGTAGAATTAAAGAAAATGAGCTTACAAATTAATTAATTACTTAATAAAAAGGAAATTTTATACAAAATCCAATGAGATATTTGATAAAAGTTGAGTTTAGATCCTCGAGAATTGATGATTTGCCCATTTTGCCCATTTAGTACCCAATTTCCCGTTTTTTCCGCCGCAATCGCGAAAAAAAGTGATAGGTTTAATGAAATTTTATTCTGCAGGTTTTTGTGCTATTTTTATAAATGTCTAAATTCGTTTGATGTACCTTCCAAATTGCGACAATCCACACCACATCATATAACAAATTCCATCGTAGTGATCGACACGAGGAGTTACCTAAAAAAATTTATTGAACACTTTATGAATTCTGAAAATCACGTTTTTTATTTCTTTTCGAATCCCCAAACTATATTAAACTATCCATGCGTTTTTTCAGTATATTCAAGTTTTCAAAAGATTCTTTCTTTTCCCTAACCCTTTTTTCGCGTCTTGTCTACCCGGGAGTCATTTTTCCATCTCTGAGAAAATAGGTTTTCCCAGTATGACCGGTTTTTTTTAAGAAAAATAATGCTTTCTTTTGATAATGGTTAGGGGCTAACGTGAAAAAAAAGGCTGGTCTGTAATAGGGTTTACGGTGATCAAGGACGAAAGTGACCAGTAAAGAAAAAAGTTTTCATTTAAAATTTGAAATATATGCAGACACCGATCTTACTGTTCTGTGGTCACAGCAAAATTTCGTACGTGATTTGTTTTGAAACTGAAAGGCAAAGGTTTTGAGTGAATTGGTCTTGACCTATCTAAGAAAACGAACTTATTGGTCTTGACCTAAATAGTAAGTCAAAAAGAAGTATTGCAGTTGAATTTGACGGTTATTTTTGCACATAAAACTTTGATAAAAGTACCTAGTATTAAAAGTTTACAACTAGACTCAAGCAAGTGACGGAACTAGCTTTATAACTACCGTAAATACTGTAATAGTACCCCACCCCGATAATGACGGTGCGGAGTGTTGCGTGGTCTAGCTTTGAACGAGTGTTTCTCGACACTGATTTATGCTACAATGCGCGCTTAGGTATCAAAAAATAGCTGAAATTCAGGGCTATTTTTTGATATCAAAGACGCATTTTTTGAAAATACGGGTGCTTTCCAAAATACTACAAAACTTTTGCGAGGGGGGTGGGGTACTATTACAGTATTTACGGTAGCTTTTTTCTAGCAAGTGAAGTCTGTAGTCCTTGTCTTGAGTCTGTAGAGCTTCAGAAATATTACAGAAATTAGTTGCCCATACTCACGCAAACACAAGATATTTGGATAGAATAGAAGAAAGAAAGATAGAAGTTTTCAACAGCTCGCTTAAAAGGCTTTTCTCGCGCGACGTCAGTGTGAGCTTATGGTCTGGCGGATAAGCTGCCTGTATACAAAGCGAGTGATGCATTTTTCCCTTGGGTTCGAGTCCTCGCCTCGAAAATATTACTCAAATATTACTAACTATTACTCAAATCTGTGAGTCCATAAACCCAGTAGAAAATAAAGGAAAATGAAAGTGTGATGTAACTTTAGATGTAACTTTGATGTAACTCCCTTGTTAGTATTCAAAATCATCCTACCTGATGGTATCCAGGCCCGTGCATCAATTCACATTGCAGATTCGCATCGTAGATCTGACCCGGTTTACTCCCAACGGGGATCACCAACTTGGCCGGCATATTCGAGATCCTCATGCAGTTCTTGCCCTTTGCACTAAATTTTCAGCTTTCCAAACATAATCCAATGCCCCTTACAATCAAATTCTATTTTTCCAATGAACCTATCAAAGTTTTTTCTCAAAACGGTCTAATTTCCGCAAGTTCAATGTCGTTTCCCCGTTTTCAGAAAAAGTTTTGATTTCAAATATCACGTCGCGAGGAGTGAATTTGGAGGAGGAAATGGATCCATTGAACGAACACATTTATCACCGCCGATTTTGGCTTTTTCAACTCGATCATTGTGCCGGAAATCGAGTGAAGAAAAGATTTCAGAAAAGGGGAAATCTCTGCGGGAGAGTGGGAGGAAAGATCTCAAAGATATGACCTTCAAAGTGATTGTGCTCATGATTTTCGTTATCTTTAAGTTCTCTGGAGTTTTCAACGCTGACTTTATCTCTGTTTTGAATCTAGACTTTTCTGTTTCTTTCTTTCTGCTTCAAAAAGCCTCAGATTTATCTCTCAACAACCTCTTTGCACTATCAAAATCTCTCGGTTTTCTCCATTTCTTCAATCTCTACTTGTCCTTTTCCTGCTCTAGCCAATTTTCTTGTACCATAGCCTCTTCAAATCCATCTCCAATCGTAGATCTTTCCATATCTTTTCTGTCTACATCACGTATTATCCAATATTTCCAATCTTTCCAATCTTTTCAATATCTTTTTCTTTCTAATATCTTTCCCTTCCCGACGACCCTTTTGGCGCCGGTCTGTCGCCGCGCAATCACCCCAATATCCCACTAAAAATACAAACCAACAACTCAAAAAAAAAGATCTTGGTTCAACTACAAATTTCTTCTTTTGAAAAGAGGTAAACTTGAAGTTTAAAGTGAACTCGTGCATAAATTGACTGGTAATTGGATAGACGACCATCCAATTACCAGTCAGTTCTAGAAAAAGTTATGACCGCAAAGCGAAGAAAAAATTGTGGAGAAATGGGCTATAAAATGTTCAGGGAATCTCTTGTTACTTACTCGAGTCGTTGCAAAAATTGATGATAATCACGGAGAGAACAAGTCGACCAAGTGACTTTGCCGGGACCGAGTGAAGAGCTCATAATGTGTTTGGATGGGCAATAGGGCTCATCGTGTCGCATGCCAAGACTAGAATGCAATATTAAAAGCTTATTTTGATAGTAAACCATAGGTAAATACGCTGAGATTGTTTCAGTTTGTCTTATAAAAATTGCTGACAAGGAGAATGGTGAGAAGTGACCGTGAGCTTTTGGGACGAGTGATACCTCATTCGATAGATCTCATGATGAATATTGATTAGCTGTTAGCTGTTAGCAAACAAATTAGCTGCCCAAAGTAACTCTACAACGAGAAATGGGGCCAACAAGGAGCCAAAAATGATGTTTTTGATCCTCCTTGGAGGAGCTGGAACTTTTTACTGAATCAATATTTTTGAGTAATCTTTTTTGCATGTAATAGAACTTGAATGAAGCTAAAAAAATAGCAAAATTTGTTTCCCAAAGTATTTATAGAATTTTACATTTCAAAGCTCTTGATTTTAGCCAAAGTTTACTGAGGTTTTTTATAGGAATATCTTAAGTTTCTACAATTAATGAAAGTCTATTTTTTTAGTTTCATTCAAGTTCTATTACATGCAAAAAAGATTACTCAAAAATATTGATGCAGCAAAAAGTTCCAGCTCCGTTAAGGAGGGTCAAAAACATAATTTTTGGCTCCTTGTTGGCCCCATTTCTCGTTGTAGAGTTACTTCGGACAACTAATTTGTTTGGTCATCGATATTCATCATGAGATCTATTGAGGTATCGCTGACCCCAAACGATCACTCCCACTTCTGGTCATTCCCTTGTCAGCGTCAGGTTTAAATTAAGATTATCAACATTATGCGAGAACTCGGAAACGCTAGGCCAGTTTGGCTTTTTCCTTTACCGCTTTGTAGACTCAAGATCCTCACCTGTGCCCCAATTCGTGAGTTCCGATGAAAGCTGACGTGAAATCAAGACCTTCAGCAAGTGTACAAGTGTTCCACGGGTCACACATTCCGTCCAAACGAGCGATTCCCGAGATCGATCTCGAGCCAGCACCACGATGAATGTCATAGCTAAAATGAATTGATCTTGATTCATCCCTAGCTAGGGTTGCTTTTCAGCTCTTGCAGAAGTTGCCCAACTTTCAAAAAGAACTGTATGGGGTAGTATCTGGTTTTAACAAAGTTTCTATCGACTTGAACTAGCCTAACTTAGGTTTTGGATAACAAATAGTACTAAATTGTTGGCTTTATTGTTGTTCAAAACGTTTTGTTTTTCAAAACAAGCGTTTGTTCAAAACTTCAAAATAATCTCCGTACTTTTCAATATGAAAATCTCTCTCATCTTATCTCTTAACATCAAAACACAAGAAAAATTTGATAGTTATCTTTGAAAACCCCCAAATTTTAACGTTTTTCTAACACTTTTCGTGAACAATTATTGAAAAAAATCTTTCCTTTTCATTTGTTTTTTGCCGATCTCGTTAATCTTGAACAAATCAACGAATGTCGCCTATTGATTGTCTGTGATTTTACCGGAAAACCCAAAGAAAGAGCCTTCAAAGTCACGGAAAATACAGAGAAACAATAAATATAAAGTGTAAATTGAAAAAAAGGTTACCCAGTGAGTAGAATTGCGTGATCCCAATCCCGAAAGCCGCGATCACGTTGATATTTACAGAAAAGATCCAAATAGCGCTGAGCGTGGCCATATTGATGAAGATGAGGGGCGAGGGAGGACTGGAAAATGAATTCCGTAGAATTTTTCAATCACGAGAATCTTTTGCATATGTTGAATATATTTAATAGAATAGGTATCTACTATATATATCCTGGACGAATAAAAACAGCCCCAGGGCATAGCCGGGCGGGTTTTTCGGCTAGTTTTAAATGCGGGACTAAAGCAATCCTTGATTGGAAACTGAGTTCAAGCCTAAGCTTGCGCCTAAGCCTGCGCCTAAGCCTGCGCCTAAGCCTGCGCCTAAGCCTGCGCCTAAGCCTGCGCCTAAGCCTGCGCCTAAGCCTGCGCCTAAGCCTGCGCCTAAGCCTGCGCCTAAGCCTGCGCCTAAGCCTGCGCCTAAGCCTGCGCCTAAGCCTGCGCCTAAGGCTGCGCCTAAGCCTCAAATCTTCAAGCTAAGCTAAGCCAGAGTTATGTCAAACCCTAGACTTTAGCTTGGCTTGGCTAGCCCCTGCTTTGACATTTGTATTTAGCTTTATTTGAAGCATTTAGGCTTTCAATTTTGATTTATTTAACTAATCAATAGACTTATTTTTAGACAAACAACAATTGAAATAATGCCATAGAATATTGCGCTAAAAAGCCCACTGTAATGAGTTCACTAAAATTATAGCTTTAGCTTGAATTAAAAAACAGGAGTTAAGAATTATAACAAAATCAGTAAAATCGTTAAATCACCTGCTTTTTCATAGAAATTCAAGTCCAACTTTCTTCAAAACTCACCGGTTGACTCGACAAAACCTCATATCGAATAACCTTGAAAGTCAATGGTGGAGAAGCTGTTGGTTGATAATACATGATCTAAATTCACATTTAATAAGATACATAACAAAATGCATTACTTGAATATTATTCAGCAACGTCAATGCATAATCTTGCAATTTGTTATTAGCCGATCCGCCATATTTACTTGAGAAATGCCTCCATAAAGTTTCATCGACAAAGACGGCTAGTTCAACCTGAAAAAAGAATTGGCTAATTGTAGTGTTTTTCTGAAAAATTTACCAATAAATCGGATTCTTGAACTAATTTTTGTCCGGTTACAAAAACGTCCTCAAAAATCGCCGTTTCATCCTCGAGGAGGTCATCTTCAGTGACGACGTTGTCAAGTCCACAGAAATCATTTTGCTGTTTTGAGGCAATCGATTCTCGTTTGTAAACAATGTGAGCGCCCAGTTCTGGAATTTAAATGATAAATTGGAGCTAATAGGACTGAGAATGGTTAGATTTTATAGGAAACGAGCGGTAAACTCGGGTTTTCCCGTTCGTGGTCACCCCAAAAACCCCAAAAAGCGTCACCCCAAAAAAACACGGTAATCCGAGGGTCGATGGTTCGATTCCGAGTCAAGTCAGTTTTTTTAAAAAATTTGCTAAAAAACAATTTCATTGCATTCTAGGGTAATTTTTGACGCTGATTCCGAAAAACATATTTTCAGCACAGGTTTCCGTACAAAAAACAAATAAAGTCTATTCTTTTGAAATTTTCGATCAAAGGCATCTCATTAAAATGACTGCAAAAACTTTGAAAGTTGATGAATCGAAAAACGGTCTTTTCCATTCAATCCGCTAGATAATTAACCTTTGAATGAGCTATTACAGGATCAAATCGGATAAGTTTAAGATCTTTTTTCAAAAAATCGGCCGGAACTTTCTCCCAAACCTAATATATGGGAGATAAGCTTTTTAGAAGAGCAGTAAATCAATTTTTTTAACATGTTCCAGAACCGACAGCATTCCTGTTGTTAAAAAACAGGAAACGAAGAATTCTGTACGCTAGTGGGTGTGTGTTTAAAGCTTTGATCACAAAGTAGACCGAATCCTCCCTATGACTCCTCATTAGTAAAGGCTCAGTTCGTAAAGGATAAATACAAATGAACAGAATTGAGAAAAAAGATAAACTCAGCATTTCGAATCCTTTTTCAAACTCAATTAAAATAATTTTCAACATAAAACTGTTAAACTGATGAACTGAACGACAACAACCGACCATTCACCGCTCGTTTACTCCGATGCGCGTGTCGTTCGGGAAACGGGTGAATCACGTGGATTCCATTCTCGTCAATAACCGTTCCTTTCTGAAAATTGATTTTATTGAATTTTGTTAAATCATTTCATTTCAATTTTTCATTTTCAGTATGTATTTTGTGAGTTGTGCTCCTGTGAAAAAAAAAGTGTTCTATGGTTACTTTTTGAGGTCATTTAACGAAAAAAAGCGATGAAGGAGAAGACGAAAAGAAACCCAGACAACACAAGGCTAATCTTTTGCTAAGAAGAGGGAATCTTTTGATTTTTGCAAAATATTGAGTTCTTAAATGTTCAGAGAAAAAGAACAATATGTTTATTAATAGATTAAACAAAAAAAGTTGGTTCAATTACCCAAGCTTTTTTGGATCGCTTTTTGGACCGATTCAGTGATCCAAGTTGGTTCAAATACTCCAAGTTTGTTTGGATCCATGCAGTTCTACCGGTTCTATTACCCAAGCTTGTTTGGATTGTGTTTTGGACTGATTCAGTTACCCAAGTCGGTTCAATTACCCAAGTTTGTTTGGATCGGCTCAGTACTACCGGTTCCATTACCCAAGCTTGTTTGGATCGCTTTTTGGACTGATTCAGTTACCCAAGTCGGTTCAATTACCCAAGTTTGTTTGGATCCATTCAGTTCTACCCAACACTTAGCTTGATTTTCCAAAACCTACAATTTGTCCTCCACAATTTGAAATGGCTGCCATTGTCCCATTTCCCATATGTCGATAATGACAATGATTGACTTCTTGATTAAAGCTCAATTGGCCACCTGAATATTTTATTATTAATAAATAAGCCAGACAACTCGCACCTTTTCGATCATTTTTATAAACAGCTGTCACAAAGTCGGCTAGCAACCGATTCGTGGCCGGTTCAAGGGTGAGATTGTGCCATTTCCCGAAGAGTTCAACTCGTATCCGGTTTAGTTGCCCATTCTCATCGTAATCTAGTTCCGGGAACACTTCTTCATGATTGGGCACTGAATTTATTTTAAATTCACTTAAAAGATCAGAAACGTTTTTACCTTTAGCGTGCTCTGTCACTCCGAATGTGTACCTCAGCTCATCGGGAGTGAAGAAGTGGGTGATTGTTTGCACGTCCTAGAAAGTTTTCTATGATAAAATGATAAGCTTTGTGTTCAGTTACTGATTGACTTTTGGTTTAAGCAAGATTTCGGAAAGTTTAACGTTTTCAAGGACTGCAGTTTTGACTTATTTGAGCTCAAGCTTTTTACCTAAGTTTGACTCTAGATTCAATATTAACTATTTCAATAGAATAACTGGTTAGAAATGCACTAGTTTAATAGAATAGCTGGCTTGTTTGCTTGTTTGGAATTGCTTGTGTATAGAAAACTGTTCAAAGAGTCTAGCAAGAGTTGTAAGTTGCATTTGAATTATTGAGCAGATAGGAAATCTTTCTGGCTTAGATTGACACGTTAGTTTCAAAGCTAAACAATGATATTTGAGCTCATGACTTGATATTATAAGTTTAGATACCATAGGACAACCAAATTCGCCTTTGTTTTATTCGATTTATCAGCGAAACCCGATTTCAACAAATAAACCCATCAAAGCCGCATAAACTACCACTCAAACAGATCAATATCACATTTCGACTATCGTTCCACTTGTTTTTCTCTTTATTTCCCATCCCATCGCAAGTCAGACACTCGTGTCATTAATCTCATTACCAAAAATCACAAGGGTCCTTGATTTTTCTCACCAAAAAGTTCGCTTTTTTTGGATAAACCAAGGAGATTTTCTTCCAATTTCCTATTTGTTTCCCTCAAATACACTTCTCATTCAAGAAAAGTTGAGATTTTTGGAGTAGACGATTCGTAGAACGATTAGAAAGATCGTTTATGGGGGTAAACTTGTCATTAACTTTACGCGGAGACAGTTTTTTTGGTAGGTACACAGGAATAAAAAAGGAGCAAGGCAATCATTTGAGATCAACAAGATTACGAGAAAAGGCAACGGTTTAAGACTTATTGCTTGAAAGGGGGAGGGTTTATGGCAAGGAGTGGCAATGGGTAATGAACTTGTTCACGGACTGGTGCTGAGTTTTTATTAAGCAATGCAAAACTTCTAGATACTCTAGCTTTTGACCAGCTAATTGCCTTATGATTATGGATTAAGATCTACACAATTGATACCGAATTTAAAGGTTATCAAGTAAAAAAAACTGTTTAACTGTGGAAATCTAAAAACTGGAAAGTGCTAGTTTTGCCTTACGGATAGTGGGCTGATCGTAAAGATCTTTGAGTTCAGATTGTTTTTTTGTTGTTTTAAACTGTGCTCCCGCTACCGTAGTTGATGTAAGTCTGGAAAAAAAGGTAGTCGTAAGAATGAGCTTTGTCAGTTAAGTAGTAACAAGTTTATAAGCTCGGTTTGTAAGTTTACAGGCACTATTCTTGTATTAGCGGGTTTTTGAATCACACTATGTGCGTGCTGTTAATTACAATTAAACTTTAAACTTTAATCCGGGTAAAATTTTCATTTTGAGACCTTTTATACGCACCCCACCCGTTTTGCCATTGGCAATCCGACTTTAAGCTCAAATATCTTGGTGTTGAGCTGTCCAATTTAAATAGTTTTTGTACCAATCGATAGAGAAAGACTTGGCGCATCTAACGATACCAAGAATATTAAAATTGAACAGCCCAACACCGAGATATTTGAGCTCAAAGTCAGATGGCTATTGGCAAAAGGGGCGGGGCGCGTATCCAAATGTCCGATAAACTAAAATTTAACTAAACCGTTAGCCTTTTAGCTTAGGCATCTTTCAGCCAGCGAACCTCAAAAATGTTGGATTGACAGAAAAGTTTGACCAACTTCTCTTCCTCACACGATTTTTGGACTTACGGAAATGTTCCAATTGAGCATTTGATTTCCGAATTCAAATACAATTCTGATTTTATATACAAATCTTTGCCTTCGCCAACTTCTCTTCCTCACAAGACACGTTTTTGATAGAAATCTCGATCGCTATACTCTATTTGTGATGTTCAATACGATAAAGAACACAAAAAACAAACAAGGAACTATTTAAAGGAACATTTTCTTTTCCCCAGGGAATCTCATAAAGGAAATTTGAGAAACGGAAACTCGATGATCGTTTTTTTTGGGGAAAAGATTGAAAAAAATCGAAACACTTTCAATTTTATGCTCTTTGAGATCATTGTTTTAGTGAGGGAAAAAGATGGAAAAGACTTAAATGTACAGAATTTGAAATGAGACATAAAACAGAGTCAATAATTGGATCAACAATGCCGAAAAAGTCTCAAAGAGAGTTTTGTAGCTTTGGTTTTGGAGAAAGAGCTGTGAATTTTGACTTTTCTAGCTCAAAATAGTTAAATCAAATTATGAAATGCATTTATGAATCATTTTAAGATATTTGACTGCTGAACATTTGAAGCTTTGACGAGATTTTCCAGTGTCTTAGCTAGGTATACTGTAATGGACACTTTTCAGTATCATCAAACCTCTTAAATACCGTACGTTCAAGCCTTTAAACAATTGAATTAGGGAAACTTTTTGCTCAACCCATTTCCCTATCAATCAATCCCATTTTAGCGGCATTAAAGGCTTCTCATGAGCTCTAGAGACTGGGACAGGAACAGGGAAATTTTACGCATCCTATCTCTCTTTTCTTTATCTCATTTCCTTCCACAATATCACCACTGCAACGAAATCTCCACAAAAAACTCCCAAAAAGCCTTCATTGGTCAAAAAAAGTCGAAAAAGACTACAAATGGTGAGACATAAAATCTCCTGCGGGGCTTCCGGCGCCTTTTTCGAAGCGATAAAAGGTTTGGGTCAAGAGAATGGATTTCTCGGTGGTGAATGGGGAAATTGATTATTGTGGATAATGGATATGGTGATGATGGATCGATCCGTCATCTCGAAAATCTACACTCAAGAGATAGTAGGGGAGAAACTAGATCAAAGACTTTCTGGCTTTTTGAATCGGTTTATGGGGAAGTGCGAGATTAAACTCTGGACTCTAGAAAGTGCTTGCAATCGTAAAAGTTCAAGACTTGTTGATGTTTAAAAGACTTGAATGCTGATAAAGTTCAACAAAAAGCTGACAATGAACTGATTGTGAATATCTTGTTGATCGTTTACTAAACCCTGCCGCACTCTAGTTTTGGGTTAACCAGGAAAATACAATAGGATATTTAGTCTGCTAGACGAACTACGAACTACAATGAACTGGGTATTTAGTCTGCTAGCCGTTTTCTAAACCTTGACCCAGTTAGCGTACCCCTAGCTTTAACTATCATACTATATCCTACCGTACTCGTACTCCTTGAGAAGTGCACTTACAAGGTAATCAGAAATAACCCGTCCTAATAGTCCGTTCTAGGCTCATCGTTGATTTTCTATGGACATTCTATGGATTTTCTCTTATTACTGTTGATTTTCTATAGACAGCTCAAATTCTAGGTCAAGAATTTCATCTCTGGCACTTAAAATCAATTTCAACAAATCCTGTGGGTCTGGATTACTATTCTTCACTTAAAACTCTTGAACTCTAATCTTTTGAGACTCATCTTTTAACCAAACTTGTCTCTTTTTTTGTTCAAAAACAGCTGTGCACGATTGTTCCGATTTTTCTTTTTCAACGTCTTTATTTGCTTTGACTCATTGCCTGGCATGACCCCCGAGGAGAGAACCAGTTTCACTCCAAATACCCTATTTTTCTTCCAAATACGTTTCAGACTTCACAGATTTAGTTCCAACAATGAGGCTTAGAAAAAGTGCTAAGAAAGTTAACTGGAAGTTAACTGGAATTCAAGCTGATCCAGGTTAAAACTTAAAGTCAATTAGATCAGCACTAAACGCAAAAACTTTAAAAATGGTCATAATATTTCATGGAAAGTTACTTTTCAAAATTAAACTGACTCTAAAGAACATTTCTGATCAGATCAACTTAAAAGAATTGTGGCAGCACACACTAATTCAAGGCCAACCGTTCGAAATCAAAAATTGCATCTCATGTGTTTTTTCTCTAGTGATGTCAAATGATTTTGGATCAGTTGATGAAGGAAAATGTTAGCCAATACTATTACTAGACTTAAAAATGCACTTGAATCCAGTTCATATTAAGCTATGACAAGTCAAATAGTAGAACTTTACAGAACTTTACAGTCTAACTGATCTTTAAACTCACGTCATAAACGAGATTGTTTAAACAGCAAAATTTGTGTAACTTTACAACTTTGAACTCTTGAATAAATCCATGGATTGAAAAAAGCAATTTGTTCGTTTTTTAGATGTTCTTGATCCTTGAATTACGAATTTACGATCTCGCCGTGGTTGTAACTCGTCGCGGCAAGGTGTCAAAATAGAAACATTTCAAAGCAATAAGGAAACAGACAAGGGATAAAAGTTTTACGGTTTCGGAATGGTTTTGAACTTTTACCGTACTCTAAATAGTAATTTCAATGTTTTACAGACTAGAGAATGGACATAGCGTTGATTTTTGTTTGATCATTTTTTAGAAATGTTTAAATTAAGCATCCGAATTCAAATACAATTCTGATTTTATATTCAACTCTTTGCATTCATATGGAAATTTTACTATTGATGATACTGTAGGGGTACTAAATAGTAGAACTTTACAGTATCTACCGTAAATATTGTAATAGTACCCCTTTTCCTAGTACAATCGCGTAGTCGTAAAAGTCTTTTAGTCGCCCGTTTCTAACGCTCGTACTTTCAAAAAATGTGTCTTTGGTATCAAAAGATAGCTGAAACTCAGGGCTATTTTTTCATACCTAAGCGCGCATTGTAGCATAAACCAGTCTCGAGAAAAACGCGTTCAAAGCTAGACTACCCAACACTCCGCACCGTCATTATGAGGCTGGGGTACTATTACAGTACTTACGGTAGGTAATTCATTGCTCTAGACTATTTGAATCAAGATCTGTTTTGATGGTCTTTCTGGAGTCAATTCAAGTGAGTGAGAACGTGCAAATCTTTCTGGAAACACTTTTTGAGCTTTCTGCAAGATCGTTCCGGTTATTGAGAGGTGAGGAAAGCTATTGGGATTAGAATTGGCCTGGGAGGAGCACGAGGTGGAGAAAGGGAAGGGA